TTATGTGAAACCAGAATTGAAAAGACTAGTAATCTAGTAATTTTTAACCAACTTTACAGTTAATAGAATTAAACTCACATTTCAAGATTTTCACTTAAAATTTTTCTTTTTTCAAAATATAGTTTTTATTACATACTTCGCATTAGAAAATATTTACTTAGTTACATCATATTTATATTTTTATATAATCATAGAATAACTTTATTTTTTTCAATAAAAAAATAATTAAGATTATCATAACTTGGTTTTTTCTTTTAACTATACTATTTGTTTTCTTCTTAATCTATTCTAAAGATAATTACAGTTTTTCTTTAGTGTATAATATCATATCACAAAATTTATTTAATTTTTTGATTATGATCTTAATGACCTTTAGATTCTGATTTAAGGTACAGTAAAAGATCATTAGTTTATTTAAAAATGAATACAATATGATAAAAATCTGCAATTGAAGATGAATTATTCAAAGAAAATTCATATTTCCATTAATCAAAATTTGTTAAATCTTATGTACTAAATCTAAGATCGAAAAATAAAAGAGCATTATAAACTTCTCTGTTAATTTAATTTAGTTCTAGGTGCAACACCGTCAATTGTCATAACAAATAATTCTTTTGGATGTAAAATATCAATAAAACGATCTATGTAGTTAATTACATTCACAAACATATCATCATATGTGAATTGTATAGAAATTCTCCTTAATCAGGATGAACATTGACGGATAATACCATTCCTATCCAAATAACGATTATCAATATCTGGATTATTTAATACAGATGATTCATCAGAATTTTCTAAGACTTCTAACATACCTTTGGATTTCTAGCATTTAGCCATCTAAAGAATGCAGGCACCCCTATTTTAATTAATTAAATTTCGAACACAAATATAATCTATTCATAGATGGCTGCATAAGTAGAATCATTAAAAATGCTAATGAGCCTTGGAACAGCAGGTATATTTGGTATCTTTTTGGTTAAAAATTGCTTTTTCACTGTTGAACCTGGACATTGTGCTATTAAATTTAGCAAATTTTTTGGTCTATAGGAAGAAAAGTATAAAGAAGGATGGCATTTCAGAATACCTTACTTTGAGACACCAATTGATTATAATATTTAAACAAGACCAAGATAAATCAAAGCTAATACAGCTAATAGAGGTATCCTATTAAAATATTCTCTAAGATATGCAAAATGTTCTATTGACTCTTAGAGTACTTCATAGACCATATAGTGAGGATCTTCCAACTATTTATAGAACCTTAGGAATTGATTATGATGAAAAAGTCTTACCATCTATTGTTAATGAAACCATGAGATCAGTTGTAGCTTAATATACTGCATCTTAATTAATGAGTTAAAGAGACTAAGTTTCATTCAAAATTAGATAAGCTTTAGATTAAAGAGCTGCTTAATTCAAAATTGCTATTGATGATGTATCAATTACCGAATTAACTTTTGGAAAAGAATATTTAGAGGCAGTAGAAGCGAAATAAGTTGCTTAATAAGAAGCAGAAAGAGCTAAATTTGTTGTTGAATAAGCAAGAGAAGCTAAAAAGAGTATTGTTATCAAAGCATTAGGAGAAGCTAAATCTATTGAATTAGTAGGAAAATCTGCATTAACTAATCCAGGTATTATATTATATATTAACCAATTTTAGCATTCTTGGATGTTAGAAGAATTGAATATGCTAGAGAAATATCTGCAATACTTGCTGAATCTAGAAATCACGTTATGTTGCCATCAGATATTCTTAAAATGGATGCTACTGCACACAAATGAGTTTTATAATGTTATTTAAAATTCAATTCTTAAATATCATTAATTTCTTATAACTATCTTCCATCATTTTCCATATAACCATTCCTTTCTTTTCTATATTTATTCCTCTCCATGTAAAATTGCTCTTAATTTTTATTTTTCTAATTAATTTTCCTCTACAAGATAAGCTTTCAATGCCTCATCTGCTTCCTTTGTCCATAATAAATTTTCTTAATGATTCAAATATACATCCAAAAGTGTATTCAAATCTCCTGAACATTAATACATTCTTTGACATAATTCTTAATATGATATTTTTAAAGTCTCAGATAATGTTTTTAATGTAAATTTAAGTTCCTCACATTCATGTTTCTATTCTGTATCTAATATTACTTATTCTTATTTAAAAGCATTTGTTTTTCTATTAGAAACATCATATTTTGAGCTAAATATTATGAATATTATCCTTACTTTGCAGATAATTAAAATTTGTTATTTGGTTTTACTTTCTTTTATGATTCTGGTTCTATCTAGTGTTATTATTATTATTATTATTATTATTATTATTATTATTTCTATTATTATATATGAGAATTTTATGATTCATTTATTCCAGACTCCTGTGTTAATTACTTGAACATTTATTTTATTGGTGTTTGAATTGGAGTTTTAATAGGAGATTCTTTTTATTTTATTGGCTCTATATCTGACAATCTTTGAACATCATTATCAAGTGTAAATACTAAATATCCTTAAGCACCAAATTATTATAGAAATGAAAATATTGTTTATAAATCATCTTGATTTATATTCTTCAAATATTCTTGATATCTAACCTTTATTTAATAATTACCTCTTCCTTAACATTGTTTTAGATCTTTTAAGAATAGCTGATATTTTATCGAAATGAGATGGTTCAATCTAATTCACTTTTGAAAGTTCTAAGATTAACTTCAAATCTTCATAGAGAGTAAACCTATCATTCTCTTGCTTAGCATATTGTTTTGGGTTGTCAATTTCATATTTTGAGATGGCTTTCTAGAATGCTTCAAAGAAAGTTAGCCCGGATTCATCAGATATATGTTACGCCTGTCTTTTATTTTTCATTTTTAATAATTTGGAGGTTAATTTTACATTATTAAACTTTATCATTCTATACTGTATTCTTATCCTCTCTTTCTCAATTTTCTTTACCTAAACAAGAAAATCTTAACATATATAAAGTTGAAGTTTAAAGAATGATACAAATAAGATCATTATTCCTATTAAATCCAACCTTCTGGCATAATTTAGAAATTATCATCCTCATTAGAACTTATCAATTTGCCTTCTTACCAAGATCCTATTTTTTTCTTACCATCTTTCCCTATCATTAATCCATTTCCATGCTATTTTCCATTCACCCATTAACCCTAGAACTATTTTCCATCAGGCCAATAAAATATCCCAAAACCACATTTTTTATCATGCTAATACTCCCCATCATAACTCTTTCCATCTTTCCATATATATTTCCCTCGACCGTGCATTTAATTTTTAATCCAACTTCCAGAATAAGACTGCAATATTTACGATACCATACCCTTCCATCAGGCCATTCATATTTTCCAATGCCATGTATCATATTATCCTTCCACTCTCCATTATAAACACATCCTTAATGCCACTTATAACAACCTTTTCCATGTTTTCGACCTCCTTAAAATTCTCCTTCATAAACTGATCCATCCGGCCAGGTTTCTATCCCATAACCATCTGGTTTATTAGATTTAAATTGCCCTTCATAAATTGGACCTATCAAGTAATTAAAAGTCCCATTTCCTTCCATCATATTCTCAACAAAATCACCCTAATAACAGTCTCCATTTTCTAAACATAACTTTCCATAACCATTTGCTTTTCCATTTGATATACATCCAAAATATCGGGATTTGTCATCAAATATCAATTATTAATCCTTTAACTCTTCAATACATTCCTATTCATTTACATCTGAGATTAATTTTTTAAAATGTAGAATATCTGCTTCCATTGTTTTGCATTAATATGTAGAAGGAGGACTTTCTTTACTATAATAAAGTAATACTAGCATCAAATTCTTAACTGTCGTCTAGGTCTTCTTCAGCAAATTTATCTTTTTTTTCCATACTATCATAAACAACAGGAGCTTCATCTTTATTCTAACAAGATGCACAACTCTAGCCCATCTTTTTATATTAATTTATATTTATTGGTTAAACCTAGTGTCAAATAATTAAACTTTTAATTATTTTCCTAAAATATACTGTTTTTAAACACCTCACTTTTCAATATAGCTTGCCCCAATTTACATCAAAAAAATTAATAAACTTAAACTTCAAATTAATAACTAATTTAACTACAAAAAACTATTATATTTCATATAATTTTGAATTTAGAATATTTTTCATATAAAATAGACATTATACTCAAAAATTCTAAGCTATTACTATAATTTAAATTATTTAATTATTATCAAAAATATAAAATTTTATTTTGCTTTTACTTTCCAGTATTGATATATAATTAAATCATTTAAGAACTAATCTCCAACTCATTTTGACATACTCTTTGAATTCTTAGTTTGAATATAATTCTACAATTCTTAATCATAAAACAATCAGAAATAAAAATTTTATATTCTCTAATAGCTAAACTCTTCTATTATTATCTAAAATTAGAAAAGAAAACTTTTGAGATAATTTTATTATGTGTTATGGATACTAAATTAAGTAAAATACGATTACAATTGCATTAAATTCCTATAAGAAATTTTTAAGTTCTTCTAAAACAGCACAACTTCCCTTCCATTTCACCTTTTGTAGAGAAGTAATTAATGTAGAAAACTTCATTAAAATTAATAATTCGATTACCAAAATATTAAATTTCTGATGGTTTTTTTATTACTTATTGCATTAAATTTTGTATTAATTTTTTTCTTATTTATAATGTTCTTTTTAATCTATAATAATTAGGCTGATATATTAATCACTAAAGTATCTTCTCTTTTTTCTTTTAACTTAATAAACTATAGAATTTATAATGAAGATGAAAACTTGCATTCAGATTGAACTTTTATTTCTATGTAAACCAAAATAAACAATTAATTTAAAATATTAGTTTAAAATAGAAATTTTTTTTCTAATANTATAATAAAGTAATACTAGCATCAAATTCTTAACTGTCGTCTAGGTCTTCTTCAGCAAATTTATCTTTTTTTTCCATACTATCATAAACAACAGGAGCTTCATCTTTATTCTAACAAGATGCACAACTCTAGCCCATCTTTTTATATTAATTTATATTTATTGGTTAAACCTAGTGTCAAATAATTAAACTTTTAATTATTTTCCTAAAATATACTGTTTTTAAACACCTCACTTTTCAATATAGCTTGCCCCAATTTACATCAAAAAAATTAATAAACTTAAACTTCAAATTAATAACTAATTTAACTACAAAAAACTATTATATTTCATATAATTTTGAATTTAGAATATTTTTCATATAAAATAGACATTATACTCAAAAATTCTAAGCTATTACTATAATTTAAATTATTTAATTATTATCAAAAATATAAAATTTTATTTTGCTTTTACTTTCCAGTATTGATATATAATTAAATCATTTAAGAACTAATCTCCAACTCATTTTGACATACTCTTTGAATTCTTAGTTTGAATATAATTCTACAATTCTTAATCATAAAACAATCAGAAATAAAAATTTTATATTCTCTAATAGCTAAACTCTTCTATTATTATCTAAAATTAGAAAAGAAAACTTTTGAGATAATTTTATTATGTGTTATGGATACTAAATTAAGTAAAATACGATTACAATTGCATTAAATTCCTATAAGAAATTTTTAAGTTCTTCTAAAACAGCACAACTTCCCTTCCATTTCACCTTTTGTAGAGAAGTAATTAATGTAGAAAACTTCATTAAAATTAATAATTCGATTACCAAAATATTAAATTTCTGATGGTTTTTTTATTACTTATTGCATTAAATTTTGTATTAATTTTTTTCTTATTTATAATGTTCTTTTTAATCTATAATAATTAGGCTGATATATTAATCACTAAAGTATCTTCTCTTTTTTCTTTTAACTTAATAAACTATAGAATTTATAATGAAGATGAAAACTTGCATTCAGATTGAACTTTTATTTCTATGTAAACCAAAATAAACAATTAATTTAAAATATTAGTTTAAAATAGAAATTTTTTTTCTAATATTGTAAAATTATGTGAACTAATTAAAAAAATTTTGTTTTTTATTTAAAGATAAAATGATGAAAATAAATTTAATGATTTTTTGATTATAACTTTGATTCACATTTTTATATTTTCGGTTGGCAACCATCTCCACTCTCCATATGATTACTAGGCATCATGGAAATACCATTTTCCTGTAAATCCTTCAGTAATTGAATTGGTAAATCCTTCATAAACCAAAATAGCATATTCGCCAAATTATTTTGATCGAATTCTATCTTAATAAGTTTCAATCATAAAAATCTTCCATTAGCTATTCATTTATTTAATGTGACCTATGTATGTTGAATCTCCAAATGAATCCTGAGCTCTTAGATGGATATCAATGTGATATTTATTAAATTCCTAATTATAATTTATCTCAAATTTTTTATCGATAATTTTTATGTTCTTCTACACCATTTAAAAATAACTCATATTCCAATTACTACTTCCCAAAATTTCCAATCCATATAATAGTTCATCTCTATTTGAATTATTTTCTTGTTTCAAAAAATTCTAAAGTAATCTCTATTTTTTATTTCTAATCTTATAACAATCACATCTTAAATAGCCATTTTTATAAAAATAACCTATAATAAAACCTAAAATAATCATTGAGAAAACAACTAAAATAGGAATCCAACAATCTTCTGAACAATCTCCTCCCTCTCCAGAACCCCAATTCCTATACCCAGAACTTCCTCCACTACTACCTCCACCACCACCACTACTACCACCTCCACCACCACCAGATTGTTGTAAAGCTTTCATTATATTTAAGGCAAAGATAACTATATGTTTCATTTAAAATAATAATTAGATAAAATATAATACCAAACTTACTTTTATAGAAAAATATATGAACTAATCTTGGATATAGATCTAATGAAATTTATTATTACTAATGATCTCATATTTATTGAAAATTTTACATATTATTTATTTAATGCTGCCTATTTACCATTACAAATTATTTATGATAATTAATCCTTAATCGATAAAATAAACTTTTAAATAAAAGAAGCACAATTGCATAATTAATAAATATCAAATTATAATTATATTTATATTTCAGCTTTTAAAGAGTCTATGTTATTAAACCTATTTGCTTACTCTATTTATTAACTAAAAAAAAAATTATTTTATTAATTTTGTTTCTTTTTAAAAATTTGCATGAGATTAAACAAATACTTTAAACATTTTCTTATCAGAAATAATTATATTAGACAAATTTATCATTAAGTAATATTTTAAAATCATATGTCAACTGAGTGTATTTAGACTCAGTAAAAGATTTGAATTATATAATTAATGCATAAAGAAACATAATTAGTTTAATGATTACAAAGGTATTTTTATAATTATCAGCTTTTCATAGTCTTTACTCCTAAGAGCATCCCCAGAACCACTCTCCATTTGATTAAGAAGCTTCATAAAAGTACCATCTCCCTTTAAATCCTTCTTGTAGTGATAAAGTAAGTCCTTCATATATCAGAATTGCATAATCGCCAAATTATTTAGATTGTAGCCTGTTGTCATAAGTTTTAAACATGAAAATCTTCCATTCTTAATTATTTTTTTTAATATGACCTGTGTAATTGGATTATCCAAGTGAATCATGAGCTCTTAAATTAAGATCAATATAAAATTTATTTGATTCCTAATTATAATTTATTTCTAATTTCTTATCAATTAATCCTATGTTATTCCACTCTTTTTGAAAATAATTCATATTAAAATTAAATCTTGCCAGAATATCTAATCCATATAATAAATCATCTCTTGTTGAAGTATTATCTATTTCCACAAAATTTTTTAGCAACCTTTATTTTGTCTTTTTAATTTTAAAACAATCTACTCTTAAATAGCCTTTTCTATAGCAATAATAAAGGCCAACGATAGTTAAAATAATTGGAATACATACAGTGATAGCGGTTTAACAACCTTCTGAGCATATATTATTTGAATTGGATGAACTTGAACTATCATCGAAATTTCCATCACTTCCACTTCCTCCACTACTTCCTCCGCTACTTCCGCTACTTCCACTACTTCCACTACTTCCACCACCCATTTATTGCAAAGTATAGATCAAATTTAGAGCAAAGAAAACTAAAAATTTCATATATATATAATTTTAATAATGTTATTTTTAAAACTAAACACACGCATATAATAATTTGATAAGTTTTTAGGAATTCTAATTCTCAGATTGCAAATATTAAATCAATTTGATTTCATACTTTTTATTATTTTATATTATCTTTTGTCTATTGTTTCTAATTTATAAAAACAACTTCAAGTTATCATCAATTTATTAGAAAATAAAATTATTAAAATCAATTAATGATCCTTAAATATAAAAAATATCAAGACAAAATAAGACTAAATTTAAAAAATAAATTGATAATTTAGATTAAATAAAAATCTTTCTTTTCTTTAATATTAAAGTTAAAAAGTTATTAAAAAAGTTTGTATACATTTTCAAATATATATTTTTTTCTTGTTTTACAATTAAATGATCTTAAAATTTACAGTTAAAGTCTGAAAGATTGAAAATAAAAATTAATTTAAAAACTAAAATATTTTTATACATCATTATTATTATTATTATTATTATAATTATAATTATTATTATTATTATTATTAAGATTTCAGCTATTATGATTATGTTGAAGAGTGTTGAGATGTTATTTTTTTGAACTAAACATAAGTGCGAAATATTCCATACAGATCGTCATATGAAGGAGTATCAAACATTTCTGGTTGCATCATATTTAAGGCAAGGTCAACAACTTTCTTATTTTAAAAATAAAACATAAGTTTACTTATTTTAAATCTTTTTCCCTAACATAACTTTAAATAAATTGTTAACATTTTCTTTTTTTTAATGATAGAAAATCTTCCATAGCTTTTATTAGTGCTGAGCTCTTGATAATTAAATTAATTACCTATCAACTATGTATGTTCTCTTTTTAGGATTACTAAAATGTGCTCCCAAAGAATGAAGAATTTCTTAGGCATATTTATTAAGAATCCTCCATAATCTATCCTTATAAGCTTTTTCTTTTTATTTTAAATTTTTAAATACTCTTTTAACATAATTTACTAGAAATTAATTACAGCATACCTTTGGTTGTTAACTCTTGATGTTTCTAAATAAAATGACAATATTAATGAGTTAGATTTAAAAAGTATCTTAATACTTTTGACAATTCAGTCTTTATTCTCTTTTTATTATGAAATGCAAACATACACATTGCCATACATAATTTAAATAAATTTCTTTAATCAACTGTTTATCCACTTTCTTTTATTTTAATCATAGTTGTTGTTCTGTATTTCCAAACAATTAGTCTTCCTTTCGCAAGATATTTTGTTCTTTTTTTTGCTTCCTAGATAGGATATCAACTAAAATACATCTAACATATCTTTCATATTTTCAGCTAAATGTATAAGTAAAAATACATCAAACCAACTGATTTAAAATTTTGCTAAAGCTTATCTGATTCTTTATTAAAATTTTTATTAATTTCTAATTTCTTTTAAAGCTTCACTAGCTTAATATTTAGACAACAAATCCATTTTTTTATCTTCACATAATTCCTTTTTTTTATTCATTGCATTTTTCATTCTTATATCTAATTAATCTTATGATTATATTAATTTTTCCTTTCTTGCTTCTCTAGAGTATTATCTGGTATCAAGATTATTGTTTATTTTGTCAGTTTCATAACTCATATCAAATTTAGATTACTACCACCAATATTTATATTTATCATAATTTGGTTTTTCTCTTTTTGGTTTAATTTTTTTGATAAATTTGTTTCCATATAAAAATGATACAGAAATATCACAATCTTCTTCAGAATAGATTGCTATATATAGATATTTATCTAAAAATTTATCATTATGCTTTTTATCTTAATATTTAAAATATTTAGATTATACAACAGCTTCACAATTAAATTTTGTTGGAAATGAAGCAGCTGTAGATATATACATTCGATAATTAAGCAATCTTAATTAATCACATTTAACATAAACTTATACTGGTGATTCCTAACCTTAAATTTTAATTGAAAAGTAATGAAATCTAAATCTATTAATTTAGATCCAATTATTGCTATCTTATTTAAGTTCAAATATTCTTAACTTTGATCCATCAGGAACAATTTCATTATTTTATAATTTCTTTTATTCTTCTACTGGAAATAGTTTTTATAAATCAATATTTTCTAAAGGTTCTGATTACTATATAATTTCATAATTATTTGAAAATGTTTGCATCATTTTTACTATTGAAGTCCTTTTATTCAAAAAATTATCACTTAAATCAAATAATCTTGCAGATTTTAATTAAGTAGTTGGAGATTTAACTAATTTTTTAAGGTGCATTGATGAAGATTTCAAAGATTAAAAAGAAGTTAATCCAGAAGTTTCTCTATTTGTAGGGGACTCAATCTTTAATTCTAAACCTTAGGATAATGTATGTCTATGCGTAGTTTAGAATGAATTTAGAAAGCTATTTTGTTTTGAATTACGCAAAGTTATTTTAGTATTCATATTTAATTTAATCATTTTTTATTTGGTGTCTTGTCTCGACTTGAAAATTGACTTTGAGTTCCATTTACGAATAGATTTCGAGAACTTATAGGTAGAATATCATCCAATACAGATAACTATCTTTTTCTTAATGTTTTTTATTTTACTGATTTTTCATTGTTAACATAATAATTACACTTTTGCAATTGTAAATTGAATTTATTGATCAATTAAAATTAACTAGTTGGTTTAGATTCATTTTAATTATATTAACTAAGTCTTCTTGCCATATGAATATTTTTTGACACTGGTTAAACTTTTTTCTCTTTGTTTTATTCAATAATTGAAGCTTTCATTTTAACTTAACTTGGAAACATTAAATTAGCTAACAATGCTCTTCCTTCAACAGGCTTTCCTAAAAGTTTCTTAGGAGGTGGAGATGTAATATTTGTATATATTTCACCAACACTTCTATGTGAATTCATTTATTTTGTTGACTTTGAATTGGAGATAGCTTTTGTTGATGTCGAAAAATTGTATTAAAGAGAAGGAGATTTTATCTTTGTTTCTCTATAAATTAGATCCTATAATTAAAAGGCCAACTCAAATGAAGAGGTCTATACGCACTAATTTTATTACATTATATAATAAAATTTATAATTATTTACTGAAAACAGACTATCATTAGATTTCATTAAACAATACTTCTTTCTTTTAAAGATTCATATATTATAATATGTAATCATTTATTTTTTATTTCTTTATTTTTATTATTAAACGAAAATTAAGTAAAGAAATATTCACACTCAAAAACCAAAATCATTTTTTTCAGACTGCCATCCAGTTATTTTAAATATTTATTAGATAGTTTTCTTATATTCTTTTTTATCTATATTCTCTTCACAAAGCTTTTAAGCTCCATAATAATGTATTGCTTAAAAAAAATTAGAATTATTAATTATTTTACATAAAAATAACATCATTTCAAAGTTTGCCTAAAAATTTAAATATTTCTTACATATTTTTTATTGCTGCTTATAACATTTAATATATTTTATTCTTCATTATGATTTTTAGATTTTAAAAAATTATCAATCTCAATTTTCTCTTATTCATTCTATTATAAATACATTTAAATGTATTATAATATTACATAATCTTAATGTAGAATAAAAACATTCAATAAGAATGGTATTGGCTAAAATATCTTAATAGAATAAATACTTTAAAAGGAATTTCATTTTTATATTAAATTATCTTAAAAATGATTTCTAGTAACAAATGCACCATAGATGAATTAATTAATTCCTTTTACAAAAGTGCTTTTTCACAAAAATTAAATATTCTTGATATTTAATAAAGAGAGTGTTTTTTTCCAAGATATTCAATTATTTAATGTAAGTAGTTGCATGTTAAATTCTTTTAACTCTTTAATTTTGTTAGCCTAATCAATAAATCTTCTTTTTAATCAATTTCTGATTCAATTTGATAATGTTTTATTATTACATTTTTTGTTATAGAATTAGATTAAATAATTCTGTCTTATGAGTTTTATTGAAATTAAGCTCTTTTCTCTTCAAATATTTGTTTCAAATCATTTTTTCTTAGTGTATCTCTATATTAATCTTTTTTATATTCAATAAGTTAGCGAATTGAAGATTATGTTTGATTCATCTAAATAATTTTATAATTCAATTATTTTTTTTAATATAAATAATTTTCCGTTTTTAAACCTTAAATATATAAACACAAAGAATTTTTTCTATTATCCAAAAATTCTATTGTTTTATATATACTAATTATTAATAACAAAACAAAATTATAAACTTAAGACAAAATTTCGTTTTGCAGATATTTATGCATATTTTCAGATATTTTATCGATGTACTTAATATTTAGACCATATATTTAAGATTTTTTGAATAAGATTAATTGGTATTTTTTCTTATTTTTGCTTTTTCTAGAATATAATTTTAAGTCATTAAAGATTTTACCAAAATTAATTCTTAATTAAATGTGTAGATTAAAACTCAAAGAAGAATAGAAGTTTTTATTGTTCCAAAACTTTATGAATCAAGTTTTCAAAATAATATTTTTAAATTATTTATTTATTTAAGTTAAAAAGTTTAGAAATGTCCTTTAGTAAATAATGATATTATAATTTTGATTTTCGATTATATTTTTGCCATTTAATTTTCATATTTATTAAGAATTAATTTAGTTCTAATAAAAATCTTAATCTTTTTGTTCAAATTAATAATTTTAACTTATTTTACCATTATTGTTTAATAGAATAATATTGTTTCTTCTCAAAAATAAATGAAAATATAGTTTTTTAGGAAGATGTAAACAAGAGAGTTCTAATAATGAAGATAATACGGACTAATTCTCCTTTATTTATTTGTCAACTAAATAAATTTAAAGAACTTAAATAAAAAAAAAAATAATTTTTACTAAATGCGTAATAATATATATGGTGATGTGACTTCTATGTTTATAGCATTTAATGATATTCATATTCATAATTTCTAAGGGATTATTTGATTTCATTATTATCTTTAGCATATTATGTAATTATATTTGGTTTCTAATTTAATTTTTTAATATATTACATTTTTCTTCATGATAATTTACTATTTTTTTTTATAAAACTTCACTACATTAAAGTCTTTTAAATGACTGTTTAATTCTTAACTCTTTTTAAATAGGTTTGATTTGAATTTCAGCTAATATATATAATTAAACAAGTTTGGAAAAGCCTGCATCTTAATTTTGGTTGAATTATTCTAATAAGGTAATAGCTAGATGCCATTTTTATTGATTTTCTATTTTTTCAGGATGTTTTATATTAATTTAATTACCTGAAAAATATTAAATAGGAATAGGTATCTCTTTTTATTATAAATTAGAAATATCATAAACAATTTTCAATTTTTCTATTTGAAATTTAAGGGAATCTTTGTGAGATGTTATCATAATTGCATTTTCTTGATGCTCCTTATTAATGACTTAGTTATAACAGACATTTTTATTATTATAATCACCAGGTAACAGAACATACGTGCTTGGTTGCTGATTAGTGACTAAAACTATCATATTTGGCCAAGGTATGTAAAAACTGCATTTTTCAAAAATATTCTATTTAGGAATAATTATTGATGCAAAACTATTGCTATTTAATTGGAGTAATTCTATTAGGTTACAGACTTTATTAGAACTTAAAAGATTACAATATTTATACTTTAGAAATTCTCCTCCGAAAATTGCAAAATTAAAACCACTACAAAGTTAATTTTTAACAATAGCAGGTTTTCTTCTATCTTATATTTACATCTCTACATTCTTTTAATCTTAATTATATATAATTTTGAGTTTATCATTAGCTTTATCTTTTTAATAGATTAATTTATTCCTTTTCAAAACAACAACAGACAAATTTTAAGTATTAATAATAATTATTTCTTAACCACATTAATAATAAACAATGTATATGTTTTAATCGCTTACTATTAATGAAGAGTTTTTGAGTATAGAATCATCCAAAAATTTATTCTATTTTTCTAGTTCATTAGATAATTCAAATCTTTGACTAAATAATAATTATTAATTATCTTACCAATTTAAATCTTACTTATTGGAATCCAATTTATTAAAATATTCAAAGTATACAAAATATTTTTCATTCTCATATTGAAGCAAAACTATTTATTTACTGGTGTAATCTACATATAGTATTGTATTTTATAGAAACTAAATATTTTTTCCTTCATAAAACAAATAGATAATTTAATAATCTACTAAATCGTTCTTAACTTAATTTTAGATATCATCCTTCAAAATACAAACTCCCAGTTTAAAATTTTGATTTTAGATTAATTACATTTATGAGTTCATCATTAAGTTTCTTAATTCTCTTTTAATTTTATCTAAAGTATCAAAATTAATTGTTTTATAATTTAAATCTACTAAATTTTGTATCCATTTAATATATTCTATTTAATCTGTTTATTATTTATTTTTATCAAATAGTAAAAGATCTTAAGACAATATTCCTTATTGCAAACTATTTATGAAAGTAATTAATTATAATTATTAAATTTTTTCATCTTATAAATTTTTGTTTTTTGCTTTTTCATCTGATAAATTTTGGTTTGGCTCTGCTTTTTCACTTTGTGAAATGTAAGAATGTATTATCAATCTATCTTTAGCTAAATATGAAAATTTCTTAACAATATTTTTTAAACAATCTTCTGAAAACTATAAACAATTTTCCTAAAATGAAATAAAATATTACATTTTCGAATTGTTTTGCAACAGATAGAATGAATAATGTCGATTTGAATGATTTAATGTGGTTTTTTAATATAAATTTGTAAATAATTTTGAATTTTTACCATGTTAGCTCTTCCTGACAATTTTATATTAATATAGTCTTAAAATTGGATTGATGTTAAGATTAAAATTTATTTTCTTACTGAGGTAATGCATTTTGATTTCTTTATAATGAAATGTATAGACAATCACCATTAGGAAACAATTTATAGATATCAGCATCATTGTTCTAAATTCCTGTTAAATTAATAAATATTATTTTATTTTTACTATTCATGTCTAAAATTAATAGATATTTTACTAAGATTTTTTTAAGACCAAATATGCATCAAATAAGTAGCTAAGAATGCAGAGTTGTACTGAATTTTATTTTCTAATAAGGGAGCTTCAAAAAATAAGACATTTGAAATTTATTAATCTATTTGCTAAATATAATAAAGTAATACCATTCTATATGCATCATTCAATTATTTTAATATATTGACGTTATAATTATGTTCAATATATGATGCTAGTTCTTTTGAAAGATATTGAATTATATATTTCATTTTCTCATAAGATTAAAAATTAATATGAACAGAAATGAATGCTTTTAATACTTTACTTTTTTATTAATTATCACCTAAGTATGTTAATGCATTTAGAATAGAGGTTGTTAATTTTGGATTGTAATCTTGTTGACTTGATTCATAATTTTCTATCTATTTCTAATTATAATTTGTCTCTTGAAGTTAAATATCTTTTTGTAATTTGGAACTAGGATTTTCTTCAGGGATAACTGACTTAATTATAGCTAATCGAGACACATTCTCAAATAAATTTTAAACAAATGAATTATTTCTTCGAAAAATATTCTAATTCTATTAATGATGAATAAGTAATTACTTATTATTGTTTGATATTTTGAAATATTTAGGCAGTAGATTCTGTTTGTTTAATAATCATATAAGATTGATCTTTAGAGATTTAAAAACTTATAATAATAATATTAATAATAATAATTAAAAAAAATATAAAAATATATTATAACAATATAAAATGACAGAATAGTAATAGATGAAAAAAACCAAAATAATAGGGAGTTACGCAATAGGTAATGGAAGTAAAGTGTATAGATAGGAAAAACTTTGGGATTTGGAACATTTGGTAAAGTGAAAATGGGGATTCATGAACAATCATAAGAGAAAGTAGCTATAAAAATACTAGAGAAAGATAGAATAATAGAGACAGCAGATGTAGAAAGAGTGTAAAGAGAGATTCATATCTTAAAATTAGTAAGACATCCACATATAATATAATTATATGAGGTAATGAAATATAATAGTTAGATAATTGAAACACCGAAACATATATTTTTAGTAATGGAAATGATAAGTGGTGGAGAGTTGTTTGATTATATAGTTTAGAATACAAAGTAATATATCAGATTAATAAGATTGGAAGAGGTTGAGGCATGTAAATTATTTCAGGAATTGATTGCTGGAATAGAATATTTACATAGATTACGAGTAGTTCATAGAGATTTGAAACCAGAGAATTTATTATTAGATCATAATAAGAATTTGAAAATTGTAGATTTTGGATTATCAAATACTTATAAATAAGAAGAAATGTTGAAGACTGCTTGTGGAAGTCCTTGTTATGCAGCACCTGAGGTATAGAGAGACTTTTATTAAATAGATGATAGAAGGATAAAAATATTAGGGTGTCAAAGTCGATTTATGGAGTTCTGGTGTTATATTATTTGCATGTTTATGTGGCTATCTACCATTTGAAGATTAAAATACTTCTGCTCTTTACAAAAAGATTTTAAGTGGATCCTATTAATTACCTTCTCATCTCTCAAAAGAAGCCTAATCAATGATCTAAGGAATTCTCACAGTTAAACCAGATAAGCGATTTACTATTAATGATATTAGAAATCATCCATGGTTCTAAATTTATAAAAGAACTTATGATATACCTCCAGGAATTGTTGTTGGTTATAACAGAATACCTATTGATTAAGAAATTCTCAAATAATTAAAATCATATGGCATAGATATTGATCATGCTTAAAAATGTTTAGATGCCAATAAACATAATGAAATAACGACCTTTTATCATCTACTTCTTAAAAGACATCTAACTAATGGAGGAAGATCAACTGCTGATCTTAATTCAGAATCTTTTGATATTACTCTTTTAGAACCTAAACCTAGACCTTAAAAAGGTATTCTTACTCTTTTCATCTCTAGCTCCTATTAGTTCATTAGTTAATAATGAAGTTATTAGATAATCAATTAGAGATGATATTATTAAGTAAAGATCTTATTCTACTGATAAAGATAGAGGAAGAATTATTAAAACTACCAATCAAAATAAAATACTTGCAGATAATGATTTAAGTGTTAATAGAATAGGAAATAATAATGGATAAGCTTATAGTGTATAACCAAGATAAAAAGATGAAAATTATTTTGAATAATCTCCTCCTATTAAAAAATAGAAACATCCATATTAAAATATGTTATGTCAAAAAAATGGAGTCAAAATTAAAAATTATAATGTTACTTCTATAGATTATCAAAATAAGGAAGAAATTAAAAAAGTAGGTTCCAGAAATAAAAGAGAATTGGATATCGTTAATCCTTATCGAAATTCTAAGAGAGATTAATAATTGAATAGAATGCTATAAAGTGGAAGCAGATCATAAAATCATAAAAAAGATAGGGCTTATATTCCTAATTAAAATAATCAATCCTTTGATGTACCTTTAAATTCTAATCAATCAACTAAATAAAAATCAGTTCACTAATAACGATCAGGACATTTTTATCATGATTGATGTTTAAGTTTTAGATTAAATTTTTTGAATATATCATTATCAATTTTCATTCATCCACTTCATCTTAAATTTATTTTTTAAATCATACAAACTCTTTTAATTTATAAGNCCTATTAATTACCTTCTCATCTCTCAAAAGAAGCCTAATCAATGATCTAAGGAATTCTCACAGTTAAACCAGATAAGCGATTTACTATTAATGATATTAGAAATCATCCATGGTTCTAAATTTATAAAAGAACTTATGATATACCTCCAGGAATTGTTGTTGGTTATAACAGAATACCTATTGATTAAGAAATTCTCAAATAATTAAAATCATATGGCATAGATATTGATCATGCTTAAAAATGTTTAGATGCCAATAAACATAATGAAATAACGACCTTTTATCATCTACTTCTTAAAAGACATCTAACTAATGGAGGAAGATCAACTGCTGATCTTAATTCAGAATCTTTTGATATTACTCTTTTAGAACCTAAACCTAGACCTTAAAAAGGTATTCTTACTCTTTTCATCTCTAGCTCCTATTAGTTCATTAGTTAATAATGAAGTTATTAGATAATCAATTAGAGATGATATTATTAAGTAAAGATCTTATTCTACTGATAAAGATAGAGGAAGAATTATTAAAACTACCAATCAAAATAAAATACTTGCAGATAATGATTTAAGTGTTAATAGAATAGGAAATAATAATGGATAAGCTTATAGTGTATAACCAAGATAAAAAGATGAAAATTATTTTGAATAATCTCCTCCTATTAAAAAATAGAAACATCCATATTAAAATATGTTATGTCAAAAAAATGGAGTCAAAATTAAAAATTATAATGTTACTTCTATAGATTATCAAAATAAGGAAGAAATTAAAAAAGTAGGTTCCAGAAATAAAAGAGAATTGGATATCGTTAATCCTTATCGAAATTCTAAGAGAGATTAATAATTGAATAGAATGCTATAAAGTGGAAGCAGATCATAAAATCATAAAAAAGATAGGGCTTATATTCCTAATTAAAATAATCAATCCTTTGATGTACCTTTAAATTCTAATCAATCAACTAAATAAAAATCAGTTCACTAATAACGATCAGGACATTTTTATCATGATTGATGTTTAAGTTTTAGATTAAATTTTTTGAATATATCATTATCAATTTTCATTCATCCACTTCATCTTAAATTTATTTTTTAAATCATACAAACTCTTTTAATTTATAAGATACAAGTATATTTTCAATAGATTTTCGAGAAATGTCAAAAATATTGATAATTCTAAAAAATTATTTTAGAGAGAAATTATAATATAATTTATATTTTTCTAGTTAGACATAAAATAGTTTTATACTATTTAATCATATAGAATGATTTATATGAAATGATATATTAATAAATAAATTTTAAACATCAATCAAAAAAGCATGTGTAGAAATTACAATTTAAGATATTACTAAAAAAATCTAATTAGGATGAATTTAAATAAATTAATAGTTAATTTCTGATAATTATAAAATTATTAATATGCTAGTTTAATTTTTGATTTTATCTTTTGCTAAATAAAAAATAGTAATAGAGAATAGAATTTAAAATTTGATTTGAAAGTACAATATATAATGATAAATTGTTAATATAAATCATGCAGTTGCAACTATAGGTCCAATAATAACTGCTAAAATTATAACACCAATTAAGATGATACAACACATTTTCTAAAAAGAATTTTATGTATAAATACCTTCCTAGCTCCTGATGATCTTTCTTAGCATCTGTGAGGTTTTTTTCTGCCTTACCTACATAAGTTTTGGCTGATCCAAGACTAATTTCGATATTATCGATTTACTCACCTTAAGCATGAACCAAGATTGCTAAATCTACAAATAGTTAATATACTTATTAAACTGACTAATAAATAATCAAAATAATTACTTTTTCCAATTATTGAATATCTTGATATTTCTCTTAGATATCTGAGACAGCGTTAGTAACACTAGCTGAAGGAGCTTCTCCATAGAGTTTACCTTGTAATAATTATGTTGCTTTCTAGTAAAGGTTTAATAAAATAAAAATACTTATGGATCATTACATATTTCATCTAAAAACTCTTCAGTTGCATTTTCATCTAAAATCTTTGTTTATCTTCTTATTTTCTCTCTAACACAAGTCTTGTATTTTATTGAAATTTCAGAAGAAGCATGCAAAACTTCTTAAACTTTACTTGTTAATGCATTTCTCTAATTAATTTTCATTTAGGTTTCTGGTTGATCCTCTTTTAATACAAAATTGGTTACTTTTTCATAACATCATCTTTAATATCTTTCATAGCTTCTTTTAATTAATTGCTAAATTATTAATTTTGCACCATAATTTATTCTAATTCTCTTGATAATTCTAATCAATTTCAGAGATTAGAATAACTTTTTCAACATATGAAGTAGTTGCTCTAGAATATTTTTCTGACATTTCCTACATTCTTAGAGTATTATCTTTTATTCTCTAGACACTATTGTGCCTTTTTATTTTAGCAGAGAATTAAGGCATAAAATCATCATCTTAAGAAGAATTGGAATTGTTCAATTAAAATGAATCTTATCTGCCAGACATCTAGATTACCATTCTCTTACTTTATACAATTCAATCAAACGATCATTCATGGTGTAAATATATTAATAAATAAACTAATTAAAATAAATAATCTTATTATGATATAAAAATGTTTTTAAGGAAAATATAATGTAAATTAATTCAAAATTTTATAAAGACTAATGTTTACATACAAAATTTATAATTAATTATCAGGATAAAGTTGCCAATTCAGTAGTAATTAGTAGTTTTTCTTTTTTTATGTCAATTTCTAAACTAAATTCTTAACAATTCAATTAATCAATTAAGGTCATTCTGGAAGCTAGATGAAAAAAAAATAATGCATATATTCCTACTCCACATAACCAAATTAAATAATAATTATAATTGGTTAATAAATATTCTACAAATCCTTCGAAAATAAATTGAAAGTTTATCCCGGTTGCTTAAAATATTACCAAATAATATTTTTACTTAACAAAGCTATAAAAGTTGCTGCTACAGAACTTTGAGTACTTTTATAAATATAAGACTAAGCTAAAGTGATGTTAATCAAGTTTAATAACCAAACACTAATTAACGATATTTTCATTAAGGCATCTCTATAAGGAAATGGAAAATTCTCCTCTGAAGCAAACAAGGTTATGATAAATACTCCTGAGATAACTAATTATTAAGGATATATAAAATTTGATATACCAATTTCATAGATTGAGAAGACTATGATAAATCTAATTTCTAAAACTCTTGTCTTTATAATTTTTGACATATAATATGGTAAAAGGCATGCAATTGGAAATGTAAGTATTTCAAGGAATTAAATTTATCCTTCTGTAAATTGTCTTCTCTTCATATGAATATGTGCCAAATCAATTGGCATTTATCCAATTCTGAAAAAACAAAAAAATAAAAAAAGAACAATCAAATGCTTATTTGAAAATGCTCCTAAGGCAGATTTATATGCTTCAATTATCTAATATAATAATATTAATACATCTTAATTATTAGTTGTTTCATTGTGTATTATAATGATAGATGCAACTCCAAGTCCTACTGATAGGTAAGATAAATCTTTGAATGCATCTAAAAAATTTAATTGATAATAAAACTTGATAGAGTAGCATAAGGTATTTCTTGAGGAATCGCATAAATATATGTATTACAAAATTCAAGTGAATTAAACATCTTAAAAATGTAAGCTCCAATAAATCCTCCTATCAAAATCCCTAGAAATTGAGCCAATGCTCCATACCCTCTATCTTGCTTTTCTAGACTTTCCACTAACCAAGCTGCTATTATTAGATCTATGCAAGCCAATAAACACATAATCCAAAATATGTTCCAAAACCAAGTACTAGGATCTAAGGATTAGAAATTTGAAAAATATAACAGAACTCTAATAATTAAAAACATAATTATACCCCAATCCAAAATATAAGACTGCTAACTAGCTTCTTCTTCTACCCATTTTATCCCAACTAACACTATCTATGAAAGGTGCAACTATGTATCTAAACAAATAAGGAAATAGCACAATCATATAGTTATATCTATTAATTTCAACACCTTTATCTATCAAATTTTATGGAACACTGTATAAGATGAGTCCTAACATAATTCCTTCAAAACTATAAAAAATTGTAAGAGGCACCAATTTCTTGATAAAAACCATTATATAATAATTTAATATTATCATGTATAATAAGGATCCTGTATAGGCTTCTTTCGAATAAAGAGATCTCTATTGAATTCTCTAGAGTTCTTACTTCTGGAAAGTAAGAATTAATGCTCTTCTGATGTCTGTATTTATGTAATTTAGTACCTTGGATAAAGATTTTCTTCTTCTCAGATAATCATAATCGAAATCCTCTTCTTCTGTGTTATTACTTAATTCAGAAGATGAATGAGTTGCTTATAGATCATATTATGGTCTTGATTACTATTTAACTTCCTTAAGAATTTTGTCCACCATTCCTTTTTGACATTTACATCTTCCTTACATGATTTCTAAAGATTTCTTTACAGCCAACAATGAATTTTCATTATCTATTTTTTATTTAACAAGTAATTCTTCTAACCATTCATTCTTTTATATTTATTGAGCCAATTCTAATTAATATTCTTTTTATATTATTTTTATCTTATTTTTTAATTCACTCTCTCTCTATTTGTAACGATTTATTTCACTAGCCAACAATCTATTTGAAATAGCCAACTCTTTTGTTTTCTATTCCAAATGTGAATTCTTTTTAATTGTAGGTCTAAAATGCAATTCAGATTGTTTATGATATTCTATTGCATTCTCGACAAACCTTAAAAATTCTGATTCAGGATGTTTTTAATCTCTCTATACAGAATCTCTTAAAAAATCACTATCACTTTTTGAGTTGTTTAGCTTAAAAAACTAATCAAACAACTTATCCCCTTCTATCTCTTCCAAATCTGTTATAGGAGTTCCTTGTCTATAATTATTCTACATAGTTGACTTTGCTCTTTAATGTTTCTTTGTCTCAGTAGGCTATCGATGTAATTATCCTAAATCATGATATTCTTAACGTAATCCAAATGACTATTAATCATTTGGAGATCTCATTTATCTGAGCTCTCTTAAAATGATTAATTTTATAGTATACTTGCATAATTGATTGTCTATTTTCCATACAATTAACTAAGAGACATTTTAATTTATGAAATCAATACCTGATAATAATATATCAAAAAATCCTTTTTTATTAAATTTCGCATATACTATCATTTTGTTACTCAAATCAAAAAATCAATATTAATATGAATTCTATTTAGATGAATGTAGTATTAAAATAAGAAAGAATTAATATATATGAAATCATTTATTATACCTTATAATTTGCAGTTCATTGAGGAATGAGAAATTAAATTTAAATAATAAGATATTTTTATGTCCCTTAAACTTTCATATACACTTGGTAATGGAAGAGCAGGTAAAATAATTGTGGCTGCTCAATTAGCCAACGTCTAACTTATTAGTGATTTTGTAGAATATAAATCTTTAGAGGTAAAAGAACTCCTATTAATCCTAGACACCTGCATTTTTAGCTAAAAATCCTGTTGGTAAGATTCCATTGTTAGAGACACCTGAAGGATATCTCACTGAAAGCAATGCCATTTTATAATATGTTGCTAGAGGAACACCTTTAGTTGGAGTAACAGAGTTCTAATAAGCTAAAGTAAGGTAATGGTTAGATTTTACATCACTTGAATTGGAACCTACTCTACTTGGTTTACTATTACCAATACTTGGTTATTAATTAACAACACCTAAAAAATAAGAAGAAATTAAGAAAGAATTAAATTGGAAATTAAAAATATTAGAAAATCATTTTAAAGCAAACAATTTCTTAGTAGGTGAATTATTGACTGTTGCTGATCTAAATTTAGCTACCTATTTCTAAGGACTATTTTAATTTGCTTTTGACAAATAATATAGAACTACAATTCCAAATATTACTAGATGGTACAAATATATTTCAGAAATACCAGCATTTTAAAATGTAAAAAAAATATAATATTACATAATAGTATTATGGAAGAACAAAATATTGTGTAAAAGCCTTCCCAATTCAATATGAATAAGAATAATAATAATAATAATAATAAAAATAAGAATAAAAATAAGAATAATCATAAAAATAATAGAAGTAATAATAATAATAATAATAATAATAATAAAAACCTGCTGCTTAAAATGATGATGAAGAAGAAAAACCAAAAAAATAATAATGTGAATTTGATTTATTACCATAATCCCCTTTTAATATTGATGATTGGAAGAGATAATTTTTAGCATCAAAAGATTTTGCAAGTGAATTTAAGACTTTTTGGAATATTTTTGATTCTTAAGGATGGTCAATTTGGATAGTTAAATACATTAAAGGTGAATCAGAAGGAAAAGTGTTAATTTAATTTAGAAATAATTGTAGTGGATTTTTATAAAGAGCTGATCCTCATTTTAAGAAATGGGCATTTGCTATTCATGGTGTATATGGAGATGTTCCTGATCTTTAAATTAGTGGTGCTTGGATATGGAGAGGAACTGAAATCCCTTAATATTTGGTATTAGTTTTGTTAATCTATATATAGAAAGATCATCCAACTTTTGAATATTTATAATTGACAAAACTTGACGCTTCAAAACCAGAAGACAGAGTACTATTTGAAGAATATTGGTTAAATTAGACTGAAGATGAATCAAAAGTTTAAGGACTTACAGCTAGAGCATTATATTATTTTAGATGAATTAAATATGTATAAAAACACACATATGTCATAATGTAAACAACTTTATCAATTATTTATATCAAAATTTCCTATTTTATCTTTTACAACAGATTAAAAGACTCCACCTCTACCACCAGGTTATTTGAAATTAGGTCTTTATAATGCTTAATCATAACTATGATATAGAATTTATAAGATTACGTTTTCTTATGAGGAAATTGATGAATATTAACAAATTTCTTATCTAAAATAACTCCAAAAAACATGTTCAATGCAAATCCAACAATTATTTCTAATAAAATCTATAAACCTTTTTAAAAATTGATACATCTAAAGGTATATGGTATTGATCAGCCATGTCCTTGTAAATTAAATGTTTTCTGTATCTAATTAATGAAATGGCTGAATGAAGTAATAATAAAAAGCCTATTACCTTAAGCATAAATTATATTAATTTTAATATATATGATCAATAATCATCATTACTACTATTAAATTTTGATTATTCTAATAAGCTGACTTCAGTATTTTTCTTTTCAATTCTATCATCCAATTGAATATCTTGTTCTGATCTCTTAAGGTTTTCGTTGATTTTCATAGTCAAAATATTTGAACTACAAATTAAGATAAGCATAAATATCATAGCTAAAGTAGAACATAATTAATTATCGCCCTATTTTAGATTATGAATTTCAAAATACCTTAAGGATTAAGATTTCTGGAATTCCTTGAAAGAAATTAAGAAGGTTTCCAAAGAAACCTAACATAGCAATTGTAGTATTTTCACTTAAAGGAAAACATAATTCACAAGAGAATTCAAAAGTCAAAGCCATAATGGCAGAACTTCCACACAAAAAAAAGTAAACAATAAAGAAAAACACTTTGTTTAAATGAAGTGCTAGTATGAGAATTCCAAATAATACAGTCACTAAAATGTTACAAATTCTCAACACTTTTTTATAAGATTAAGTTTTCTTTATAGCTGTTCCTACACAAATATCTCCAATTAAACCAGCTATCACTCCTACTAAAACTAAATTGCTCTAATCTTTGAGTGAATAATTGAATGGCTATATAAAATATTCCATCTATAGAGTAAATAATGTAATAGTCCCTAAGATAAAAGCGAAACTAATAGTTAACAAAATGAAATCAGGGTTATTAGTGACTATTAAACTAGCTTTGTGATAATCTTCTCTAACGCATTCCTAATGAATTAAACTATCTATACATCTGAAGCACTATAACTTGGAGGAGTAATTGGCTTACTTAAGAAAAATAGTATTGGTGGTACACATAGTAAAATCATCAATCCAAATAGTAAAAACATCAAACTCTCTATTAAAGCCCTTCCTAATTCTATTTATTCTTCTGTTGGACCATCATGAATCTAAAAGTCTCCTAATACAATAAGTGGAATTCTAATAGCTATTCCTGAACTCGCATTAAAAACTAAAGCTATTATCACCATAATAAGGATTCTATTTTCAGGGTAAAACCAATTTGCAACAAACTTTGATGCACTTATCAATCTAAATGGAAATCCAATTAAAGAGATCAATTATCCAATAAAGAAAAACCAAAAAGAAACATTTATGAAAATTGCAAAAATGGACCCAACAAAAGTTAATGAACAACCTTTAATAATCTAATTATTCATACCTATGATAATACTCATCCTAATTCCATACTTTTCATTAATTATGTTTCCTGGTATTATCATAATTACAGAAAAGACGGTAAAACTAATTGTCAAAAATTACAAATATCTTCATTATTTAAGAATCTTTTACCTACTATCAACTTGATAAACTAATGACATTTCTTTCACAATAGGCGAAAGCGAAAATCCAAACATAATGTTTGAAAGCAAAGCACATAAAAATAAGACTAATTGTAGCCAACGCTATGGATATTCAACATATTGATGATGTATTTTATCTGTTGGATATAATTTATTCATTAATCTATATATTTAAATATATTCATCAAAAATATAGTTTCTTTTTATCATTAATTTATGCAATTTCATCCATTCTCTATTTCGCAATATCCTTATCTTTCTTAGCATATATTGAATATCCCTTCAATGTAGCATTCCTTTAGGCATTTTATAATTCTCTTAAATCTTATTATGCCCTTAATCCATGTTGAATACTGTTTAATTATTCTGTATTTTATTCTTTATCTCCTGTTAAAATTTCAAAGCTTCTACTATAAACTGCATTTAATGTATTTGTGTTTTTACGAATAATCATTTCACTCTCCTTTATTTCTGATAATAAAGTCTCTTTATCAAAAAATGGAGTTCTCTTGCTCTAATTATTTAACACGCTAAAATTATCAGATTTTTATCCATAAACATTAACTTTTTAAATTTCATCAATTGGTTTATAATAATTTTCCTATGCCTTTGGATCTTTTGTCTTTATAGATAATTTTCTTGTTGAAGGTCGTTTAAAAAATATATCTTTGCCTAACTTTGGTATTTCTTTCTCTTTTTAATCATCAATTATAAGATTCTGCTACTATGGTGCTGTTATCTAGTTCATTTTTAGATTTGTTGTATTCGCTACATTTAATTATTAGGTATCTTAACATCTATTCAATCCAAAAGATGTTGGAATTGCTCTCTTTTCTGGTACTATTTGGTTTGAATTTAAATTCATCAGGTCTAAATTTGTTCCTGATGGATTTTTTTAATGTTCAATCTTTGTATCAGTTCTTAAGGCTAATCCATCTTGAAATTAAAGTGTTTAGACATATTAATACACATCTTATATTGTTTTTAATTCATCTAAAAGTACAGTTTTAAATTAGCTTAGTCTCTATCTTGTTAAAATTAACGGATCCTTAATCGTTGGAAGTAATTTATTTAAAAATTCACATATGCACTTCTTCAGCATAAGTATTTCATCTTATGTGTTCATAGATAATATTTATATATATAAAATTTCAGTCAATTAGTTTTTTTAAACTGTTCAAAATAACCCAAGAAATCTTCTATTGTATAACAATCAAACCTTTGATTAAGATACCATATGTCTTTTTCGCTTGGTTGTTTAAATTTTGAACTTAAAAATTATTTTATTGAAACCTAATAATTTTCCTGAAATTCCAATTTTTCAATATTTTCAATTAAGTAACTTTCATACTCTTCAGCTATTTCTATTAATTCAATCAATCGATTAAAATTCCCTCCTTTCTTTATAAAGCATTAATATTCCAATTATCTTGGTTGAACAAATTATTAAAGATCATTGAATGATAATTTACCATCTCGATCAGAATCATATCTATTGAAAAATCCTTTCATTTCTCTATGAAATAATTATTTTAATCCTAAATATGTAATTGTTTCTGGAAAGAATTCAATTGAAAAGTCTTAATCTAAAGCTAAGTCTTAACGACAATATTCTAACTTCTTTTCAAATTATATTATTTACCAAATAAATTGCTTCATTATTATATTTATTAAGTTTTATTCAGAAGCACATTTAATTTAATTCTATCATAAATAACTTCTCTTAAATTTAAATCTTATACACCTACTCAAATTGATTAATTTAACAATTTTTAAGTATATAAAATGATTTAGATTGAATTAAATTGTTTATTTGATATAATCATTAATAACTATTAATAACTGACTTTCAATTAGTTAAAACTAAAAATTTTATTTCTCTTTGATTTATTCTCTAAATAGTTCAAAAATATCAATAAATTAATATTGATCTAGATTTAAATTTTTATACATAATAAAATCACAATCATCTTTAATATATCGTTTGTTGTTCTGCTTTCAGAGACAATAACAACAGCCGAGAAATTTGAATATCTAATTCAGATTCTAGGTATTAAGTTTATTTTACCTTCATCAATATCTTCAATTGAAGTTGAATTGCTTATTCCAAACAGATTAATCATTTTGAGTGCCGTTAAAGTGGAACACATTCTAAATTACTCATTAATTGATCTATTGACTCTAAATTCAAAATAAATAAAACTTACAATCTTATTGATACTTTCATTTATTGAGTTTTCATTGAGGAAAAGCTGATAAATTATTTGGCAAAGGTGAAGAATCCCCTCATATTAAATTTAATTTATTTTTAATTAAAAAAATGTAAAATTAAGAACTTTTGTCAGCAATAGTAGATTGGATGAATAAGATAACTTTTTTAAAATTTCATACAAACTTTAAAGAATATGCTGATGGGACATTATTTATTCAAATATTAAATCACATTAATACAGATCATTTTGGATCTACTTTTCATGTGCAATATAAAAAAAATTATATAGGTTTTAGAAAATTAGTCATATACTGATAATTGGGCTCTTAATATGTCAAGATTAAAATTAGTTGTAGACAAATTAGCAGATTATACACATAAATAATTAGATATAAATGTTATGGAAATTGCAAAAGATAGAAATGAGAATTAAATTTTAAAATTAATTGGAGTAATTTGTTAAGTTATTATTAATTCTATATCATTAGCTAATTTTATAGAGTGATTTCTAAGATGATTTTTTTGTACCAGTCTTATAGCTATCAGAATAAAAACAAGAATTAATTTCTTAATTTTTATAAACTTTAGTTGACCCATTTACACAATCCGAAGATAAAAGTTTATTAGATAAAATAGACGAAATAGATTCAGAAAATCAAAAATTAATCCATTAAAACTAAGTCTTGATGAATGAAATTATAGAATAAAAGATGACAATAAAAAAGTTGGAGTAGGATAATAAAGAAAAGAGTGAATAAATAGTAATGCTTGAATCAAATGGTAAAACTTATATTTAATAGCAATTTAGAGAGAAAATCTTCTTTTAATGAAGAGAAAATTAAAGAATTAGAAGAATTAAATAAATAATTATGGACAACTTAATAAAAAACTCGAGAATTAGAAATAAAAGTTTAATCTCAATTAAGTTAAATAAAAGAAGCAAACTTATTAAAAGAAAATACTCGATTAGAGAATGAATAGTTAAAACTTAAAATTATGTAATACATAAAATAAGAATAAAAACATGAGCAAATAAAAGAGAAACTGTCTTAATAGAAATTATATTATACTAAACTTATTGAAGATAAAGATAGATAAATTAATAAATTATAAACTTCTTTTTAAGACATTTTTAATTCATTTTAAAATGAAAAGAAAAGAACTTTATCATTAGAAACTGAAGTTTAATCTCTTTAATCAAAAATTACTGAATTAAATCATGAATTTCATTAGAAAGAAGAAAGTCTAAATGAAAAAATTAGAGAAGCTTCAAGAAGAGAGTCTAGAATAAATTCATTTGATGTTACTGATTTAAGACCAGATTCTAGAATGAATACTAATGATCAAATAAATCTTGCTTAAGATTTAAATTAAAATAATGATTAATACTATGCTTTACATATGAGTATGTTAATTTAAGAAGAAAATTATAAGAAGGAGATAGATATGTTGAAAGAAAAAATAAAAAACTAAGAATAATAGATAAAAGCTTGGAAATAACTTAATGAAAGATCTGAAGAAAAATTAAAGTAATTAGAGTCCAAGTCAATATCAATAAATGATAATTAATCTGCTTAACACATCGCTTAATAAAATGAATAGATTAAACATTTAACCAATATGCTCAATTCCTTTAATGATAAGTTTATTAAAATAAGAGAAGAACATTTAAGACTTTTAAAAACTTGTTAATGATAAAAATTTTATTTGATAATTATAATATAATAATTTTACAATTTAAAATTAAAAGGGAAGAGAGTGATATCACTAACTTAAAATATATTATAAATTTTATTAATGATATATGTCCCTGTAACTGAAACCATATAAATGACTAAAACTATAGAAAATGATGGATTAGATGCATCCCCTAATTTTCAAAGGTTCAAATATAATAATGTGCATCGAAATAATTTTTCTCTTGCCTGTAAAATTAATAATCCATTGAAACCAGCATCAAATAAACGTTCTGTTGTTTTTGGATCATCTTAAGAAAGAAAAAGAACGTCAAAATTAACTTTACCATCAATATAATATGATTTAAACTTTAAGTCAGTTGATCGACACCAAGCATCTCCAAAAATAAGAGTTCAGAGAACAAAAAGATTTAAATCCGAGAAATCTGATTAACAAGGTTATCCTTCTCCAATTGTCAAAAATACTCAAACTATTGTCTAAAATCTTAAAGCTACTGAATAACACTACTTAGAGAAATTAATTCAAAGGGTGAAAACACCTCGAATTTAAAATAAACCTAAAATATCACTTAAATAAGATGATTATATTCCGATGAATTCTTAAGAACTTAAACAAAGTTTATTTTCGTTGATGTAATTTTTTTCTCAATTTTAAGGAATAAATATGGTATTAAAAAAAAATGAAATTATGGAAAACAGTCTATAACTAAATGATATAATTATAAAGACTAATAATATATTAATTAATAGTTATAATCATTAATTATTAAATAAGTATTGGATTATAACTTTGGTCTTACAAAAAATACGATAATAATTTATCTTAATTACTTGATCAATAAAGAACATTTTTAACATTAAATAAATGAAATTTTTTATATTAATCAAACAGCAGTTTGATATTTTTTATTATAATTTTTATACTATTTATTAATATATTCTCTTTTTTGCGTTATTTCAAAGATCAGAAGTTAGCTTTATTCTTGTTTGATAAATCTATCCAAAAATTTTTTTTAAGATTGGATATAAAAATTCAAATGATGAAATGTTAGACAAAATTAATTAGCTTTTGTAATGATAACTCTAAATAAAGATAATATAATATTATGATACTAAGAGTCTGGTAAGAAATATTTATTGAATTATATATTGAAGGGAAAATTTATGATATTAGGAAACTTATAATAATTATTATCATTATTATCTTAACTGATTTTATGGTAGTTAAAATCTTACAAGCGCATCATAAGAAGAGTATACTTAAATATACTTAAGAAGTCTTTATATTAAAGTCAAGTTTTTATAATGACAAATAATTATAAATGAAATTATTAAAGACTTTCATTTAAATTGTATAAAAGTATAGAATCATATTTTTAAATAAATTGATATATTTATGATAACTAATTTATGAATTTGAATATTAAATCATTTATCCCTCATGTTCTTGTGGATTTTCTCAGTATAAAGCTTTCTTCACTACATATATTTTACTTATTCTATTTATGCAATTTATCTCACTGCTCTTTCGTATTTAATTTAAAATTATCTAAGATTTTCTTAGTAGTTTTAATCAATTATTTAAAGCTCTTTCAAATCTTCCAATTTTTTATTCTTAATTATGTGAATTTAATCTTATAAAGTCTATTTTATCATTCAAATTACGCTTATTGTTTTATTGATATTTTATTATCTATCATTTTATGCATGATAAGTTTTGTAGATTTCAAATGTGGAAACTACTAATAAAGTAATATATATTAGTATTTCTAAAAAAAATTCTGTCCCCTATAATATAATTTTATTTTTATAACTAGTTTTAAAGCCTCATTGTCAACTAATTATTCATAATCATCCTTCAAATTTTAGTTCAAATACATTCTGTCAATTTTTTACTATCTTTCATAATCTCTATACATCCCATAAATAATAAGCATTTCCTAAATTTAACATTTATTGAGTCATAAAGCTATTCTTATTCATTTGAGCTTTTTATATTGATACATCTTTTCTACTAGTAATTATTGGTCTTGCAAATACTCTAACAATCAATGAAATAAGTTTTAATTGTGGCAGCATAATAAATTTAATTTTTAATAAATATTTAAAGGATTCAATACTCTTTAAAAATAAACAATTAATTAATGTTGTATTAAAAGAAGAATAAAAGTTGTAATTGTATTTTTTTAGATAATAATTTCTTTTTTTAATTAAGATTAAAGCTTTTTGACAATGTTCTCTTTATCCTTACCTAAGAACTGTTTTGAATTTTAACAAAAGAATTTTTAAAACTTAAAAATGTTATCAAATTAGAATGAGAAAAGAGAAAACTTTTTTTAAAATTATATAAAAATAAGGTTGGCTAAAATGGAAATAAGAAATTTAGCAAAAACGTAAAATAAATCGTTTAGATCTAAAACAAATGTTATCCGAACATAATATCCAATTTAGAATGGATAATGTTAATTGAAGAATAAAGTGAGAAGATTTGTAACAGTATAAGAATTCTCTAAAACAGACAGAGTGACTATTAAGAAGTTTTCGAATGTAAAAAGAAAAGAGAGTGAAAATTGGAGCGATTTAAATCAATGGAATTATATATAAGATGAAACAATTTAATAGTGAATAATAAAAAATATTGAAAAGCAGTTTATTACTTAATAAATGATATATATATTAATGAGAAGATGTGTCTGAGGATTGAAATGAGAGTATTAAATGATAGAAAGAGAGTGGATTATAATAATTAAATAGAAATGAATAAAGTTATAAGATATTGATAGAAATAATAGGATTATAATAGTAAATGGTTTTTAGTTGGAGTATCTTAATGTGAGTAGTTTGATTTTCTAGTGTTGAAATAAATTTTAAATTAAACTCCTTTAATTTTATTTATAAATAAATATTATCATTAATGGGAAACATTTGTCGGTAAAATCCAATTAATGATAAAAATGATTTAGAGGTTCCTATATCTTAACCTCCTCCAGTTTAATAAATGCAGCCTCCAAAACCTGAGGAAATAAAGACTCAAGCACCAGAAAAATAGGAAGAACCAGTTGAATAAATAGATTAAGCAAAATTAGAGAACGAAGTAATAATATGATTTTATATGAAATAGCCAAAAAGAAAAGAATAAAAGAAGATGGGAAAGATAGCTGCAGTAATAGATCAAGAAGTCATTTATGAGAATGTTCAAAAGTAAGAGAAAGTGAAAAGTCCATTAGATTATTAATTACTTTTGAATGCATTTGGAAATAGTTTTATTTTTGGATAATTATAACCAGAAGACAAGTATAAAAAATATTATTAACAAGTTAAGAGTAAAAGTGATTGATAAAATGTTTTTTTGCACAGTTCATGATGGTGAAATGGTTTTTAAGCAAGGAGATAAGGCAAGTTCATACTTTTTAATAGAACGTGGATAATGTTAGATAATAATTAATAATGAAGTGAAGAAAACATTGAAAAGTGGTGAAGCATTTGGAGAATTAGCTTTATTATATAATGCACCAAGATCAGCATCAGTTAAAGCAATAGGAGGTATTATAAAATTAATTTTAGATTGTGCATTTTGGGCAATTGATAGAAATACTGTAAGAAAAGCTATCGAATCAATTTCACAAAAAGATTACGATTAAAATAAGGAATTCATAAACAAAGTGTAGTTTTTCGGTAAAAAAATTTAATTAATAAATAAGAATCATTAACTGAAGATTAGAAGGCAGCGATTCCATCAGCATTAATAAACTTGAATTTTAAAGCTGGAGAGATAATAGTGAATGAAGGAGATTAGGCTGATTCATTTTTTATAATAAAAAAGGGAGAAATTTAAATATCTAGAGGAGGGAAAGAAATAAGAATTATGAAAGCAGGAGATTCTTTAGGAGAATAAGCTTTATCATAAAATTCTGTAAGAGGTGCAACAGCAAAAGCAATATAAGAAGATGTGATAGTTTTAGCATTAGCAAGAGATGATTTAACAAGAATATTAGGAGATAAGATACAGTCTATTATGTATAGTAATCTTTAGAGATGGGCATTTGAAAGACATGTAGTTCTTAATAAATTGACTAAATTATAAGTTGAAAGGATTGTGAGTAATATGTCACATTCTTAAAAGAAGAGTGAAGAAATTATAGTAGAGAAAGGATTACCATGTAGAGAAATCATTATTGTACTGTAAGGATCAATTAAATATGGTAAAGAAGTTTTAGAGAAAGGATAAATGTTTGGAGATAAATTCTTGGATTAAGGAGAAAATGTAAAGTTAGGAGAAGCTGTAATAATGAAAGATGAAGGAATTATTGCAACTATTACTTTTAAATAATTCTTTGAAATTATTGGAGGATCTTTAGAATAAATATTTGCAAAGAATGAAAAAGCACATGATAGATTTATAAAAAAGGAAGAAGGATAAAAATAAGATGTTTATAAACATTTTTAATTGGATTAATTAATTTATGTTAAAAAATTAGGTTAAGGATAATTTGGTAATGTGTATTTAGTACATAACAAATTAGATAAAAAGACATATGCTTTAAAATGTATTTCTAAAGCTTAAATTATTGAATAAAATCTAGAAAAACATTTAGCTTAAGAAAAAATAGCATTGGAAACTGTTAATTTTCCATTGATTATGCATTTTGCAAGAAGTTTTAAAGATTTTTCTTATATTTATTTCTTAGAAGAATATATTAGAGGAATGGAATTATTTGATGTAATAAGAGATATAGGTTTGCTTAATACTTATGATTCATAATTTTATATTGGATCATTAATTTTATGTATGGAATATTTACACTTAAATAATATCATTTATAGAGATATTAAACCAGAAAATATAATGATTGATGAAAAAGTATTATACAAAAAATAAATATATTAGGGATATATGAAATTAATTGATTTAGGAACAGCTAAGAATTTAAAAAGTAAAAATGGTAGAACATATACAATTATCGGAACACCACATTACATGGCTCCTGAAATTTTAACTGGTAAAGGATATACATACTCAGTTGATCTATGGTCTATAGGAATATGTTTATTTGAGTTTATGTGTGGAAATGTACCATATGCTGAAGATGCAGATGATCCGTATTTTTATTTTATCAATCATTTTATTAGATATGAAATATATGAAGAAATCTAAAAGAAATAGTTAACATTCCCATCAGTATTGAAAGATAGAAAAGCAAAAAAATTAATTGAACAATTACTTAGCAAAACTCCAGAACTCAGACTTGGATCATCTTATGCCAGTTTAAAAAACAATCCATTTTTCGAAAGATTTGATTATGTTAAATTTAAATTATTATATTAGGACCTTTTAATTAACAGAGAATTGAAACCACCTTATATGCCACCTAAAAACAAATTACATAGTGATAAAGATATTTAAAAAGCTATTCAGGTTGGCAAATTGATCACCGAAGAAATTAAAGTATATTTTAATTTATATAATAGAATGATCTTGCAACTAATTAGAATGTTTACAAACCTGATAAGGCTCGTGATCCTAATTGGGATAAGGAATATTGATTTCTTAGAATTTTCTTATAATTATTTATAAATTTGTTTTTGTTTATGATAGCCTTAATTATTATGATTACATCAGCATTTTCTTATACTTAATATGCTCAAAGAATTCCAAAAAATAAATTATCAGGGAAATAATAATACTTAACTAGAGTTCTTAGGGATAATATTAACAATCCTCAATATACATAGGTAAATATCATATCAAATTATAAGGGATTTGCTTTTTTGAATGAAGATACAATATTAGAATCAACGGGACTTTACAAATAGAGTGGAATTCATTATATAAATTTAAAAAATGTTAATACTCTTTAAAACTAATATAATTTAGATGGTCAATTCTTTGGTGAGGGATGCGATATTATCAATAACAAAGTTTATTAATTGACTTGGTTAGAAAAAAAAATGTACTTATATGAATAATTGTAGTTTTGTATATGAAAAAGAAGATCTATAATATATAGGATAGATTGATCTACCTTAAAAGATTAAGGAGGGTTGGGGATTAACTCATCGTTTATTTAATGAAGAAACTTAGATATTAATTTCAGATGGAACAGGCTACATACATATATTGAATGAAAATTTTTAAGTTTTGAAATCAGTTTTAATATTTTAAGGATTAACTCCTGTAAACTATCTTAATGAATTAGAATATGCTAATGGAATTTTATATGCAAATGAATATCTAAAAAGTTATATTTTAGCTATAGATCTTGATGAAGGCAAGGTTTTGGCAAAATATGATTTTTCAGAACTTGTTTATGAAGCTAAAAGACCAGATGGATGTTTGAATGGAATTGCTTTCAACTAATAAACTTAGACCTTTTGGATTACAGGTAAGAACTGGCCATTCATTTAAGAAGTTAAGTTATTTTGATAAGCAGATAAATTTATTAGTTCAATATCTATTTTTATAGGTTTCTTTCTTTTGAAAACATTATTTATTCCTTTATATTATTATTTTATCCTTCTTCTTCATAAAGATCTTCATCTTCATTAATTTATCTTCCGCCTCCATACGTTTAATTTTAAAACCAAAATACTTTATGTCTGTTTTTCAATAGGCCCTTATAAAATACAATCACAAATCGTCCACAATATAGATTATTTAAATTAAAAACGGTTCACATTTTGATCGTACGTATTATGCTCTAATATAACTTATTCTTTTGAGTTCACTACTATAATTTAAATTTAAAATAATAAATGTAATCTTAATACTTATATATAAAACTGTTAGTAATTGGAGTAAAAATATAATATGTAATTAGTAACTAATACTTATTAATTATAATTATTACTTTAATTTTTAAATTACAAATTAAAATTTATTTATCTCGACTCTTAAAATTTATTTCTATATTCCAAAAGGTTTAAGTTTTGCTAATAAGTAAAATGATGTAAATTGTTTTAAAAATCAATAATGTTGATTGTGAATATTAATTTTTTTCGCCTGAAAAACAGTATTATAAATAAAATATTAAATAACATATTAATTGTAGAATTTTATATAGAATTCTGAATAATGAATTTAACTTTGGTTTTTATTGTTAAAGTTTGTTGATTTCTCTTGCATAACAAGCATGATTCTTAGAAAAACATTGTTATTAAAAAAAAGACAAGTTATATCATTATTCTTTTCTAAATTAAATTTAGGTTACTTTATACTATGGAGATAACTTAATGTTGAAATTAATAAATTTAAATATTATAGTACTTCTTTTTAAAAAATTGAAAATATATTAATTATATATCATACATGGCTATTATATAAACAAACTTTTTAGATTTTTTTAAATAACTTTTAATGCAAATAAAAATAATGTGGATTAGAAATGAAAATTTGATCTTATTAATTACACCTATATTTATTTATTTGATTCTATGTTTGTTAATTAAATGTTAATTTTATTGATAATTGAATCAATATTCCTTGTTGCATATTTATGGTATGTAATACATAGTCATGCTTCCAAACAAGTTACTTTTTATGTTAAAACCTTAACATTAATCTCTTGGTTGATTTCATTTAGTTTGATAATAATCTTACCATTAGATATCTACAAAGTAAATTTTGATTAATAATTAGAATGAATAAGATTTAAAAGATACTCAAATAGAAGTTATTTGGATTGTTTTATATTGGCTAACATTTTTATTAACATGGTAAAAATAATTATATTCTATATTTCAGGATTTTTCTTCCCATTACTTTGGACTACGAAGATGCAGGAGAGTTTACTTTCAAATAGAAACTTTTTAAAGCAATAAAGATAAATTTTTAAATTTATGCAATTTTTGGAGTTTTAGGGATAGCTTTTACGATATATTTACTTGTTGAAAAATAATTTACATTTTAAGCCCTTCTGGCCTTAACAGTGGTTTTAAGTAATGCTTTGTAATAAATTGATTAATATGTAGAGGTCTATTAATTGTTACATTTCTTTTAGGATATGCTATAGTTGCTATTCCAAAATAATTTTTTAGGGAAAGCAACCATTAAATTTAACTAAATTTAAAATATCATTCAATTAACAAAACTAAATTGTTACTTGAATAGGAATCATTAGATTTAGATGAAATTCTAATAGAAATCTTATCATATGAATCAAAATACAAAAATAATGAAGAATATCAACCTTATATTTAATAAATACTCTAATTATTTACCAAAGAATAAATTGAGATGGCAAAATTGTATCGTTTGAGGAACAATAACAGTAATTAATTAGAAGATCTGAATATTGATAAATTATCTGAAATTCATAAACGATCTAAGGAATTAACTTATGATTATGTTAGAAAATCTAAGAAATTAGAAATTTTGACAAAATAAGCTTTATTTATTGAAGATATTATTAATTGTGATCATCGAGAGAAGAAAATTTCATCTGCAGCAAGACCTGAAAGGGTAGGTTGTTTTGGAAAATTTATTGATAAATTTTAATACTATTGGTACGTAAAGTTTTGGAAAATAATTATGTACAGCACTGCTATTGTTTTTATAATTCTTGGAAGTTTAATTACATTATCTGAAATAGCAATTTTCGGAAATCTCAAGTTTAATGTATTTATCTACTTTATAAATGATAATGAAGAATTTTTTGCAGTATAAATATTAGTATTAATTCCTCTACTTTATGTATTATATTGTATTTAGTATGGGCTTCTAAATATAAGATTTAATCGATTTGGATTTTATGATTATGGTTATACAGATGCTCCATCCTTACTTTTTTCAGCAACTTTTGTATCTAGAATTGCCTTCCCATTAGCTTTTAATTTTTTTTGGATGTTTAATGAATCTGATGCAGATATTGCAAATGTTGTGGGAAATTTCAATTTTGATCAGTATTTAAGTATTCTATTAATAATATTTGAATAGCCGAATTTAAATTGGCATTTCCAATTTTATTAGTGATCTTGATTATTTGTAACATATTTGATATTTACGATAAATTATTAGGAGCTTTAGGATTCGAAAGATTTTAATTTGAAATAGGATTTGCAGATGAACACACAGAAGAGGGTTAAGAATATGTATAAAAATTCAGATTGGAATTATCAAATAGCTAAATTCCTCAAAATATAAATTAAGATATGAAGCAACCTTTTTTATGATTAATTCTTATGAGAAATTTATTATCAAATATTCTAAATTATAAAGTTGTTATTATAGATATAATAATAATGATGAAGCGTGGAAGAATATTTTATCTTAAAATATTAAAAATCTATGAATATTTTCATTAATATAATTAATTATGTTAATTTCAAAGACTGATAATGAAGAGTCAGCTGAAACAGCTGTTCATTCTACTTAACCTGTTTGTCCAAATTGTGGAGCTGCAAGGGAGAGTATTTTAGAATAAGTGCCATCTCCAGCATCATTTATAATTTCATTTATCTCTTTATTTTATTTTGGAATTTGGTGCATATTTATCATACCTTTAGTATTTCAATCAACAAAAGTATAAATAATAAATAAAGTCTAAGATGATAATAAAGAGATGTTACTATTGTAATCAAGAGTTAGAAAAACGAAAATATTTTTAATTACCAAACATCAATGATTAAGTATTATAATTTAGATTTGGCAATTGCATTGTTGTAGTTTCAAGAAAATATGCTTTAATTTTATTAACAATAATCATCTGTTTATTTTTTTACTTTGAATATTTTATAGAATAAGAACATCCTAAAATTGAAACAGATGTATATGCAAACAAAACGTGGGTAGATTTCTTATAATTTTGTGGAAAATTTCAATTTGTTGATAATGGTCTAAAAGCAAGGCATTAATTTGAAAGCTATTTTTAAAATAAGATAGTCTCATGGAAGGGGTATTTTCTTAAAACTATATTTTAGAGATTATATACAAACAAAACCAAATCATGATCCAAATTTCTAATTCAATTATTGGGTTTATTTAAAGATGGATCCAACTGAATCTACTGAAGATTTACCAGATATTGTATTAGGAGTAAGAAACTCTTAATATAAAATCGAAACATTTTAAAAACTGGAAAAAGGAAAGCCAATTCATTTTGATGCAAAATTTCTTTTTTTAGGATCAGAATATAGCTTCCACATTTTAGAGTTAAAATAACTTAGCATAATACCTTCCGAACTTGTAGAGGATTTAAAAAACCTTCACTAGTTTACAATAGAAATGGATAAGATACAATAATTAAAATTATCAAAATTATAAGAGACGATTAAACATAAAATTCATATGTACAATCCAAACCCAATGTATGGAATACATAAGATATTAAAAAATACCCAAGAAACTTTTAAAAATAATGAGAATACAGAAAATACTGAAAGAACAACAGAAGTATAAAAAAATGAGGGAGAAAATATGAATGAAAATATTTAATAAGGAGATTAAGAGGGAGAAAATGAAGCAGTAAATTAACAGGATTCATAAGAATAATAATTTGATCCTTCAAGTGTAAATATAAAAATAGACGAATCAATAAGAGAAGAAATTCTCTCAAAAGATTCAAGCATAATTGATGGAATAAATGATGATGAAAATAAAAGCCACAATTAAGATTGACAATAAAAATTTTAATAAATTATTTATTTTTAAAAGTTATTATCAAATGTATAGAAAGATTATTTAAAAAATAAAAATTATAAAATTTCACAAAAAATAATTCATTTAATGAAGAATTACTTCTAAATAAATGAATAGATATCTTAAACAGAAAAGATCATTCTGCCAGATGATACTCCAATGAGGAATAAATCTAACACCATCACGACGATGAAAACAAGTTGGTTAACATTTCTTCCATATGCCTTTATAAAATAAATTACCTAACCTGCTAATATTTATTTTATTGTTATTGGAATATTACAAATAATACCTGCAACTTCTTATACAAATGGCGTTCCAACTATTTATGGACCTTTAGCAATGATGATTAGTATTAGTATATTGAAAGATGCAATTGAAGAATACTCAAGGTAAGAACTCTTATTAAAGTAGATATAAATCTGACTAAGAAGAAAATCATCGGAAATCTCATAAATATTTTGAAAATTAGTTTATTGAGTGTAATTGGAAAGATATTTATTAAGCTGACATTATTTTAGTGATGGAATAAGAAAGTATTCCATGTGATATCTTAATATTGTCTTCAAGTTACTAAGAAGGAATTGCTTATGTTGAAACTAAACAAATTGATGGAGAGACAAATTTAAAACAAAAATATTCTATCTATGATTTATAACAAAAATACCATATAGATAATGCTATAAATTTTGTATTTATATATTAATAATCAGAAGGAATAAAATAACAAAGTAAAGTTTGTCTACGATTAAAGGAATCCGATTCTCTATAAACTATCAGGAACATATTAAATAAGAAACTCTGAAGTTTAATAATTTAATTACAGTAACTTCATTGAAAGAGATTGCATCTTAAAAAATACAGAATGGATTATAGGTTTGTGTGTTTATAGTGGTATGGATTGTAAAATTATGCTTAACTGCTCCAAAGAAAGAAGCAAAAGAAGTAGATTAGAATAATACATGAGAATTTGTATTATATCCATATCGATCAGTTTAGTATTATTCTGTTTAATGGCTTCTATCTATGAATTCATATGGACTAAAAATCATCTTAACTATTCGTATCTAGGACTTTCTAAAGAAAATTTATTTATAGATTTAGGTTTATGGTTTTCATTACTCTCATATTTTATACCAATATCTTTAATAGTAAATGTGGAGTTAGTAAAATTTGGTTAGGCCAAAATGTTAGAATCAGACAAAGTGATGCCAAATTCAAAAAGTCATCAATCTAATTTAATTGAATAATTAGGAGAAATTAATATTGTTTTTACTGATAAAACAGGTACATTAACAAAGAATTGTATGTAATTTAGAGAGTTATTTGCTTAAAATGAGAAAGAGGCCTTGTTATGTTTAAGTTTGTGTCATTCTGTTGTAAAATCAAAAAATAAACTAATTGGATCTTCTCCTGATGAGTTGGCTATGTTAGATTATTGTTAATAAAAAGGTTATATATTTTAAGGGATAGATAATAATAATCATCTAACAATAAACAAAACATAATTTCATCGAGTAATAAAATTTGATTTTAGCAGTGAAAAAAAGAGAATGACTATAGTAGTAAAAACAGGAAATGAATATGTATTATTTTGTAAAGGAGCTGATGAAGTATTGCTAGAGTTAATGGGAGAATGTAAACATTAAAATATCATCCATAAATTTGCAATTCAAGGATACAGAACTTTAATGTTAGGCAGAAAGACTTTTAATTAAAGTGAAATGAACATGTATTTGTCAGAGTATTAATGTTAAATAATGTATTAGGTACAAGAAGGCTTAGGAGAATAAAGATGAGGAAATGATGAATAGATTACAAAAGAAAATGGAATCTAATTTAGAGTTTCTGGGCATAACAGCTGTTGAAGACATGCTAGCAGATGATGTTGGATAAACAATATAAGATTTAAAATCTGCAGATATTAAGGTTTGGGTTCTTACTGGAGATAAAGTTGAAACAGCAATAGCAATAGGATATTCATGTAATCTGATAGATAGTAAGGATATCCTTTAGGTATTTAATGAAGCAACGGTTGGAAATATAGAGGAAATATTTTTACAATATTTTAATGAGCAATCCAACTTTGCATTAGTGATTAGCGGATAATAATTATCAGTAATGCTAGATAATCCATAACTTAAATCAATGTTACTCAAAAAAGCTTTCTATGCTAGCGTTGTTATTGTAGCTAGAGTATCTCCAAAATAAAAGTAATAAGTTGTAGCACTAGTTAAGGAACATCTTCCAAAAGCATATACTTTAGCTATTGGAGATGGAGCTAATGATGTTTCTATGATAAATGAAGTATATTTGAATACCTATGATAGGCTCATGTAGGTGTTGGAATTTAAGGAGTTGAAGGAACTTAAGCTGCTAGAGCTGCTGATTTTGCAATAGAAGAATTCAAACATCTTAAAAGATTAATGTTTTATTATGGAATTGAATGTTCAAGAAGAAATGCTCTTACAATTCTATACATATTTTTTAAAAATTAAGTTTTCATTACTCCTTATTTTTGGTTTGGATTTCTCAATGGCTTTAGTGGATAATATTTATATGATCAATGGTTGTCTTCATTATTTAATACAGTTTTTGCTGCTTTACCTTAAGTACTATATGCTCTTTTTGATGAAATGCATCCTTCCTCTGAGTATTTATAATGGAGCAAAACTACACACAATTTACTTGAAGATAAACCTGATGTCTATGTCTAATTCAGATAATAACCCATATTTACCATTATGAAATTTTGGCTATGGGTTTTTAATGGAATGGTCTAAGGTTTGATCATATTTATAGTTTGTACATTTTCTACTGAAAATTAAAATATGTATAATGGTATGACAATTGAATTTTTTGAAGATGGAGTCTTTATTTATGGAATTGTCATTCTTCTTGTCAATCTCAAAATATTCACTTTCACTTATACTAGTTATAACTTCACGATATTTTTTATTGTACTTTCAATTATTATTTATTGGCTGATCTTAATTATAGTGAATGAAGTGGAATTATCTCCCTCATATAATTTCTTTAGATACCTTGTCTCGTATTTATTTCATTTATTATTCTAGACCATAACTATATTTAGCTTTAGCTCTAACTTGTATGCTATTTTTATTTGATTTGGCTATTGAAAGATTATATGATTTTTAGATCTGTGTTAGAAAACCAGAAAAAATAGAATTAGTATGATTTATTAAATTTAAATGTTATATTATTATTATATTAGAAATATGTTATCTATTCAAATAGTATTTACTTTACAATCTGCAAAAAAACAATATTCTGAATCATGATTACGAAAAAGCACTATTATTTCTTTACCAATAAATGATCCATCAATTTTACCTTGACCAACTCCTTTGCCATGTTGTAAGGATATGTTCCCAAAAAATATTTAACCCAATATTTTGCGTTTCTACTTTATTTCTGATAATCTTTTTTCGAATTGGATAACTTCTACTCTATTTCTTAATTTGGGTTTTTCATCCTCAGTTCTTTCTATTTTTATTTTATATTATTTGTTTCTTAAAAGCTCAAAATCTTCTTCAGAGGGCTAAAGGATTAAAGCTTATTTTTTAGGAACATTCTTATATGCAACTAAAATACAATTACACCATGATGGATATAATGAAAAATCAAATGAAAATGGGTAAGGAAATTATAAAGCTAAATAATTAAGTTTATTTGTGCTTTTTAAATAGTTATCAATAAGATCTTCATTTTCATATTCATTAAATAATAAATTATTCTCCAAACATATTTGACGAATGTCTCGTAAACCAATAGGTTTCAATTTTAATTAATTAAACAATCTCCATATTATTAATCCTCCTCCTAAATTTATTACTAATTTATATCCAATATCAATTTATTTCTTTAGCTATTTAGATGGAGGTATAATTAATAATTTTAGTTCAATATCTTTAGGTTTTATATTAGAATTTTATTGAATTCTGTTTAAATTTTAGTCATTTTAGCTTAATAAGATCTCAGATTATTCTATTTAAATTTCTTTCTCTACTATCTTCTCATTTTCATTTTAATCATATAGCTCAACGCTAATATCATTTTCATTTTTATCCATTTAATTCAATAGCCATCTCATAGCTTTTTTTTTTTTCATTGGATCAACTTAATTTTACTAATCTTATTTTTATTGCTCTTATTTTTTTTATTATTATTCTTTTTATCTAATCTCTAACAAAGCTTGATAAATTTTTTTCTTTGTTCTTTAATGTGTATATCGATTTCTTGTATCAATTTTAAATCTCTTGATAAATTGATTTTAATCAATCTACCATACAGATCTATTGATATCTTCGTCACCTTTATTTTCATATATCTCTTTCATATCTTTCATTTCTTCATCATAATCAGCAAGAGTTTTGATTTTTCTTCCTTTTTATGCTGTAACACTCTAGATCTTCTCAAATTAATAATTAAAGCAAAAATATTTATGAGTTTCTCCATCTATAGAACAATTAAAAATATTTAAAAAAGCATTGATAATTTATAATGACTCTTTTCCAATTATCTAAAAAATATTAAACTTATTATTATGGACAACAAAATCAGTATCTGTTAGTTCTTAAGGATGAATTATAGTATGATCATCAATTACTAATTCATTTTCAATATTTCCTTCGATAATTTGATAGTAAGAAGCATCAAAAATCATACTACCATGATCAAAATATCTATGAACTGCTCTGAAATTTTTTTCATTTGCTTTTTCAGGTACTTTAAATCCACAATAATTAATCATCTTCATCCTCTTAACTTAATATAGATGCGTTTCCATCCATTAAATTTTATTTGATCTATTCATAAATATCAAATCTTTTCTTTTTCTCAAATGTTTACGGCATTTTGGAATTTTTTATTTTAAATCTCTTTCTTCTAATCCTGGACCATGCATTTGCTTTCTTAACTATTAAGATATAATAAAATTATACTTAACTAGGTATTCGATATCGATTATGTGACATTGCCCTTCTTCTCATATGTTTATGGATCACTTAGAATGGCTGAGCAGTAGAATTAAGATATTTGCTTTTTAGATTATTTTACAATGATGCTATTTCATTAGCTCTGCTAGCTAAAAATGGTGCAAATTGAATTATTCTTTCTTCCATTATTAGAAAATGCAAAATTATTTAATTATTTTAAATTGATATTAAATGACTATTTTTTTAACCTCTAAAATGGAATAATAAAGATTACTTTAAAATATCTTGATCATAAAGAATGAAAAAATTGCCTAATTATTTTCAAATTTTTGTTATGAACTTAGAATATGATACCTTCAAAGTTAATCATAAAAAATTTTTGTTATCTTTAAGATCTTTAGAAATATAAATATTAACTCATTTTTTATTATGTATCTAAATTGAGGTCTCGATATAATTCATTTCTAATACCATTTTACCTGACTATGTTTAAAAAAGTTGATTTCTTCTCTTAATGATCGTACTTTGATCTAGAGTTTACTGAATGCTAAATAATACTTATAGAGCCTATAATTGGCACTGAATTTGAAAATCTGTATTGTTTTTTGAATTATTTAAGTTCTTGTTCTCCATTAATAATAACAAAATAAAAGGTGTTTTATTCGTTAATATTGATAGTTGATTATTGTCTCTCTTTTTTTGTAACACATCCCATTTGATAAAATATTTATTATATGGTTATTCATAATTTTTTTGTTAGAAAACATCTTTAGAAAGATATTATAATGCATTATAAATAAAGGAATAAATATTATTATTTGAAAATATAATTTATGAACCCCATCAATTAAGATATTTATATAAGCTTTAAGAATGCTAAATAAATCATAGTTTATGAATAACGAGTATTTTAGTGAGATTTAAAATAATGATAGATATCTTATTTCTAAATAATTTTAATCAATTATTTTAATGTTATTGAGAATTCAGAATTTAAATTATATAATTAAAAATGAGTGTCGAAGAGGAAGATCTCACTTTTCTAAAAGGTATTCATACAAGATATATTTTAGCATAGCCCTTATGGACTGGATGTAGAAACACACCCTATTTAATAAGAGGTGGAATCAATATTGATAAATGTTTAATCTGTAATTGTATGTATAAAATAAAGACATCACAAATTTAAGATAATCATGGATTTGTAAACTAAACAAAGATCGTATTTAAAAAGATAAGGAGTTATACAATAAATCAATATAAACCACAAATTTTCAAGGAGTTTTAGATCTATTAGAATTAGCTTTAAAATATGATCCTTAAGCGGAATACTCCTTTAAGATTAATGAGTCATCTTTGTATTACGGTTACAGTAATGTTATAAAGATTTATACTTTAACATGGGTTTTTGATTGTAAAGTTGTGGATGAACAATATCATAATAAAATTATAGTAAATGATTTAATAAATCCTTTATTATTAACAATCCATTCTTTAGAAAATAGATGCAATAATTATAAATCTGCCTATTCTTAATTAGAATAGGATTACATAAGGAGACTGAATGAAAAAGAAAGAGCTTAATATAAAGGTAGAGATAAAGATGAAGACTTAAGTTTATATATTTTAGATGATCAAATTGATTAGGAGAAAATTTGTCAAATAAATTTTACTCCAGCAGCAAATTATTTTATATAATATTATGCCCTTAATAAAGTTAATAAAGTAGTACAACAAATGAAAAAGAGAATACCTTAATAATAAAGTAAAAATAATTAAAATCCATCTTCAAATATGAAAAAAAGTATGTAAAAAAATTGATTATTTAGAGGAATAGATTTGGCAAAGTTATGAAAATACATTATAGGATATGTTTGATGGAAAAGGATAATAGATTTTAGAGAATGAGTAAAATGAGCCTAAGTAGGATCGTAGCAAAAACACAAAAAAAAAAGTTGGATTTTTATGATTATATATTTTTATTTAATATATCAATTGTTGGCTGTTAAGACATAGCTTTATTAGTTTTTTTAAAGGAATTTGAATTCATATTAATCAATACATTTTTGATTTTCAGTGTATTCAATTGTTTTTCCTAGAAATATATAATTAATAATACCATTATAGTCCATTTCATCAAAAAGAACTACTTTAGCCCCAGCAGGTACTTGAATAGATTTAATTTTGCTTGGATATTTGGCTAATTAGAAATTGGGTAAGTCTTCACACATGTTAAATGATTTTCCTAAGTAATAAATAGAATATAAGTATTACCTGTAAAATTACATTCAGTATAGAGTGTAGCACAAGCATCTGGTTTTTCATAATAAAGTTTAAATCCTTTAAGAGCAAATGAAGCATTATTATTATCTTTTCCAATAGTACTTGATATAACCAAATCTAAAGTAGATGCTTCATGTCCAATAATAAAATCTACTATGGCATAATTTTCAAATCCATCACCACCACAAATATCAGCAAGTCCAGGATCTCCAAATCCAAATGTTCTTGACCATACATTTAATCCATCAACTTTAACAACATAATCTTCTCCATTCCAATTATCAATTTTCCAAGCTTCAAAAGCTATTCTAATTCTTTTATGAGCTGGTAAATTGAATTTTCTTGTTATTTTAGCATCTTTTCCTGTCTTTTCATAACCACCAAAGAATTTAAAATCACCACATGTTGTTGTAAAATCAGGTCCATTTTTACCATCACTTACTTTCCAATCTTGATTAGCTGTCCAACTTGATCCTTAAAATTCTGATGTAAATTCAACCCAATCTCCTTTTAATACACAACCAGATCCATTTCCGTCTTCTGGATCCAATAAAACATAAGGTGATACGCAAGCTGTACAATCTTCTACACTTGGACCAGTGCAAGTTGCACAATTACTAGCGCATTAAGCAACATAAAGTTGGAATTATCTAATACCCCAAGATGCTTATTTTGATGATTTTTTAACTGTTGCTGTCCATTTAACAAGTGCAGCACCATAATTATGAGGAGTTTCAAAATTTATATTAATAACTTTTTCTGTTCCATCAACACCTCCTGGACTAATCTTATCACAAATAAAATATTCTTTATCTTCTACTTATGCTACATTTTATTTCCATTTTTCTTAGTTATCAATAAGTAAAATAGCATTATCATTATCCCAATTGTCAATCTTCCAAAATTATGCTATCACTTTAATTCTATAATGTGGAACAAGTTTATCAAATATTTTTTAAATTGATACATTATTTCCAAAATTACCAGGCCCTCCAATAATTGGAATACCAGCACAAGTACTTGTTTTAATAACACTTGAAGATCCTTTTGCTTACCATCCATCTGCATCTAAAGTTTTTATCCAACTTGATGAAACTGGAACCCACATTTAACAAACAATAGCATCTGGTCCTAAACATGTACCACATTCAGTTGGACATGGTAAATAAAATAATTTCAAGTTTCTTACACCCCAAGACATCTAATAATTATTACTATTCATTATACTTTGTCTGCCACTTTATCAGCTGATGATGCAAATGCAATAAATAATGCTGCATGATTATGAGTTATTGTTTAATCAACTTAAAAAGAATTTACATTGCCACCTGCTGGAGTTGCACATCTTTTTGTACCATCACTTCCAGTCCACATTGTTTCCCAAAGATAATTATCTAAATAAAAGAACTATCTTTAAGTATCCCATGCATCAAATCTAGATTTATTATATTGTTATACTTCCAAACTTCAACTTATATTTTAATCTAAAAATGAGGAGGCAATTAAAATTATCTAGTAACTATTGCTCCTTTACCAAATGCTTTAGGTCCTCCAAAAACTGTATCTGATGAACAAGTAAAGAAATTATCACCCTAAGTCTTTGACAATGATCCTTGTATCGTCCATCCGTCTAATTAACTTACATCAGCATTTTCAAATGCAGAGTAAAATTATACAAATTCTTGTGATGTTGCTAACATCACTAGCATCGCTAATGCAATGAATTTCATTATATTTTTATATTCAAAAACGTATATTTTTTTTTATTTATTCACATTTCTCCTTAAATTTCTAATTTTAGATCCTCCTCAATCCTATTATGTTCTTCATATTTATTAAACTCTTCACTATTTTACTCATTCTTTCATCATTCATAATTATTTATTTTCTTTATATAAAAGATTGTTTTAATATAAAAATTATTCTTTTTCACAATATTTTTTTTATTCTAAATCTAATATAGTTATATATTTTTGAGATTTTAAGTTATAAATAACATTTATAAGTCATTTCTTTTAAATCTTTCTTATTACACTTTCTTAATTTTTTTTCATTCCTACCAAAATTGATAATTCCCTTTTTTTTTAATTTGTTTCCATTTTTAATATGTTCTTTTTACTTTCTTGTTCAATTGATGATATGTTTTATTATCCTCTCTCATTTGATTAACTCATATTATGATAAATTTAGGATTTATTGGTAAAGGAAACTTACTTTATAACATTATAATTTTTTCTTAGCTCAAACGAATTTGGATGTATCAATTAATTTTTTTACTTTTAAAATTAATTTTTTTCAGCTATTTCATAATTAATTAATTAAGCATCATCTGATTCATAATTCTTTTATAAAGATATAGTATGTTTTTAAAGATCCATTTTGTGCTACAAATCATATAACTTAAATTCTTTATAAACATCCTCAGTGTATCCTTAATCCCTTTTATATTTCTAGTTTTAATCAACATGTTGACGATAATTAACCCTTTATCCTTCTTAATATTATTTTTAAAACTCTTATTTTTTAGAAATCCCTTATTTTGTGATCATATACTCTTTTAAATACAAAGCATCCTCTTAATCTGTAATATCTTCTTCGAAAAGTAATTTTTTTGGATCAAAATCTTTATCGCTCCCTCCCAAATCTTCCCATCTAATTGAATTAGCTTAATATTTATTATTCTATTAAAATTTAGAAGGATTATTCTGTTAAATTTAAATAAATTTAGAAATTTCAAATGTATCTTAAATTTTTTAGCTTTCAATTTTCGGTTTATTTTATATTTATGGTAGGACTTTCTTAACTTCCGATTTAATATTAATCTTTCCTTGATCTTACATTCTTGATTAATTCAAATCTTCCACTTTTGTTAACTTTTTACTATATATTTCTGGATCATGAAGACCTAAATATGAATTTAATGCTTTCACAGAACCAGAACCAGAAACTGGAAATATGATGTCAGCTATTTTAATTAGTGAGTATTAAAACTCTGAAAAACTTAATTATTTAATTCCAGAAGATTTTTAGAAAATTTCCTCTAAAATTTATTTTGTAATAACATATGAATCCTTTACTCTATTTTTATATTTAATTTTATATAAAGGTTTTTGACTTTTTGAACCAGCATATTTTAATATAAAATCATTAGTGACTAGCAAATCTATTAATTTAAAATCTTTACAAAAATGCATAAATTATTGCAAATTTAATACTTGCTTTTTTTCAAAAATCTAATCCTTTGTCAACAATTTAATAGGATTTATGAATTATTTGGTATAAAATTAAAAAATTTCATTCAAATGAGTCTCCATCATTTGATTATATTATTACTCATTTTTTTTTTATTTTTATATTTTTTCTAATAAAATACTTTTATCTAAAGAAGGATCTCCTGATTAAATTTATGAACTTCCAGATTTTGGAGATTTTATAATTGATTTTAGTTTTTCTATTTATTAGGAACCCTTATGAACTCTTTCATTATTTAATTCATCTTCATCTAACTGTTTTTTTTCGAGTTTTTAATCAGAAATTTCTGTTGGAATTTATTTGATCAAGTTATTAATAGAAACTTATTTAACATCTTTATTTCCTTAATTATTGCTTGTTTGAGAATAATTTATAATTTCTTTATCATCATTTTTCAGTTCCTAGACCTGAACAACTTAATTTTCAACAGTATTAGATTCTTCTTTTACTAATTTTCCTTGTTTTTGATCCTGTTCTTAATTCTAAACATATTATTGATTTTATTTTTTTTCAATGTTCTTTTTTTAGTTTTATTCTTACATTAGAAAATTAAATTCATCTTGGTTTTCCTGTCCATAGTCACTATTTTATTCAGATAGAACATTTTAGATAGAGGATGAGCTTAAATTCTTAAAATGAGAATTATTTATTTATTCTTCTTCATCTTAAGATTGTATACTTTGAATTCTTTTTTATTAATTTTATTAGTTATAAATTTCTTAATTGATTTATTATGATTCTTCAACCGAATGTTACTTTTCCATAGTACAATAGTGTGTATATTTATCTATAAAATTTATCAAATAAATTGAATTTTATGATTATCTATTAATTATGATTAAATAAAAATTAATTTAATAACTAGATATAAAGACTCTAATATTTTTTAATCTTTTTATACTAAATTTGGGGATTATTTGACTGATGAAATTGTTTTATTGTTATTCTTGAATTTGAAAAGTCTAAAAACATTAATCTTTACTAAATAATTCAATTAATTAGAAGCATTTTAGAAATAATTTAATTTTATAATAAAATTAAAAATTTTTCTCAATAAAATGATTGGCTTATTATCGTTATTTATTCTTGATAAGGAGAAACATAGATAATTAATTTCATTCTATTTATTTTATTTATTAGCTTTTCTTATCTTGCCAATCTCGATTTTCTTTTTAGATTTTACCCTAATAGTTCTCAATATTTCATAATTCTAAAAATTTAAGTAATAGATTATTGGTCAATATTTTCTTATTTCAAGATTATTAGGTTTAACAATCTACAGCTATATTTATCTTTTTCTTTCTTCGTTCCCTCAAAAGTTATCTGATAAGATGTTCGTAATTGGGAATCAAGAGGGAAACATTTTAATCTGATATAGATTTAGGAAATCCTACTATTCCTTTAAATGTCTTTTTGTACAGCTATGGAATTTTTATTAGATTTTATTTGTATCTTGACTAACTTAATGCAACTATAATATATAAGAAATGGAGATTTATGAAGGGTTTTCATATTTTAATTTTATCCTTCCAATCATTTATTTTGTTATCCAAGATAACTGTTTTTACAAAATATTCATTGTTATTTCAATTTTTTTATTCTATAAATTGAGTTTACCATCATTTTATAAAAGTATACCTAAATATTTGTATCAACTACAGGAATATCATTAATTTGTTTAACTCCTTAAGAGTAATTCTTACTGTTAATAGTTCTTTAGTATTTGAAAAAACAACATTATCTGCAAACTTATGAGATTTATAATGAAATTAATATTTTTTTAGTCCACTTTTCCAGTACAAAACTTAAATAAATATCAAATAGAGAGGGCTATTGTAGAGATCCTTGAATAACTCCGTTAGCCAAGTATATTTTATTCTTGGAAATAGAATTCCAAGTAATAAATATTTGTATTTAGGTGGGATTGAAAAGACATTTCAATCTCAGTTAGAATATTTTTACTTCTAAATTCAAAATAGAATCACTATATTTATAGTATTTGTATCGTTTGAAAAGTCAATAAAGATGGCATCATGATCATAGTCTTATCTTGAAGTATTATGAATTTAGTCTAATACTTGTATAATATTGGAATGAGTTATGATTTGATAATCATTAAATAACTTTATAGTTTACACAAAAATCTAAGTTCCGAAGTTTTAATAGAGAGTCTAAATTTTTAACTATTTTATATTCAACAGTTTATTTGAAATGAAATGGCTCATAAATGTAAAGTCATTAAATTTTAGGCAAGCAAATATTTTTAGATTTAATGCCTTACTTTATTAAATTTGTTCAATGAAATTTCTTACAATTTGTTCTTTTCATCTTCAATAAATATCTAAGCTTAACATCTGATAAAACTTTATCAAATTAATTTATATTTAAATTTAAGGATTGACAAGGAAGTTTAACATCTCTCTATATTTACCAAATTCAAGAATTTTAGATTCGTCTAAATAACATTATCCATGTAATTATACTTCATACTCAATACTACTCAATACCATGTTAATTAATCATTTATAATTATTATTATTATAATAAATAGAAAGTATCCATTTATATATAATAGTTATCCTTCTAATAATCAAAATTTACATAGAATGGAATTAGTTTATCTTTGTGAATCAAAATGTTTGAACATTATTATTGATTTATTTATTGTAAACAATAAGTTTACTCAGCTATTTTGATAAATTTTAGTTTATTATATTTAATTAATGGTTAAATTTTGATTCCTAGAGGTAGTAGTATTAGATCTTCATTAATTGCAAAATTCATCTCATCTATATAATAGAAATTTTAAGTAATTAAAATATTTAGTTAACCTTTAAAGTTCCTTTATGATAGTTAACATAATATTCTTCATTTAACTAACTTCTATGACAAGTATTTTTTCTAATCCTTAATGTAATAAAGTACTTTTATAATACTCTTATGATATCTAAAGAATTTCTTAAAATTATATGACATCCTCCTTTGTGAAATGAATAATCTTGAATTTCTTCATCAAAACATCAATGTCTTAAATCCAAGTTTTTCTAATCACTTTCCCATTTCTAAATGAAATTTATTTCTTTTTATAGATATCTAATTTTTTATTGATTTTTTTGTAAAATAGTCCCTCATAATTTTAAATGCACTTTTTGAAGACAATTTTGGATTCTTATTTATGATAATGTAATTGCATTTTTATTTACTTAATTATTTAGAAAATAATTTTATGTTTTTGTTTCTAATTTTAAAATTCAGTATGTTAACCCTATTTATTGTAATTTTTGATATCTTTACAAATAGAAATGATATTGGTTCATATTTAATAATAATTATAAAATCTTCTTAAAGGTTAAAAAAATGTTGAAAATGGCTAAATAATGATTAAGTTATCTTAAAGTGATGCCATATATAATTTAACAAATTGTGTAAAAAAAAATAAGTTTTACATTAATTTAATATATAAATTATTTAACATCATCGTTAATGAAGAAGCTTAGTCAGTAGATGTAAAAAATTGCTGGCCGAAATAGTTTTTAAGACTCTCCATTAAAATAAGAAAAGAAAAATACCAAAACACTTATTGGCGCAGTAAAAACTGAGAGACCTGTTGATAAAGGAAAAGCAAAGTTACTTGATTATTTTAAGAGGGAAAGAAATTCTTTAGTTTAAGCATCAAATACAATGAGAGCTAAATTAAAAGGAAGCAAGAGTATTGATAATGTGTTTTTGCAAACATTAAAAAGTGATAGGGTAAAAACATCATAACCTAATGTAATTATTGAATAATTAAATTTGAATAGATAGCAGAATTACGAGTTCATACAGATGAAGGTAGTAATTCAAAAAAGACAAGTTTGAAAAGCAAGAATCTATCACTAGCAGCAGTATCTTTAGAAGTAATATCATAATGATATAATTTAAGAAAAAAGAATTGTCTAAGGCTCCTTTAACAACTAAAACATCTTATAATTAATCACCGACAGGTTAAAGCAAACCACAATAAAAAAAATTAAAATAAAAAGACTAATACTTATTCGATATGGTAAAATAATTCTCTATTAAAGTTGAAAAATGCTTAAATGATTTAAAACCAATATCAATAATACTTTAATTTAAAATTAAATAAACAATCAATTATTTCAGATACTTCCACTAATCATAGATAATCATTAGAAGATATTTTAATTAATTAAAAAGGTTTAAAGGCTTCTTCATAAATAATCTCGTAGAAACATTAAAGAAAATCAGATAATGAATCAAAATCTATGAATTAAGGACATTCTAAAACAGAATTAGGAAATTCAAAGACAGAATAAACTCCTTAACCAAAATAAGCATTAAAAACAAAGAATGATGATTAACTTGAATATGATCCAAAGAAGAAATTACAAATAATATTATACTATAAAAATTCAAAGTAATAAATTTATAAATTAATATAGATATTATTACTTATTTGATTATGCAAATAAATCAACATGTGATCTTTATAACTATTTAATTTAATAGATAGCAAGTATTGAGAAAAACTAAACATAATAAGGTGGAGGAATAGATTCAACGGACGTTGACTAAATATAAACTGGTAAGAATTAAAGAATATTTTAGAGATTAAGAAGATATGTTAATTTGGTACTATTTCAAAAAAAGTTCCTTATGATTATTACTTATCACTATCTGATTTAAGTCTATCAGTATTTTAAGGAATTACTCTATCTTTATAACCGATGTATTCATAGCCTTAAACTACAAAAAAGGTTGGTTTAAAGGATTTTTAATTGATCAAATGCATAGGCGTAGGAGGATTTTCGAGAGTATATTTAGTAAGAAAGAAAGATAATGGAATATTTTATGCATTAAAATTGATAGATAAAAAATTTATAATGGATAATAAGAAAGAGATTATTGTTTAAAATGAAAGGGATATAATGATTAAAATGGAGAATTAATATATCATACCTCTCCACTATGCATTTGAATCAAAGTATTATATTGCTTTTGTTTTGGAATATTGTGCAGGAGGTGAATTATTCTATCATTTAAGAAAATTAAAAAAATTAAATGAATAAGATGCTAAATATTATTTTGTTGAGATTTGTATAGGAATGGCTTATTTACATTCTTAAAATATAGTGTATAGAGATATTAAACCAGAAAATATTTTATTAGATTTATAAGGTCATTTAATGTTAAGTGATTTTGGATTATCAAAACCAGATATGGCAGCTGAAGATTTTGCTTATTCATTTTGTGGTTCACCAGAATATATGGCACCTGAAATGCTTATGAAAACTGGTCATAATTATTTAGTTGATTGCTATTGTTTAGGAGCATTACTTTATGAATTAATTTCAGGTTTACCTCCTTATTATTCTCATAATACATAAGAAATTTATAATTCAATCTTAACAGAAAATATTTAATTTCCTGATTATGTTTAAATATCAGATGAATTAAAAGATTTAATTATTTCACTACTTTAAAAAGATCCAACAGAAAGATTAGGATAAAAAGATGGAATTATTGAAATTCTCACTCACCCTTGGTTTGCTGATGTTAATTTTGAAAAAATTGTTAATAGATAATTACCAACTCCATATAAACCAGAACCTTTAAAATATAATTTTGATGAAGAAGAATTTAATAAAGGGGATGCAGAATTTAGAAAATAATTTGCAATCAATATGTAAACTGAATTTCTAGTAATTTATTTATATCTATCATATTAGAATGTTGATACAGCAAAATATTAACTATTGAACTTTTACTATTAAAAAGCTTAACTTTAGGAATATAAAAATAGAAACAATACAGCAATAAATGTCAATAAATTATAATCAGATTTTTTATAAAAAGAATCATTATCACCACCAAAATAAATTTTCAATAAAGCAAAAGTAAAATAAAATTATTATGATTTAGCACTCTCCTTAAGAAAGTAAATAGTCATTAAGGGCTAATATTAAAAGTGAAACTCATGATTATTTCAAGAAGCATAATCTTTTGACTAAGTCTTCTTAAATAATTTAAGAATCTCTCAATAAGGGCCATGGATATTCGAAAACATAATAACAATCTCAAATTTCTTTTTAAGAATTAAAAGTATTTAATTTTACATATTAAAGAAATTGAAACTTATGTTTGATTAATCAAAATAATTATTAAGTTCAGACAGATTAACAACAATTCCTGATTAAAATCAAAAGAATTAAATTGAGAGAATTAAAACAGAGTAATTTGGTAATTTGCCATCTCCTAAAACAACAACTCACAGTACTGTTAACAAATTGGCCAAATATTAGAAATTATTTGGATCAGAAAAGAGAAAAAAATGATATCAATTTAAATATCTTAATTTAAATTGTGTTTATGAAAACCAATAATTACTTGGATGTACAATTATTATGCAATTTAATGTATTGATGATTAAATCATTTCTTCTTCTATTCAATTTTCTTAATATAAAATTCTAATTCTTTTCCTTCCAAAATATAGCCATCAGCTCTTCCAGATTATCCTGGTCTTGATGTAATTCTGACTAATAACCTTTGATTGGAAAATTATTCTTAGACAAATTAATCAATAAAATTTTCTTTAGCTCTTTTTTCTTATTTTGAACTTAATTTTTTAGGTTATTCTCCAGTTGTTTCCTAGATTATGATTATATGTTACCTTCTTCTTCTTTGATCCTAATTCAACATTATATTTCTTAGCATACCACTATTTGAATGGAGTAGCATCAACTTATACAATAGCACCTCTAGTAAGTGTTTTTGTTCTGACCAATTCATTATTAGATGGATGATAAACAACCTCAACAATTTTAGCTTTTTTAGCTATGCTTTGGCTTCCCCAAGAGAAATTGCCTTCTGATAAACGAAGAGCTCTAAATTTGAAATTTCCTCCTCTCACTCTTAATCTTCTAACTCTCTTTTCTCCTGATACTAATTTAGTCATTGCAGCCTATCTTCCTTTCTCAAAGGCTCTTTTCTTCTTATGGATTGGCATACGACCACCTGTTAGTCTTCTTTTGTGTCTACTATCTCTTGAAATTCCCATTAATTATGCTTGCTTAAATAAAAAAAGATTTTATTTAATTTTAAAATGTGCTTATATCAATCTTAATATATTCTTCTTGTTCTCTCTTCGTCTCTTAAATTTTATTCCTAAATTTAAATTTGATAAGATATTTATGGGTGATAGATTAGAAAAACAATAAAATAATTGAGAAATATTTATAAAGTATCCTAAATTAAAAAATTGAAGAATAATATCAAAAATAATATACTATATTCAAGTATAATATAATTGACTAATAATAAATCGAATTTGATATACTACACAATTAATACAACAAGTAAGAATTATTGATTCCATTATTCAAGCATTTACAGTATTTATTTCAAATATTTAAGTTCAATAAATAATATTAATATTATAAATTTATAAAACATAATTAAATATGGGTTCCTAACCTTAAAAGTCTAGATCTTCACAAGGCTTTACGTATCAATAATAAAGGATGTAAACGAATTAAATACCTTTATAAATACAAATGCAATACTAATAACCAATTTAACAAATTAATAATATTCCATTGCAATATTCCTAAACATTCTAATACAATCATTAATCATCATATATTTATAATTAATCAATGTAATAAGCTCCTGCATCACATGTAAGATCATATTCATATATATGATAGAGATCTACTAATACAAACACTTAACCTTAAGTTTTGTTAAATGAAGTCTGTATTGAAAAAACTAAATTAATAGGAAATGATGATCTAAAAATTGAATTTGTTGTATTTGCTTTAACACCTTGCAAAATTTAAGTATTGTTTTATAATAAATTAGTTATTTGTTTAAGGTTAAGAAATCTTTCATCCTGTTAATAATGTTTTTAGTGATATAAGGGATAAAGAGTTTTATGATGAATTTCAATTAACTGAACCTTAAACAAAAAATGTTAAAATTACTAGCAAAATAACAGTTCCTAAAAGTCGTCTTAAATAAAAAAAAACTAATTTAGGCTAAGTTTATTGGAAACTTATAATAATAATTTAAAATTAAAAAATGATGATGATTTATTATTATGATTATGAAGATGATTAATTAAAATTAGCTAGATAAAAATATTAACATGCATAATAAGGAGCATATGAAGTATAAGAAATTTATGGAATAAATGATACTAATCTTGTTGGTTCTATGAAACATGATGAGAATGATGGTGATTGTATTATTTGTCTAAGTGAAAAAATCGACACAATTATTATGCCTTGTAGACATATGTGTTTATGTGGCAATTGTGCGAAATAAATAATGGAAAAAAAAGATCAATTAAAGCGTTAACCTCCTGATAGATAATTACATGCTCCAGATTTCAATCTCTGTCCCCAATGTAGAATGGGTAATTACAATATGTTATTTTAGAAATTGATTCGTTCATTAAATTACATAAAGTTTCTTGAATAAATATATTATCCTAAAATTATTTAAGGAATAATCTTTTAGACTTTTAATTTTGACTTTTTTCTATAAGAATTTACTTTCTTAACTTTAGATATCAATAGTAGTTCTCTTTTTTTTATTATTATATTTATAGTTATCTTTTCTTAATCTCTCAAATTTTAAACCAAAAAAAATATATATTTTCATCTCTAAAGTTTTAAGAAAGTTTATAAAGTTTGAAATTGAGAATAAAATTACATAATTAATATAGTTACTCAAAATAGAGAGTTGATGGTCATTTTATTTTTTAATAATTAGTACTTAGATTATAGAAAATATTTTATTTTTTATATAATAATGAATCAATTAAGAAACTAAAGAGGAACAGAAGTAGATGAAGTATACATTGATCCAGAAAGAGGAATAGCTATTAATTCAAGATAAATGACAACAGAATAACATTTTAAATATTATAAATCATCATTTAGTACAATTAGACCTGATTTGACTGAATTTGAATATGAAGCATTTGCAAAAAGATTAAGAATTGGTATAATCAAAATTTATAGGTAGCTGAATTATTTTTAAATCATATGAGAGTATTTCTTAATCATGAATCAGGAAGAGTAACTAATCTTTATTCTGTTGGTGCAAGACTTGAAAAAATGTTGGTAAATTTCTATCTCATTTTAGAACTATTAAAATCAATATTTTCATCTTAGACCTCCTTTTATTCTTGGACATAGAGCAAATTCAAATAGAAATTGGGCAGATGCTTCTAAAGTTGTGAATTATCTTGAGAAACAATTACTCAAAATTACAAAATATGGTAATTTTAATTGTATATCTATCTATCAAGGATTGGATTATCCAAATTATTATGCTCCAAGAACAGAAAAGGAACTTTAATAAAGAGAAGATGAAATTTATTAACGTTTTATTAAAGAAATGAGAAAACCTCCAGTTGCTGCAGCTTAATGAATTATTAGTATAAATCATATCAAGATAAATTTATTAATAAAATTTTTTTCATCTTAAATATGTTGCTACTCTATATTCTAAAATTCATTATCTCTAATTTATATTATAAAATTAAATTGTAATTATTAGTGCATCAGAAGATATTCTTTTAAACTAAATTAATCAAAAATATATTATCTAATTAATCATAATCATTGTTAATTATATTTTTAATATCTTGAACCTATTATTTAGATGAGCTAACATATATCACATAAATAATACTAAGATGTTAACTCTAGCACATAGAGCTCTGAAGGAGAAGATTATATTCCAAAAAGAATAGTTTCTAAGTCAAATACTAGAAAAATACACAAAATACCTATTGAATAATAGAAATCATTATTTAGATAGGTATTTTAAGAAGGAAAATAGATAAAGGAAGTAATTTTTATTATTCTAACTTTTAGGTTGCCAAAACCTTAAATCTCAATTATTCTAGTGCTAAATCTCTTATCCATTACTACAAAAACAATAAACGATCTGCTCCCATAGCTATTCTTGATGTACTTAATACAAAAAAAACAACCGGGTATAGGGTTTCTAAAACAACATCTCAAACTAAAAATAATCTAAAAATAGAAGTTAGAGAAAATAATAAACTCATTCATTCCTATTGCTTCTATGAACATCTTGCTACAACTAGTTGATCATTATTATATAAACTTATTTAATTCAAGCACTTTTTCTTAATATTTTTTTCCATAAATAACAAAATTTTTAAATTTGTTTTTAAATAACTTATAGTATTCTCATAATCATTTCATTAATTCCAAAATAGCTCTTTCTCGGTAATAATCTCTAATTAGATTAAAAAAAATTCATATTGATAATTCTTGTTAAATATAGCATAGCAAATTTAATTTGAATACATTTTAATTCATTATTTATAGAAATATTTATAATATAATAAAAGATAATATATTTGATTAATAATTAAATATATTTGCATTAGCTTTTAAACTTAAATTTTTCAATATAAAAGGTGAGAAATAAATTTTTTTTCTAGTCCTCATCATGGTAATACTATCAAATCACCTAATCAGATCTTAAAAATTTTTCAATGATTATAAACTTACAAATAGAATAAACATCTTCTGATTCAAATAATCAATTAAATTAGTCTTTAAAATTATCTTGTCTACTTCTGTATTTGTTATTTCCTTTAAAAATAATTCACAAATTTTTGAATTAAAATTATTTACAGAATTTTAGAAGGGATCTGATATTAAAATATAATTTATCCTCTTTCAATTTTTGCTCTTGCTTTATATAAACAATTAATATTTTAAATATTTATCGGTTCATTATGAAGAGGAGATTTTATTAATAAATTCCATTTAGTTATTTTAATTTACTTAAATTCATTTTAATTGATCATTTTTATTCTTTTTAATCTTCTATTATTAAATAGTATTTTATTGCTTTTAATCTTCAAACTAAACTTTAATATTTATTTTTTTTTTTCTAGCTTCTTTGTCCAATCTTTAAATGAATATCTCAATTCTGTTTGTTATTCAAATTCAACCAAATATGTTTTTACTCAAAAAATGACTTATTTTTGTTTTAACATATAATTAATTAAAATGAAAATATATATTTTAATTTGGTTATTAAATGTTGGGTATTCTCTTTCAATTTAAATTAACCATCATCCAAGTTGCTTTTATGTAAAATCTGCTGAAAATAATTAATAATTGATTGTAAATTTCCAAGTTTCAGGATTAGACGAAGAAAAAACTGAAATAATCATTAAATCTGAAAATGGAGATAAATTGTTATAAAAACTGAATGGAAAAGAAGGATCATTAAAATAAATATTAAATGAAGTAGGAATATATTACATTTGTTTCAGAAGTCTAAATAGAAACTCTAAAACTTTAAGTTTTGATTTTGATATAGATGGAATAGATAAAGAGTATGCTTAATCAGAATAATTCAATCAAATGTCTAAAGAATTGTCTAGAACAAATAGAAACTTTTAATCAATATATAGAAATTAAAATTGGATAACAGATAGGGAAAATGCTCATAAGATTAGTAAGTAATTCAATTAAGTTTTTAATTAGTTTTAGAAGATACATAAAAATCTATTTATTGGTGTGCAATTACAAAAATTGGTGTACTAACTTTGATAACTATAACGTAAGTTATATTTGTATACAAATATTTCAAAAGAATAGAAGTTAATCAAGAAGTATGTTGAAATTATTAATCAATTTAGTGAGTAGACTTGTTAATTAATAATATATTTCCTTATTTACAATTATAGTATATTAAATGTAATAGCTATATTAATCTTAAATAATGGATTTTATTTGTAATTATATAAATTTAAATATTATATATTGAATTGATTAATTAATTTAGTTAATAAATAATATAATAATGTTCTCATAGAAATGAGTCTATAAAATATTCATAATCCAATGGATTTAATGCTGTACTATTATAATCCACATATGGATTAGGAGAACCAACTTTTGATTCTTAAAAGGATTCTTCTTTTTTATCTAAAAATTTATTAGTTTAGGTTTCACTTTTATCTAATATTAATTTATTGAAATTTTACTCTCTTGCCTCAGTTCTTCATTAATAGCATGTAACATTTATCCAACTTATTTGAATTTAACTTCTATATCTACACTTTAGTTATAAACAAACTTATTGTATCTTATATATAAATACATGATTTAGATTTTGCATTTAATCAATTAAATATGAAGATGTTTCTTATAATAATTTCATATCCTCTTTTAATTTATTGTTTGTTTCTTTGATGTCAATGGCGCATTCCTTAAATAAGTTTTATTCCTCCTTTACGTTGATAGCTATTAACATTTATATAATGAAAATACTTGGATCTTCTAAAGCTGTGTTATTAGAACCAACTACTAAATCATCTTAATTTTTTCTTTTTATAAATTATAACATTGATCTTATTTATTTAACTTTATTTTACTTCAGGCCTTTACGGAAACATTTATGTTTGAATATTTAGCCTTCTTTTGATTTCACTTTTTTAAAATTATATAAATTCAATTATCTATACATTCATATAACTTCTTTTTTACCTTACAAAGCTCGAATAATTACTATGCTTAAAGAAATTCTATAAGATTTCTTTCTCCAACAAAATTTGATTATATACTATAAATGCAGTGCCTTAAGATGTCCAACTAATTACATTAGTGTTCTTTTAATCCTTATTTAATACTTTTAATACAAACCTCCAACATTTAAAATGTTTTTAGAATGAACGTAGGGATAGATGACTTTGCGTTCATTTTAATCTGATATTATATAATATAAATTAACAATTATTAATTACTAAATTAAATTATCTATAAAATATTATCAATATATTTTAATCTATATTTATCAATATTTCATTCTTAAATTCAAGCAGTCAATTCACTGTTAAAGCTTTATTGTTTGAGCTTGTTGAATTTTAAGCATTTTTATAGCCTTCCATTTATTGATAAAGCATTGTTAATACTAAATTATTTGATAAATTTTAAATCGCTTAAGTTTTTTAATGTTATAAATTGTAAAGTGAAATTCACATAAATAAAAACAATCATACATTTTTCCCTTCAACTCTATCAATTGAGTAATTAAGATTTATAATTTCATTTTTGAGATTACTATTCTTTTTAATTTTTCCAAACTAAAAAGATTTTCATAAAATAATTAGCTTTAGTTGTATCTCTTGGTAATAAATTCATTAATTATTACTTTTCGAATTTTTCAAAATATTTAAAATTAGATGTTTGTTATTTTATTTTATAACAAAATCTTACTTAATCATTTAAATATTTCTAATAGATATCTAAGTCAAAATTTTTTTCAGGAAAACATTTTACCAATTAATAAAAATTAATTATTTCCTCCTCTTTTTAGAAATTAATCTTAGAAGCTGAATAATTTATCCAACATATTTCTGAGACTCTTTCTAATACATTTTTCTCCATACTTTCTGCATTTTATCCAGTTACTCCAAAAATTTTCAAATATACCTGTATCATCTATCTTTTTTCTTGAATCACTTAATTTTATTTAAAAATTTCAAAATCTTCATAATCTTTTTTTTTTAATTACAATATAGAAATTTATTTTAATATTTTTCCTTCAATATATATAGCCAATTAATATAAACCATCTGCATATGAACCATTTTTTGGATTTAATAAATTATTCAAATGATAGGATTAGACTAAATCATCATACTTTACATTTCTTTATAGAAAAGCATAGTAATTATCCTTTTATATTGCTTCGTTTAAAGACTCAAAAAATTTTTATATGTTTTCTTAATTATAACTATATTTTATTAGTCTATTCAATAAATTTTTATGAATTGTTGATTGTACGAAATTTACTATTAAGGTTTTTGATTCATTTAATTTATTTACTTCCTATTCATTAATTTTTCCTAATGATATTAATTATTTAATCTCTTCTGAACCTTCTTTAACTTTAAAAAACAACTCTTTTTTTAATTTATCCTTTATTGTTTATTTAGTTAGAAAATATTTAATTAATTTACTCAAATGTTTTCCATAAAAAATTCTTAGATAAAAATAATTGTTTTCATCTAAATAATGTTCAATATCTGATTATATATTTTCAAAACTTATTTGATCATCTCTGATTTCTAAACAATCAAAAAATGCTCCCAAACCATTTTACTCTTAATCATTCAAATCATATTAATAAAAAGCTTTACTTTCTAATTTAGGCTTTATAAAATACTAATATATCTCTTCTTCATTAATTTTTTATTTTTTAAACAAACAAAAAACATTCAACAATTTAAATTATGATGCTTTAAAATCACTACTCTTAATTTAACTATTATATAATTTTGATTCTAAAAATACTTGCTAACAAACTTCAAATATTTCTTCCATAATTTCATCCTACCATCCTGATTATTCATAAATCGTTATTAAATATTTTAGTGTACTTTGCATTACAAGTAAATATGAATTTTCTATAAATATTTGATTGTTTTTTGTCAATAAGTATGAAATTTTTCTTTGAAATAGTTCGCATTTCAAAAGGTCATGATTTTATTCTTTTTTTTTTAATAATGGCAAAATAAAATTTGGCTTGTCTCTTGATGGTTAATTTAAGGTTGATAAGTCTATAATTTTCTCTACTTTTGAAATTGCTAAAATTTTTATTTTGAAGGCATTTTAGTTATCGATTTTATGAATCCTTACCTATATTCCATAACCAACTATTGGGAATAGGTTAATCATCTCATTCTCTTCTTAGCATTAATTTAAATTTATTCTAAAATCTGGGTTTTATAATTAATCAATCCAGTTTTCTAAAGTGACGCAGGATGGCTCCTATTATGAAGGCTCTAGATTTAATTTTAAAAATTATTATTTCATACTTCAAAAATAAAAAAAAGGGGATTAAAAATACCCCTAATTCTATTAAAAATTAGATGGAAAAAAATTTGAGTAATTATTTTAATAGAATAAGCATATATATAATTAAAAAAAAATTTCATTAATATAAATTTTTATAGTATTTTTCTATTAGGTTATTCTAAATCTAGAAGGATACTAATGTGATAATCCTATCTTTATTAAATTTCTCATTAATATCTTAGACACAATTCTTATTGATATTTCTCCATCGATTTTCATTTGCTTATTTTTGCAATACTTTTTTTTAACTAATTAGGTGTTTATATTATGTTTAAATAATTTCTTGCTAATTCTTTTCTAAATAATCAAGTTCCTTTACTTTTTCTGACTACTAAAATTCTTTTAATTTTAACAGCTATTTTTCCTTTTCTGAAATTTTAAAAATCTTTGATTAAAGTTCCCAAAAGAGTTCCTAATTTCAATATAATAATTATATTTATAATTTACAAAATCCATGACTTAATTTTTAATTTTTTATAAAATTGAAAATATTATTCATTTATTTATAGGCTTTCTTAAAGCTATGAAAAATTACTTATCTTTAGGAAACTAATTATAAAATTAATAATCATATATAAATGTTTGAGAATTATTGATAATGTCATTTTAGATGGAATTAATTATCATATATATAAATTCCTATCGTATTTGAATAAAACAAGTTTCAAGATTAATGGAATTTTAGTATTTGTAGATTAAAAGTTTAAAACAAAAAAATTAAATAGTATTTTATATGATTATCAATAATCCTTTATTCACTTAGAAGACTTCAAATTATACAATATATATAAATATTTTCTCTAAAGATCTTAATTCTTGATTCATATTAAACAATAATTTTTGTTTTTAAATATCGGCTGTGCAAAAACATTTAAAAATTATTCTAATTTTTTTTAATAGATCTATAATTCTACTTTATAATTTTTTAAAAAATTCGAATGAGAGCTGAATATTGATTGATATTAAATAGAATATGAAAAGTATAGAAATTCTGTTATGGTATATAAGTTTTTAAAAAATTATAGATCCGTTAGGCATTTAAGGTGGTAGTAATAATGGAATAGATTGAAATTTAACCATTAGTAACAATAAGAGTTTATATAGTACTAACTTGTAAATGTTTAGAGACTATAGTGATTTGATATAAATGTATTTAAAAGTTAAGGTAAAAAATTTAATAATAAAAATGAAAGCTAAAGCAATAATTGAATTTATCGTTTTTGTGGATTCACTAAAAACAATAGGGATCTTTTTATTGGATGAGNACAATTCTTATTGATATTTCTCCATCGATTTTCATTTGCTTATTTTTGCAATACTTTTTTTTAACTAATTAGGTGTTTATATTATGTTTAAATAATTTCTTGCTAATTCTTTTCTAAATAATCAAGTTCCTTTACTTTTTCTGACTACTAAAATTCTTTTAATTTTAACAGCTATTTTTCCTTTTCTGAAATTTTAAAAATCTTTGATTAAAGTTCCCAAAAGAGTTCCTAATTTCAATATAATAATTATATTTATAATTTACAAAATCCATGACTTAATTTTTAATTTTTTATAAAATTGAAAATATTATTCATTTATTTATAGGCTTTCTTAAAGCTATGAAAAATTACTTATCTTTAGGAAACTAATTATAAAATTAATAATCATATATAAATGTTTGAGAATTATTGATAATGTCATTTTAGATGGAATTAATTATCATATATATAAATTCCTATCGTATTTGAATAAAACAAGTTTCAAGATTAATGGAATTTTAGTATTTGTAGATTAAAAGTTTAAAACAAAAAAATTAAATAGTATTTTATATGATTATCAATAATCCTTTATTCACTTAGAAGACTTCAAATTATACAATATATATAAATATTTTCTCTAAAGATCTTAATTCTTGATTCATATTAAACAATAATTTTTGTTTTTAAATATCGGCTGTGCAAAAACATTTAAAAATTATTCTAATTTTTTTTAATAGATCTATAATTCTACTTTATAATTTTTTAAAAAATTCGAATGAGAGCTGAATATTGATTGATATTAAATAGAATATGAAAAGTATAGAAATTCTGTTATGGTATATAAGTTTTTAAAAAATTATAGATCCGTTAGGCATTTAAGGTGGTAGTAATAATGGAATAGATTGAAATTTAACCATTAGTAACAATAAGAGTTTATATAGTACTAACTTGTAAATGTTTAGAGACTATAGTGATTTGATATAAATGTATTTAAAAGTTAAGGTAAAAAATTTAATAATAAAAATGAAAGCTAAAGCAATAATTGAATTTATCGTTTTTGTGGATTCACTAAAAACAATAGGGATCTTTTTATTGGATGAGGGAATGTATCAAATAAGGATTAACTTATATATATAGAGTGTAAGTGATTTTGAGTATTGCAGTCCCAAAATTTGAAGATTCCTTTAACTCCGAAAGAAACCTTGATATTCAAGAGGAACGAATAACAATATTTGCCATAACACATAATAGATAATTTTTATATGAGTGATGCTTTTTTATTGAGATAATGGACAGAGGAAGTAATAAATTATTTAAATATGGTAAGGAAAAATTTGAGATAAAAAATGGATGTAGGTTCAGTGGAGCAATTCCACATAATTTGAAAGAATAACCTTGCTTTATGGAAATTGAATTAATGTATTATAATTTGACATAAAAAATTGTGTCATTTTAAAGTATATCGATGGCAAAGTTTAAAATAGAAAACTCATCAAATGGAATATATGAATATGTTCCTGTGATATTAGGAGAAGATCACTTTAGTTTATTGAATATAATGGTATTATTAAAATAGAAACGAATAGGTTCTTTGTTCTTTGACAAGTTTTGATATTTAAATACAATAAGTTCAGAAAGAGGATAAATAAGCAATAGATTAACATTAACATATAAATATGAGATAGTTATATAATAAAGTATTGGAACCATTAAAAACATGTTATCGAAATATGCAAACATTTTATTATAATATGGAATTAGAGATGGAAAGACCAAGTAGTAGTGGAGGAATGCAATATCATATAAGACAAACTAAAAGTTTTTAAGTTTTGCCATTATCAAGTGCTGATTCATTATTAAAAAATGAATAAAATACACAGTTAATTAGTAAAGTGATGGCAAATGAGTTTAAGGTATTACAAAGCACAATAAATTAATTATGGCATAAAATAATTATTGGATTAAAATTAGGACATTAAAAAATATTAAGACAGTTAAAGAAAGAATCTTTAACTAATTTTTAAAGTAGATATGCTGCATTTACTTAAAAAGAAGTCATTCCAGTCGTAGATCATTAATATACAATGATTCCTTAATAATAAAAATAAAGTTAAGAATAAGCAGACTTATAAAGTAAAAGATTAGAATATTAAAAATTATTACTTTAAGGACCATCTAAAATAGTTGATTTTAAAATAATAGATGAAATTAGAGATAAATTAATGATAGTTGAAAAACATTATGTTACAAGATAAACATTTTAATTATCTAGATCTAAATTACATCTAATTGTTTTGGTTCATGGATATTAGGGTCATTCTTATGATATGAGATTACTTGAAAATTATATGTGTTTAAGATTTCCTTAACATATGTTATTAGTATCTCTATGTAATTAATAAAATACCGAGGGAGATATATTGTAGATGGGTAAATATCTTAGTGATGAAATTAAAAATTATATTGCAACATGGTCTTACACTGATAAACTTGTAATATCATTTATTGGACATTCTTTAGGAGGATTAATCATTAGAGCAGCATTGCCTTATTTAGATTTTGAATTTCATACTTATTTATCATTAGGAACACCCCATCTGGGTAATGTTACTAATCAAAGACCCTTAATTAAATTTGGTATGTGGTTTTTTTAAAAATTAAAGAAATCCTAAAGTTTATCTTAATTAAATTGTTATGATGATACATTACTAAAACTATCTTTATTCCCAGGAATGAATAAGTTTAAGCATATCATTTTATTTGGTTCACAATAAGATCATTATGTTAATAGTGAAAGTAGTCTATTGATGAAAGTCTCAGGTATTGATAATGAATAAAAACATAATGAAATGGCAACTAATATTTTAAGATAATTACACCAAAATGAATTGTTAAGAATTAGTATTGATTACAAATTTTATGATGGGTATATGTCTTAATTTCATTATTTTTAGAGATTTTGATACATTTTTAGGAAGAAAAGCTCATATAGCCATCTTGGAATCGCATTTCCTCAATTAATACATAATATATAATTTAGGAGATTATTTTAAATGAATATCTATTATATATAATATTTCACATAATTCTTGCTATTAATATATATAAATACAAAATTAAAAATAATTAACAAAATGTTGACTTTCTTATTGTTATAAATAGTAAGTTCGATGCCTATTTATGGAAATTTCTCTTAATATTACTATTATGTTGAATTGTAGGACAAAAAATGGATTTTAGATTAAAATTTTGATGCTGCAATAGAATTTGCATCTGATTCTAAGCTCAAAGAAATATATTAAGAATCACAAATAGATCGTGGAATATGTAATCCTATTAAATTAGATAATTATACTGTTCAAGCTTAAAGATTTATATTTATATAGACTCTATTTCTAGATAAAAATATTAAAAATTAAACTAAAGATGATAAATAATAAATAAATGAGGATTAATAAACACAAAATAATGAGAATTAATAAACTTAAGATGATAAATAATAGTAAATAAATGAGAATTAATAAACTTAAGATAATGAGAATTAATAAATCAATGAGAATTAATAAACTTAAGATGATAAATAATAAATCAATGAGAATTAATTATAAATTGGAAATTTTACAATAAAAAAAACATGGGCTAGAAACTATTCTTAACTTTAGGAAATAAATAATTATTTAGGTCTAAGTAAAATAGTAAAAAATTCATCTAGTGATCTAAAACTTAAATTATGTTTGGCTCAAAATGGAGGATATATGAAGATCGGAAATTTTCCAAAAGGAGATGAATATATTTAGATTAAATAAAATTGCATCTAAAATCTTCAATGTCTAATTAACTTACAATGGATAGAAATTAAATACTCAACAATGATGGGACTTAACCTTATTAAGGCCGAAATAGATTTATCAAGTTCTTATGTTTATTTTCCACCAAATATATATTCAGAAGTTATGTAGAAATTATATTGTTAAGGATATTTTTGCCCTAAAAGGAATGACAAAAATGGATTAGTATGTTATGATAACAATGATGATAATCTAGAAACATTTTATGATAGATTTGAAAAGATTAAATTTAAGTTTGAGGGAGAAAATAGTTTCATTTGGTTTCCATAAGATTATTTAGTAACTAATGATGATAAGACATTTTGTTTCCCAATAAAAAGAGAAAGTATTTAGATATATATTTTCATAAGCTTCTTAGATAATCTTAGGTTAACCATTTATGAGAAATAAAGAATTTATTTTTGGAAATAAATCATTAATAATCAATTATCAAAATTGTTCTTTAGAAACAAGCCTTGATGAAACAACGAAAAATTTATTTTAAATAGAATAAAATAAATTAGAAAGATTACCCTTAGGAATAGCAATACTTATTTCTACATTAATTATAACTTACATTCTTTTTAAGAAAAAGTTAAGGAATACAAATTAATAATTGATTAATCCACATATTCAATGATTATATTATTATTTTCTATTGCAAGTTCTCAACTCATTTTTGATCTCAAAAGAGATCTTCATTAGACAGAGTATTTAATTACATTGGAGATTGATACCCAAAGTAAAAAAAACGATTTTGTTGTTGACACAGGTGCTCCTTACACTAGTTTTATTTGTGATTAAGTAAAAATTGATTACAATAATTAGTCATCTAATTAGGAAAAGTTCAAAAGTTTAGGTTGTGAGAATGTATTCTCAACTTATGATGGACAATGGTCATGTGTGATAAACGAATCTCATCAAATTAAAATTGGAAATAACTCTATTGATTTTAATTTTGGGTGTGTTTCAAATGATGCAACTTAGATTTTAGGAATGGGAAATAATAATTCTTTTATAAAAGGTCTATATGACAATTCTTTAGTGACAAGTAAAAACTAAATATTTTCAATATTATTAAAATAAGATAAAGGAATTTTAACAATAGGTTAAGACTATCCAAATTATGAAGAAGTCTCTATTCCTATTAATATTTACTCCTAGTATTATTAAGTTGATTTAGCTAGTATCAAGGTATAATTATTCATATTTTTAGGATGATAAAGATTCTTTGAATTTTTAATTTAATGAAATTAATAACTATGAAATAATAATAGATTCAGGGAGCACATTAATTGTTATGGATTCAGAATTGCTGTAATTATTTAATAAATCTTTTCTTAAATGTGAAACAGATCCTAGAGGATGTCCCTAATAATTTTAACTTCTAGGAAAATAATGCTTTTTATATGACCGAACTCATTATGGAGATATTTCAAATTTTTTTGATACATTTCCAGAGTTTAGTTTCAATTTTAGAAATGGTTATATATTTAAGTTAAATGCTAAAGATTATTTGTTGAAACTTAATTTTTACAATTATGAAAACTTTTATTGCCTACCTTTTATAGATTTTTCAAGAAATTATTAAACTAAATACAAAAAAATTCTTCTGTTAGGATAACCTTTTATGAATAATAAAGAATTTTATTTTGATTTGACTAACTAAGCAATTTATGTTAAAAATGCAGAAATATAAATTGAATTTACTTCGAAAATTTTTGAGCATACGACTTTATACATTCAGATAGGTTTTTTAATTGGAATTTATTTATTCTACAGATTATACTCAACTTAGATAAGAGGAATGTTGAGAGGGGGATTAGGAAATTAAGGAATTAATGCATATGGTTGATTAGAATAAATTATTAAATTTATGTTCACATAATTAAATAACAAAATAACGCTTATATCTTCATTTAAAACCGCTCCAAATATAGGTCTAATAAAATATTGGGGGAAATGGAATGAAAAAGAAATTAATCCATTGAATACATAAATAAAAGTAACTTTAAATCGTAGAGACATATTTACATCAACTACATCTACTTTGAATCCTTAATCAGATAAAAATCAATTAAATTTTAACGTAAATGACTTTCCTATAAGTAATAGGATCGAAAGACTTTTTAACATATTTCGAGATAAAATACAATAGTCAAAATAAATAGCATGTAATATATAAAAGAATTCTCTTTCTGATAAATTACTGGGATAGCTTATTCCTGATATAGTCAGAGTTGAATCTAATAATTCATTTTCTACTGGCAGTGGATTAGCCTCATTATCATCAGGGTTATCAGCATTAACATTATTTCTATAGGACATTCTTAAGACTAATATTGAGGTTAGATATCTAAGCAGAATTGGTTCAGGAATGCTTATAGATATTTGTATGGAAATTTCGTATTATTCGTAAGTGTCTATTAAAAAAAATTTAGATAAATATGATTAAGTAAGAATAGATCTGGAAAGTGAAAGATGCTTGTCTTATTAAATTTAAAACAGTTGAAGGTTGAAAGATAAAGTTTCAATCGTCATATTAATCGATAGACATTAGAGATAAAAAGATGTACTACCAAATAATGGTATGAAAATAATTTCAAAACTTGTAAATAAATACAGGGAACCTTCAGCTAATTTGTTGAATAACATATTAAAGAATTGTAATAAGCTTTAGAAAGCTAAATCGTAATGGATATAATGATTAAAGATCGTAGTTAATTTCATACTACATTTATGGCCTTATCCAACACTTTTATATTTAAATAATTTCTCTAGATAAATTTGTTATATGACTCATCTTTATAATCGAAACGCGTCAAAAGTATTGTAGGAAATACTTTAGATTCAGTTGTTCATGCAGTTTTGTTGGTTCATAATGATGAACTTTGAACTTTTAAGAATCTATTATCTGATGCATGTAAACTAATATAAATATATTCGAAAATTTATTTATTAATACAATGTAAATTGAAGCCATTAATTTTGGACTTCCATCGGATAAAGTCCAATAAATCCTAATTGAATAATATGATTATGTATTTTATATTTCATAAATAATCATCTTAGAATGCTTTCTTTACTACAGCATGGCATATGATATTTAAAAAAATAGCATGGAAACACTAAATCACCTTCAAAATATAATTAGGATAATAAATAGATGTTTCTGTTTTTAGCTAGAGGTTTTCTGAATTCTACTAATTATACATTTAACAATATGAATGAATATAAGAGATATAATATTAATATCCTTATAGTTAAATTATTAATTTACCAAATAATTGCCGATATTGCATCCTAAATGTCCAAATATAAACCCACAAATAAGATTTCAAAAAGAAGCACGAACGATATTCTATTAAATAGTTTAATTTCAAAGCAAGTACCTCCATAGCTGTTTAGAAACTAAGAAACAGTTCTTAATTCCATCTTATCTATCTAAATGGAAACAAATCGATATTATTATTAAGTTGGTGAATATCACACTAATTATTACAACTAAATTCAATTATGGGTATCTTATTATCACATATACAAACCAAAACTATCTAATTATAGTACTCAAACTCTATTTATTAATTTATAAAATTTACAAACAAAAATACGTTTTAAGGCTAATTTTTAGAAAATGATTAATTAAATTAGGCAAATGCCAATAATAAAATATAAAGCATTAAAAGCACAAAAAAAATGATGAAAGGTATTTACTCCATCTATTCGCTTAAATTAAAATATCCTAATAATCCTATTATTATCAAGGAAACAAAAAAATGAATCCACAAAACCAACAAATACTTCAATTGATTTTCCTATATCTTTAGTTAGTATTTTTCAATACTAGACTTTTCATTATTTATTGGTTCTGTAATTGAAATTACTTACTACATTGTATTTGTTAGAGCTGATTTTCGAACAAACATATCCTATATACCATACATTAACTGCTTCTTGTCCTATTTTTATTTAAAATTTTACTTACTTCTACTTAATCTCGTTATTACATTTATCAAAATTAATAACAATTAATAATGAAATACTTTTTATTATAAATACTGCTATATTATTATTATTTTTATAATGTTTATTATCTTTGTTCTCAATTGTCACTTATCTTGAAGAATTCTAATTGTTAATTTTTTTTGATCCTTTGAATTAACAAGATTCTCATCAATAAGACTTAATATTTTTAATAATAAAAAGTTTTTAATATTTATCAAGCATAATTTTATTTATTTTTATCTCATTAATATACGTAATATATTTATTTATTAAATGCTTATATTTTTGTTTTTTGTTTAAATTTTTAATTACACTCATAATTTTTGGTCCTGCGTACCATTCTCCAATTTTCATATTCAAATTTTTGAGGCTTATTTGATTATTTATTGAATCGAAAATGGAGCTAGACTTGAATATTCTTAATTAGCATCAAATAAAGTTAAAATCATAGTTTTTGTTTATTTAATAGTTAGAATTTTATATTCACTCATTAAAGCATACTCTTATATTTAATAGAATATTACTGCTATCGTCATCTATCCTACACATAATAAACAAACCCATCCTTAATCTGAGATTACTTTCCCCTCAAATGATATATTAGGGTTATAATTAAACCAAATGCGAACCTCTTTCTTTAAATAAAAGGTTTCAACATTCAGTATTTCCTAATTAAATATATAAAATAAAATAGTTTATCAATCTTTATTTCCTCACTTAATATTTTATCTAATTAATATGCTGTTTTTTTCCTTATTAATATCATTTACTTATATCATTAGCAATAAGCTATTCATTTGAATAATTTATATAATTTAGTATACATAATTTTATTAATTAAAATTTAGTACAATAATAAAATTATTATTTCTAGCATATTATTATAATTATATATATTATCATTGCATAATGATACATATGAATATATTTCAATTTATTAGACTACTTTTACCAAAAGAAGCTAATTTTGATTAGTTCAACTATGGGGATTAGAGATTAGAATTGTTATATTATATCTATCGTAGTATATAGGGATTTTGAATTTGATTGGGATTAGGGTTTGTTAATGGATTATAAATATTTTATTAAGAAATTTCGGTATTCACAATTCCATTACCTTAACTTTAAGATTAACTCTATTAATTATATTTATTATAAATTACTAATGTTGATAATTGTGTATGATATTGTTATTGAATTTCTCTCTTCCTCAATTTTTCTTATCTTTATTATTCTTCATACTATATAGAAGCTTACAATATTTCTAATTTCCTTTGCTCTTTTATATTGTCATCTTATTTTTTCTTTTCATTTTTTTCCTATATTTAATTGGCCAATCCATTTTAATAAATTTCCTTCTACTTTTGTTATTACTATCTTTTGGTTAAGTATTCACTCTCTTCTTTATCTTACCTTTCCTTTACTTATTTATTAATTATGTAATCAAGTTACAGTTTTGGATTATCAACCTTTTGCCTATAAATATCTTATAGAACATTTTATCTTTCTGACACTTTCTGGTAATACTAATTAATAATTGTAGAATTAAGTTACATTTCTGTATGAGTCTTCTTATTTTTAAATTCTTTGAGATTCATTTTAAGTTTATTCCTTATAAACTAATTGTTCGAATTCCTTATCTTTTTTTTCTTTTTCTTTTCTATATTATAATTCTTTCATTTATTATTCAACAATTTATTTTTACATTTCTCTTTTCTATCTTCTCATTTGTTCTTCCAATGATAATCCATTTATTGCATTATTAATAATATCGTTTTCTATCTTTAATGCTTCTTGTTTCTAATAAATATATCCATTATTTTACTTTTTCATCAATTATTAGTTTCTGATGATTTATAATGAGATAATTCTAATGTTATAAATTTTATTTAGTTGTTTCTCTGTTTTATATTTATTGACTTTTTTCTTCCCCTTACTTTTAACGAATTAATTAAATCTACTCCTCATCTTCCTTTTATTTTTACTGCTGTAACTCCTTTTTTCTTTATTCTAATGATTATTGCTATTCAATTAGTTATTATTTCATAATCTCTTATTTCATAGTTCTCATAGACTTTTCTTCTTCTTTCAACTTTCTGTTCATATCGAACTCTTTGTATCCATCATAATTTTGTTATGATAAAATCATTAAATTAATAAATAATATTCAAATTAATCAAGAGAATTATAAATAAATTATGCTCACATCATAACATATCTTCTATTAAATATATATTATTTGTTTATATTAATATTTATTAAAATATAAACTTCTAGTCTTTTTTTTTATTTTTTTAAAAGTATAACATAGACTACATTTTAATTGGCAAATATTTTATTTAAGTAGATCTTATTGTTTTATAAAATTTCATCAATTAAAACCATATAGGAATCTAAAATATTATTCTTAACTTTGGATAAAATTCTATTCTCATTAAAATATATCGAATGATAAGTATCTAATTTAATTCAAAACTATATCAATATGATGATTTAAAAAATTTAGTTAAAACTAAGTGGTTGTATGATTGCTTGGATTTATTAACTAATTTAATATAAATATGAATAAATATTAGCTTAGTTTCAAAGATAAAGACATAGAAAACATGTATTAGACAAAGTAACATAATGAATTAAGGATATTAAGTCTGAATATTATTTCATTAGGTCTCTTTGTTAATTATTTTGTCATTTCTTTGAATTCTGTAATAATGAACAGATATGACTTTCTTTTATGGAAATTATTCATGATGGCTTACATGTTAATCTAATACTATACTGTGAATAAATATCCTAAACTAATAAGACTGGCATTTATTCTTACAAATCATTTCAATAGTGTTTTATACATATTTGCATCAGATGATTAATATACTCATGAATTTGATATTATAAAGGGTGCTAATCAAATGGGAATGGAAATAATAATAGTGTTATCGGGTGAATTTCTGGATGCAATTTTTTCAGTTCTAAGTTTGAATCTCATAAGAGTCATTTATGGTATCATTCACAGCGAAATTCAATTTTATGTACCTCATGTTACGACTGCTATTTTAATTCTTTATTTTGTTTATTTTTTTTACAAGTTTCATTATGCTAGAAGATCTTAATTTTTATTAACTCTTATAGACTCATAATGGGATAATATTTTAGCTAATCTTATTTAGAAATAGTCATATGTAATTTTTACATTTGAAGAAGAATAATTGCACTACTCTATTAAATAAATTAACAATTGTGGCCAATTTTTCTTTTAAAATTAAGACGTTTTTTCTTTTTTAAGAGAATCTACTTATTAAGGAAAAACAGTAGAGTCAATTATATTATCAGATATAAAAATGTTTCAAATCAATTAAAAGAAAAAATTAAATGTTGATCTTGTTTGTTAATTTCATAAAGAAATTATTCATATTTAATATTCAATCTACTCAGGATAAAATCCAACAATTTTAATCGTTTTTAAGGAACATAGTTTTCAGAAAAAGAAAAGTAAATTAATTAATTTTGACTAAAAATACAATCATTTTGTTTCCTTATTTCTTAAGGTTTTGAATAACTTAGAACCTATTTCATAAAAATATTAAGAATATATATAATTGAAAAGACAATTATATCTCTTTAAATTATTAAGTTTTATTACTGATTGTCAATTTAATTAAAAGATAATCAACTTAAGTTAAAATTTAGCTAGTATAGCATAGTTATTTCCAGAAAAAAGAATATATTATGATAATATTGATAGTTCTCATTAAATTAAAACTATCACAAATATTTTATATTTTTTTTAATTGATTATTTTAGAAAACTCAATAGGAAGGGGAGTAAAAATCTAGTATAAATTTTCAGAGTAAATCTATACACTTGTTTTTTAGGGGAATTTTAATTAAAATAGACTTAAATTTATTGCTTCAAAATTATAATATCCTCTAAAAATGATATTTTTGAAATTCAACATTACATCTTTAAGTAATTAATATTTTAATTTAAGAAATTACTGCAGAATTACATTAGGAACCATTAATTCCATTCACAAGATTGAAAGTAAGTAAATATCATTGTAATTGAAATTTACTTAAAACTAAATGTAATAGATTTCAATTTATCATAAAATTAATTTTTAAATATTTTAAATACTCTCCATTATAATAAAACAGAATAAATAAGTTGGATTAAATATATATATATAAGTAAACCTTATTCTTTGTTTATATATCTAACTATAAAATAAGATGATTTTAAATATAAAATTTAATCTGAAAATCTGATTAAAATTAGAAATGATAGCTTCTTGGGATTATTTATATAATTTGATTAAGCTAAAAAGAATATTTTTGTTAGAATGATTTTGAAACATAAATTATATAAATGAATAAGGGATGAAATAAGATTGAATAAATATAAATATAAAATATATTTTAATTAAGGTTGTATAACAACCTATTACAAAAAGTAGAAAGATTAGTGAATAATTGGATATCTAATACTTTAAATTTGATCTCGGGGATAGAAAAAGTTTAAAGAAGAATTTAATTAAAAGCATCTAATAAACCACAAAATTTTGGCATGATATTTTCAATAATCAATATTAGATTGATAATTTTAAGGACACCAATGAAAACCTTAAGTCAAAATATGAGATTTTGGTTGATATGGTTCTGGTATAATTTTAGATTCAGTTTCTTATTGTTATTGTTGATCTTTGATTTCTTCAGAGGTATCAAAATCGCTCAGATTGATTTCTTATAATTCATATTTGGGTGCCATATATTCAAGAAACTGATTGAGTTTATTGAAGAGAAGTTATTTTAGTTTTTTATTATCAATTAGTACTTTAGGTTTTTTTTTGATATTGATATGATTAGCTTCATGTTCTTGAATAAATGAGAAAACATTTGTAAGATTATGTACAGGTTCCCAAGTATTTTCTTCATTAGGATAACCTTCCCATTTAATACAATATTATAATTCTTTAGTTTCAGGATCATATCTCTTACCAACAACTTTTTCTACATTAAAAAATTGTGGATTTAGTTTTTACTTTTTGTAGTGTTTCATTTATAATTAATTAAAAGAGATTTAGAGTAAAATAAATTCCTTTTAAAGGGAAATATTGTGAGATAGTAGAGAGTGAATGATATAGAGAGAATAAAGTTAGTTTACATAAAGTAGATTATAATGATATGAATATGAATGGATTGAGTGATAATTTAAAAATAAATTAAAGATTTTAATTATTATTTGAAATGACAAAGAAGACAAAGAAGGTTGGAATTACAGGAAAATATGGTACAAGATATGGTGCATCTTTAAGAAAGATAATAAAGAAGTTTGAAATTTCATAGCACTAAAGATATTTCAATACATTTACTGGGGCAGTATGAAATACATTAAAATAAAATAGCATTCATTAAAAAGATAAGCAATAGGTATATGGAGATGTACATAAACTGGTTTATAAATAGCTGGTGGTGCTTGGGAAGTCAAGTAATATAAATATAAATAGTAGTACACCTGCTGGATTATCTGCAAAATAAGGTATGTTAAGAATCAAGAAATTAAAGGAAGATGCTGAGGTAGAAGTTAAAGATGAAAAGAAAGATTAAAAGAAATAATAACCAAAAGAATAATTAAAAGAATAACCAAAAGAATAATCTAAAGAGAAAGAAACAAAGAAAACATAACCAAAAAAATAATAAGCTAAGAAACAATGAGTATATTAATACAATAAATAATAATTAAAATAATATGAATAAATTAGTATCTACATTTGCAAAGACTATGCAAACACAAGTTTCTCTTTACTCATATCATTTCCCTAATGGATCTGTCTATAATAATGTATTTAATTAAATATCTAATTTTAATTTAGCCAGCTGTTACAGCCAAAAGAATTATTAAAGTAGTTGGAGATAGATTAAGAAAAATTGATCCAGAAAGAGTATAACATCAAATCATAATCTTTTTTAGTGGGATTCAACCCCAATCACATTTAATACCAATTGGAATGATGCTGCAGGATATGTAGATGTTGCTACATGTATTCATATTCATGATGCACTTGAAAAAGAATTTGGTATAGAAATCAAAGATAGAGCCTTCTTGGTTTCTAGTATTGAAACTGCTTTTTACATTGTTAACATCCATCACGACAGTCATTGATATAATATCAAATAATATTAAATTAAAACATTACATTGTCATTCTATCATTATAACCTATATAACTATTTATCTCTTTATATACCATATTAATAGTTATTTCAAACAATCTACCAAAAAATTAATTTTATTTCTGTTTTTCGAAAGAAATTTAAACAAAATTTTCTGCATTCTTTATTATTATTTGTTATTCTCTTTTTATGAAAATTAATTTTATTATAAAGATTCTCAAATAGAACAACCCGACTGAAAAAAAGATATCTTTTAAAATTATTACTAAACAAAAAATCTTAGAGCTAAAAATAATATATTGATTTTATCAAAATATAGAATAAATATACCAATAAAAAAAAAGGAGATATCTTTAACTAAAGGCAAACAAAGATAAAAATGAAAAGCGTTTAGTTTAAATAAATTTCATTCATTATTTTAATTAACTAATCTAACAAACCAACCATTCAATTAGATAAGTTCTTCGTAAGTTCCTAATTCAACTATCTCTCCTTTCTCTAAAACAGCAATTCTATCATATTATTAAATATTTTCAAGTCTATGAGTAATAACGAGTAATGTTTTATTACCACCCTATACATAATTAAATAATGTCTTATGTAATTCTTCATCTGTTTTTGGATCCATATTTGAAGTGGCTTCATCTAAACAAACAATATCTTTATTTTATAAGATTACTCTCATAAAATTAATTACTTATTTTTCTCCATTTGATAGGTTCCCTCCAGATTTAGCAATCATAAAATTAATATTTGTTGAGGATTTTTAAATTTCTTCTTAACTTGTACTATTTATTTATGTAGAATCCTACATTATACCTCTAATTCTAAACTATGTATTATTAAATGCTTATTCAATTTATTAATTAGTTAATTTCCCTTATGGATCGATATTATCTCTCAAATTAGCATTGTACAAGAATCCAAATTGAGGAACTATAGATAGTAATTATCTCACATCTCTCAATTACATTTTTTAAATCTAATATTTTGTTAATTAAATAAAATACATCTTCACCATTTATAAATATATGTCCTTATTGAAAATCATATAATCTGAATAAAATATTAAAAATTGAAGTTTTTCCAGCTCCTGTTCTACCAACAAACGCTATTTTCTCTCCTTTTTTAATAAATAGAGAAAAGTTCTTTAATGCATATTTGACATTTTAGCTTTGTAAAACATCATCATATGTTAGTGTGACATCATTGAATACTATCGCATACTGATTAGGATAAATATTTTATTTTTTATTTGGCACTTACTATCTAATAATTTATGAGACTTGGGGATTTATTTAAACAACACTATTATATTTTTCTTAAGGATTATTAAAATATTATCTAATTCTTTCTACTGAAACCATTTTTGCTTCACTTTAAATAAACCAATTCATTGTATCATTGAATTCATTAGTTATAAGTACAGCATAAGTAAGTGTCATAGCACAAGTAGCATAATCAATTTCAATTTTAAAGAGCATCATAAGAATAATTGTTATTGAAACAGCTAAGAAAATTAAGTTACTTAGTAAATGTAATCTGACAGATAACCAACAACTAACTCTTCTACTATTAACAGAAGAGCAAATAGATTCAGTAAGCTTAATAATGTATTTTTGAATAAAATATTATTATTTTTCAAATGCTCTAATAGTTCTTAAACCTTCAATAGTTTCAGTGAGATGGGAAATAATTTTGCCTTCATTAGTGGATTAAATTCTTTTAAGATCTCGATTACTTTTTCTAAAGTATTTTTATAACCATCTAAAAGTTAAAAGTTCAATAATGATAATAAAAATAAGCCATGGAAAGAGAATGATAATTCCAATAGGATAACCTATACATGCAAGCACTGACATTATAAGTACTTCAACTAACCAAGGAAGTTCATCATCAATGATTAATGTATCATTTGATAATCTATTGATAATTCTGCCTTAAGCATTATTATCAAAGAATACCATTTTAGAATTCATAATACTTTGATTTAAAAGTTTGAATGTTCTCCAACCACCCAACAAGGTACAGATTTTTATAATGATTCCAGTCGCAAATGTAATCATAACAAATATGAATATTAACCAAAAAAATTAACTCTTAAATGAAACTCCAAACAAATGATTAAAAAAATCAAATGAATGATTATCAACACTGATTTATGCTCTAATCCAAAAATCTATCAAATTTCTACTTAACATAAGAATAATTGACAACAATATAGCAAATGCTACTAAAACATAACTCATTTAAGATATATAATATAAAACAGTTTCTCCCGCTATTTCATCACTTTCTCTTTCTTCTTCCTCTACTTCATTTTTGTTTTTATTTTCTGACTCATTTAGAAGTATATCTTAATCAATCTCTTGTGATTAAATAACTTTCAGTTATTAATGGATAAATTTCTTTTAGTTTTTTTCTAATTATTCAAGTTCTATTTTATGCTATTTCTCTTTCTCTTATGACATAAATTAATGTAATAATTATTCATCTTAACAAATAGAACCATGAACCATATAAATAATATTGCATTTATTGTACATCTCTATGAATCTAAATTAAGAAGTAATCATCAAAACTGTCTTTCCTTATTCTAATAACATTTATTTAATTCCTTTATTAAACACTTTATCAGCAACTTGCATATCTAATGAAGAAAATATATCATCCATTAAATAGATATCACAATTTTAATATAAAGATCTACACAATGAAATTCTTTGCTTTTATCCACCACTTATATTCTTTGCATCTGGTCCCAAAATATATTAGTCTCTTTTTGGAAATGTAAGTAAATCTGGCATAAAATCACATGCTTCTATACATTTCTCATACAATTCTTTATCATAAGACTTACCAAACAAAATGTTATCTCTTATGGACATATTTTATAACCAATGATTTTAACTTACATAAGCTACGCTTCCCCTAACTTTCAAACTATCTTAATTCTAATCTATTATATCCATTTCATTTAGAATTGCATTTAATAATGCTGTCTTTCCACATCCTATTCGTCCTATTATCATATTCAAAGTATTCTTTTTTATTTTAATTTCTGCTAACCTTAATTAGAATCCTTCATTCTCTTCAAAATGCTACTTTTTTGATGGCCATTTGAAAGCTATCTCAGGTATTTCTATCACGTATTCCTCTCCAATACAATTCTTATATCTTATTATTTCTTCCTCATTTATTTCCTTAAGATCTAAATATGTTTTTATTCTCTAATAAGATAGTATTGTATTTATTAATTTATTAATTGAATGAGGAATCACACTTAATGGAAATGTTAATAAATTAAATAAAGCAATTATTGTAAAAACATTCGTAGATTTTAACGCATCATCTCCATTTTTTTCTGCATAATTAGATAAAAAAAAGTAAAGCAATATATAACTTATACTCTACCATTACACATTATTTATTATATCGATTATCTTCTGCCATTTTATAAATCCAAATTCTTTTTTTCTAATTGCCAATATTTTATTGTAGAAAGTTTATTCCCAAGATAAATATTTTATCTATTTCATACCTTCTATCACATCAGAAGATAATGTTAATCTACTATCTTTTTGGACTAAAGCCTTTCGATAAAAAATCTAAACATAAAATTTCATTCTTTACAATTGAAAATGTTGTTGTTAGCGAATTAAAAATCAACACGCAAACTAGAATTATCAATCCAGTCCAAATTGCATTCCCTAATTTCAGATATAACATATAAAGAACTATGCATATTGTGATCAAGGATGAAGATACTATAATTATTTCTATTTTTATTACATCCTAATATATCCCAATACATATACGAAAGCTCCTCTGTATCAACTGTCAACAAATTATTTACATTTGCTATATATTCCTCATCTCCATCCTTTTTATCTTCCTTTTATTTTTAGACTGTTTCCTAAAGGTATTTTGTTCTTAATGCTTTCTAATATATCAAATATTGCCCAACTATTTTTAATAATGAAGTAAATTGATTTTAATAATCGTTTGAAATAGACCCTATATATGTCCCAAACGTATATACAATTGTCATAGTCAGTAATAATAAAATCGGTTTTAAAATATGGTGATTTTCTTTTGGAAGATTATAATCCTTAATCGAGTCCGTCACTTAATCTAACAAATATATCGATCCAATTTATATTGCTTTATCTATAAATGTTAAAAATCCTATAAATATAAATTTCCGAAGGAATAATGATTTTAAAATATAAAAAGTAGGAGTTTTGTATTCTCTCTCTAAACTTAAATTATTTCTTTTTCTTCTCTCTAATTCTTCAATTTATATTCTATTATTAAATTACTTTATACCTTTCAACCATATTTATCGCCAACTAAGGTTTTAAATTAGGCTCCAAAAAGTATTGCAAATCTGAATTCTCAAGTTGATCTGATTTCTTATTTATGAGTTCAATCAATAGACTAATATTAGTGAATAAAAAATTGCATTCCTTAAATTTCTCATTTTTTGCCAAAAGCTCTCTCTCCTCAATCTCATTATAAACCCCTACTTTCTTCATTTAAAATAAATTTTATAATAATTTAAAACCCATTATAATAATTTATTTGTTTATTTAAAAAGTTTGCATAATAAATTTATTTATTGCATTGATAAATAAAGAGAAACTTTTTAAATCTACTTATATAAGATTACTGAAATATATATAATTATATTCCAATCATATTTTGATAAACATTAAAAAAAACGTTGAAAAATATCAATCTAACTAAATTAATTTTAATAAAGTTATTCTTATTATCACAAAATCAAATACATCTTCATATTTACTCGATCTTGGTCTAACTTTTATTTTAGTGATAATCTATTATAATTATCTTTCCTTTTCAATTAAAAAGTTAGTTCAGATGATTATCTTCAATTATAATTAAAATTATTTTATTTATTAAGATTCATATGATTTAAAAATAATAATTTAAATATTTAAATAGTTCCCTTAGATTATTTAACTATCAAATTTTGATTGTATAATAAAGTTGGATATCATAATATTTAATTTAGTGTTGATTTTTATTTTCTAACAGGTTTAATTTTTATAAGCTTAGCAAAAAGAAAAAATGTTTATTAAATAAGATGGAGATCTTTATATCTAATTTTGCAAAGAGATTAAATAATAAAAAATATAGTATTCAATAAATGAACCTTAAGATAGCAAATAATATATTATTGAATATAAGTCGGATACTTTTAGAATTAATTTCAAACATTTACTTAAAAGAGCAGAATACATGCCACACAATAGTCAGAGTAATATATGAAACTATCATGATAAATTCAACTACCAACAAGTAAAATTAATTAAAAAAGACTTTAGGGATTTATTTATCATTCAAAATCCTTATCAAATTAACATTATAATCTTCATTAAATGTAGACCTTTAGAATATTTATTTATAAAATCTTATAATTTACATGGTATTGAAAGAATATAAGAAATTTTGGTTCAGCAGCTAAACTGTGAAAGTAGGCATTTAATAAAAAAATAATTAAATGTTTTTGCATGAAATTATACAAAAATGCAGTCCCTGGTTTCCTTTATTTAATAGATCAAATTATTTGATATAAAAAATAATATCAAAATAAGTACATTTTTGGATTTAATAAAATTTACTTAAACTCTAAATAATTGCCAATTTTATTCCATAATTTGTTAACACAGTTTTAACAAAAATTTTTACAACTAAATAATGGATAAGTTGATAAATATTTAAAGAGAGAATTCTGAATATTATAAATTTCTTGATAATATTAATATAAAATTAATTTTTTGAAGATGAGTGAAGCATAAGCAGACCGTATCTTGTCAATTGCAAATCAAGAAACAGTTAATAGATTATTTAGGGTTTGTTATAAATAAATAACAGGTTTTAAAATAATTAAATGATTGATTAGGCTAAAGACCTGTTGGAAAATTTTAAGATAGTGATCATTAAGCTGTATTAAATTGCCACAGAAGGTTAGTGGAAGTATTAAAAATAGTAGCACCAGCAATTGTACCATTAAGAGAAGAATGATTCAATTGTTAAAAATAATATTCATAAAACCATAATTATATTAAAAGCATTATATGTAAAAATTGCTATTTTAAAACTCTATTATAATTTTAAATATTTAGAGTTAATTGGAAAATGATTGGGTAAATAAAATCTGAACAACTCAATTATAAAATTATATTAAAAATCGTTTCTCATTCAATTGGTGGTCTTTCTGGCAATTCTTTTGAATTAATTAAGTATCTTCAAATTTAAGATTTTTAACAGTTACTTCACTTTGATAAATTACAACCCCAAAGAAAACATTTTTTTAAAACATCAGCCTTGTTTATCCGCATATGAATGTTTTTATCTTAATTTGTACAAACTAGCTGCAATTTTATTTGATCTCTAAAAATTATTATGCAACATTTAAAGATATTTTCTGCTTCTTGATAACTTTATTCTATTGTGGCATGTCATGACTATTTTNGCCACACAATAGTCAGAGTAATATATGAAACTATCATGATAAATTCAACTACCAACAAGTAAAATTAATTAAAAAAGACTTTAGGGATTTATTTATCATTCAAAATCCTTATCAAATTAACATTATAATCTTCATTAAATGTAGACCTTTAGAATATTTATTTATAAAATCTTATAATTTACATGGTATTGAAAGAATATAAGAAATTTTGGTTCAGCAGCTAAACTGTGAAAGTAGGCATTTAATAAAAAAATAATTAAATGTTTTTGCATGAAATTATACAAAAATGCAGTCCCTGGTTTCCTTTATTTAATAGATCAAATTATTTGATATAAAAAATAATATCAAAATAAGTACATTTTTGGATTTAATAAAATTTACTTAAACTCTAAATAATTGCCAATTTTATTCCATAATTTGTTAACACAGTTTTAACAAAAATTTTTACAACTAAATAATGGATAAGTTGATAAATATTTAAAGAGAGAATTCTGAATATTATAAATTTCTTGATAATATTAATATAAAATTAATTTTTTGAAGATGAGTGAAGCATAAGCAGACCGTATCTTGTCAATTGCAAATCAAGAAACAGTTAATAGATTATTTAGGGTTTGTTATAAATAAATAACAGGTTTTAAAATAATTAAATGATTGATTAGGCTAAAGACCTGTTGGAAAATTTTAAGATAGTGATCATTAAGCTGTATTAAATTGCCACAGAAGGTTAGTGGAAGTATTAAAAATAGTAGCACCAGCAATTGTACCATTAAGAGAAGAATGATTCAATTGTTAAAAATAATATTCATAAAACCATAATTATATTAAAAGCATTATATGTAAAAATTGCTATTTTAAAACTCTATTATAATTTTAAATATTTAGAGTTAATTGGAAAATGATTGGGTAAATAAAATCTGAACAACTCAATTATAAAATTATATTAAAAATCGTTTCTCATTCAATTGGTGGTCTTTCTGGCAATTCTTTTGAATTAATTAAGTATCTTCAAATTTAAGATTTTTAACAGTTACTTCACTTTGATAAATTACAACCCCAAAGAAAACATTTTTTTAAAACATCAGCCTTGTTTATCCGCATATGAATGTTTTTATCTTAATTTGTACAAACTAGCTGCAATTTTATTTGATCTCTAAAAATTATTATGCAACATTTAAAGATATTTTCTGCTTCTTGATAACTTTATTCTATTGTGGCATGTCATGACTATTTTGTTTATTTAAATATATTACTTATATACACCAACTTAAAATTTTGTAAATAAACCACATGTTCCATAAATCTCTGGACTTACTCCATTAATAATTTTATACTTAAACTCCAGTTTTTTATAAATTATTTTGGTATATTTTTATACTCTCAATAAATCTTTTTGAGGCACTGCAATTCCAGCATAAAAAATTACATTTGAAAATTAAAAAATATCATCACTAACCTCGACATCTCAAGATTTTGAAATAATAAAAAAAATTTTCATCAGGAAATACAGCTTCTAATAAATTAAGAATTGTTATTCCATTATTTGATATCGTAGCTATAGGCCTTGTTATTTTATCCTTTCCTCTTGATTCAAGAGTACTTCCATTTAAAATATTCTTTACATTCACCTTAATGAATAAATGATATTAAAACTATATCATAATTTATATATATTTAAATAACAATTGTTTTAATATTTTTAACGATTTGAAATTTTCATTAAATAATGGATTCAAATAATTCTTTTGTTAAATTTATTTAAGAACCGACAATAGCCAAATCATATAAAATTCTAGATCTAAATTAAGATGCTCTATACTAGTCATATTAAAAGTTTAAATCACCTTAATATGTGTGTAATAATGATAACAATATAAAGATACCACAATCAAATCTAAATTAAATAAAATATTTTACCCATTTGATTATTTATTCCATTTTGTTTCAAATGAAAAAGTAGAAACTTAAAAATTTAATTCTTCGAGTATTTTAAATATGGCTTCTTTTATATCTTGGTCAACACTCTGATAATATGAGTCAAAATAATATATTTTCTTATCTTTCAAGTTTATTACAACACTAATCCAATGAGCTTGACTTAAATTTATAGGAAAATATAAAAAATCTTAGTTTATTAAATCTTTTGTTGAAACAAGACCATTCATTTGAGCATATTAATTTAGTAACATAGGTAATTTATGAGTTTAATATTTTTATTTTTTTTGTTAATCGAAAGACATACCTGTGATAACAAATGTAAATTGCTTGGTGGCTGGTGATTATTATGGTTGCAGCGGAATTGTTTATTGTTAAACTATTGGTTAACTTTAATTGGTAATAGTTGAATTTTAAACTTCCTATGCAATATTTGTATTTTATTTATTAGATTCAAGTTATTCTCGATCTTATTAAGTTACTTCGTGTTAGTTTTCTTATTCTATAATTACATTATCTTATTTAGTTTGAGTTACTGCTATTTAACCTTAATTGGAAATATTTGTATTTTAAACTTCCTATGCAATATTTGTATTTTATTAATTAGATTCAAGTTATTCTCGATCTTATTAAGTTACTTCGTGTTAGTTTTCTTATTCGATATTTTAATTATCTTATGTACTTTGGTGTACTGCTATTTAACTTTAATTGGAAATATTTGTATTTTAAATTTCCTATTCATTATTTATATTTTATTTATTAGATTCAAGTTATTCTTGATCTTATTAAGTTACTTCATGTTAGTTTTCTTATTCTATAATTACATTATCTTATTTAGTTTGAGTTACTGCTATTTAACTTTAATTGGAAATATTTGTATTTTAAACTTCCTATGCAATATTTGTATTTTATTTATTAGATTCAAGTTATTCTCGATCTTTTTAAGTTACTTCGTGTTAATTTTCTTATTCTATAATTACATTATCTTATGTACTTTGGGTTACTGCTATTTAACTTTAATTGGAAATATTTGTATTTTAAACTTCCTATTCAGTATTTATATTTTATTTATTAGATTCAAGTTTATCATGATCTTATTAAGTTACTTCGTGTTAGTTTTCTTATTCTATATTTACATTATCTTATTTAGTTTGAGTTACTGCTATTTAACTTTAATTGGAAATATTTGTATTTTAAACTTCCTATTCAGTATTTATATTTTATTTATTAGATTCAAGTTTATCATGATCTTATTAAGTTACTTCGTGTTAGTTTTCTTATTCTATATTTACATTATCTTATTTAGTTTGAGTTACTGCTATTTAACTTTAATTGGAAATATTTGTATTTTAAACTTCCTATTCAGTATTTATATTTTATTTATTAGATTCAAGTTTATCATGATCTTATTAAGTTACTTCGTGTTAGTTTTCTTATTCTATATTTACATTATCTTATTTAGTTTGAGTTACTGCTATTTAACTTTAATTGGAAATATTTGTATTTTAAACTTCCTATTCAGTATTTATATTTTATTTATTAGATTCAAGTTTATCATGATCTTATTAAGTTACTTCGTGTTAGTTTTCTTATTCTATATTTACATTATCTTATTTAGTTTGAGTTACTGCTATTTAACTTTAATTGGAAATATTTGTATTTTAAACTTCCTATTCAGTATTTATATTTTATTTATTAGATTCAAGTTTATCATGATCTTATTAAGTTACTTCGTGTTAGTTTTCTTATTCTATATTTACATTATCTTATTTAGTTTGAGTTACTGCTATTTAACTTTAATTGGAAATATTTGTATTTTAAACTTCCTATTCAGTATTTATATTTTATTTATTAGATTCAAGTTTATCATGATCTTATTAAGTTACTTCGTGTTAGTTTTCTTATTCTATATTTACATTATCTTGTTTAGTTTGAGTTACTGCTATTTAACTTTAATTGGAAATATTTGTATTTTAAACTTCCTATTCATTATTTATATTTTATTTATTAGATTCAAGTTATTCTTGATCTTATTAAGTTACTTCATGTTAGTTTTCTTATTCTATAATTACATTATCTTATTTAGTTTGAGTTACTGCTATTTAACTTTAATTGGAAATATTTGTATTTTAAACTTCCTATTCATTATTTATATCTTATTTATTAGATTCAAGTTTATCTTGATCTTATTAAGTTACTTCGTGTTAGTTTTCTTATTCTATACTTACATTATCTTATTTAGTTTGAGTTACTGCTATTTAACTTTAATTGGAAATATTTGTATTTTAAACTTCCTATTCAATATTTATATCTTATTTATTAGATTCAAGTTTATCTTGATCTTATTAAGTTAATTCATGTTAGTTTTCTTATTCAATAATTACATTATCTTATTTAGTTTGAGTTACTGCTATTTAACTTTAATTGGAAATATTTGTATTTTAAACTTCCTATTCATTATTTATATTTTATATATTAGATTCAAGTTACTATTTATTTTAGTCGTTTTATTTTTCGTTCTATTCTACCTTTACTACCTACCAATTTTGATTAGTTTCAGTTAGCTCCACTAAATCTATATTATTTTTTTCATTTTCTAAATTTTATTCTTAACTATTAATTTGTTTTATTTCCTAGTTATCATTTTATTTATAATCGTTACCTACTACTATTTATATTTCTTAAAAATTTATATTTTCATTATTTTTTTAACACATTTCTTCATCATATATTTTTTTATCCATTATTTTTTCTATTTATATTTTTTCATTTTTGTACTCATTCATATTTAGATTTTCATCATCTTCATCTTATGCTTTAATTTCTATAATTTCCTCTTAATCTTAATCTGAATCTTTTTCATTATCATATTTAACTTACACGTTCTAATCTGACTATTATTTTTATTCTTTTTCAAATTTCCACGAAGAATTATTGTTTTCACTTTAACCCACAGCTTATATGTTACTTTTATCAAAATCTATTAATTTATTAAAATTCCAAGAAATTTATTCTGTTGATTGTGTATAGAATTCTGCAAAAAAGTGACAAAAAGCAGGCGCAATCTATTAAATTATTCTTTTATTTTACCAATTTTTCTTTAAATACTTATTTAAATAAATTCATAAAAAATTGTATATGTTGACTTTCTAAATAATCGTTCGATAAAATAGTATTTAAAAATTTATAATCTACTGTTACTCCATAATTTCTTTCATTAAATTAAAAACCCTCGTATTTAAATTTATTTGTCTATATATATTTCAATCCATGAACTTAGATTTCTTTTTTCCAATCAACTATTTAGCTTTATTTAATTGTGTATTATTATTAATCTTCTTTTTCTTAGGAGGACATATTATTGAAAAGAACTTAAGATTTTATTTATATTTTATTTTCTATTAATTTAGATATGTGATTAAATATTTTAAAGTCTATTTTTTAGATAATGAGACTGAGTTAGATTTTTTGACGTAAAGAATAATTAAATATGTTTATGATTATAGATTAAATTGTTGTTCTCTTAAATTATTGTATTTTGTTTACAATAGCAACATTATAATATAAACTTTTTAAATATATTATTTTACATATAAAATATTATATATAGTTGACAAAAATATCATAAGCACTTGTAGAAAACATATTAAAAGCTCCCTATAAATTATATAAATTGTTAGATTATTGCCAAATCAATCAAAATAATCATAAATTAATTTTTTTTCATTTGTGATTTAATCATAGCTTTTCCAATAATTCAAATTTTAAGCCTCCTTCCATAAATTATTATTAGATATTAAACAAAAATTGTTTCTGGTGTATAAATTTTCTATAATTATTTATAAATTTATTAATATATTCTCTCTGAGTTTTTTTCTTCTTAACATGATTTTATTCTGCTAATAGTTCATAATGCAATAATTTGAGTTGATTGCTATGTTATTGTTCCTAAACATATACAAAATTGTTTTGGTCAGAAAAAACCTATACCCTTTTTCATAAAACAATTACTTTCTGCGTATTTTAAATTCTTGATTGATTTTCCAACCATCCTTCTTTCAGAATATTTTTAAGATCTTTCAATATGTTATTTTGCATCCCTTCAATATTTATAAATTCTTCAGAATAATTAGAAAGATTTCATCATGCATTTCAATTGATAACAAAACAATCTAAATATAAACTTTATATCAATAGTAATGCTTTCTGATTCATTTTTTAACTTTATTCTTTTTTAATCTTTTGAGAAATTAAAAAAAAAATATCTTATAAACATATGTAATTAAGTTTTTGGTTAAAAAATTTTTAAATAACCAGATTAAAATGTTTTCTAAAGGAATAAAAAAAAAAAAATAATTAAATTTTTTCAATGCTTATCAGAAAATAAATTTTTAGTCTAAATGACTTTTAGTATATAGAATTACTCATAGGAAATAAAATAAGAGAATCAAAAAAAATGGAAATTTATTTATTCTATGAAATAGTTTCGATGAAAAGTTTATTCTAACTAATAGGGATTCAGAAAAAGTATGCCAGAAAAAAAATTCTTTTATTAAATTTAATATTTCACATTTCAAATATCTCTAAAGCTGATATGTTGAATTCTGAAGCATTTGCTAAATGCATCTCTAGATTGCCTATTTGGTATTCACTTGCTTCGAAACCTTGACCTAATTTAGAGTAGCATTTTGTAAATGTTGATTAAATAACTAAGTCCTCATTTCCAAATTTTAAAAGTAAGCTATTGTCATTAGCACTCTAATTAACGATTAAAGGGCTCTAATTTGGTGGTAATTATTTAATTAAGTAAATTTATTTTTTACTTAATTAAAACATTAAGCTACACTTTGGGTTTTATTAATTAATAAAAGCTCCAAATTTTTAAGAATTTGAGCACTAGAAAATAAAGAGTAAATTTTTTTAAGTATTGTTTTTTAATTATTCTCTAACAAGCTTATAATTAAGGCCAGCATGAATGCTGGTATAAATTTATTTAATATTTTCAACTTTTGAAGTATCTTCATAATCTTTTGATATTGTCTACAAAACTCTTGGTATATAATCATTTGATAATTCTGATTTGGTAAAGTTATTTTGAGAAAATATATTTTTTAATTCATTAATGTTGTTCTAAATGTTTTCCATTTCTTAGTCTAGTTTACAAATATGAATGCTTGTTTAATACATATTATTTTTACCTCCAATATTTCTTAGTAAAGTCATTCACCTTCTCTTTAAATGTCTTCAATTTACCTTCCAGCTATTCTTTCTATTTTTCATTTTATTCATGTATTTTTTTTACATATTCATCAAGTGATTTATTTAATTTCTGTTAAGATTTTGGGTGTGGATTCTAACCTTATTTAGAGTATTCGATTAGTTCTGTTTATTATGCATTAAAATCAAAAAACTACAATAATTAAATTTTTTACAGGTTTAAAATCATCTACAAATGATTTTATTGTAACCTTCAATTCCTAATATTAATCAAATCTATTCATAATTTCCTTTTTGCATTCTTTGAGTAAGAATAAAATCTATTTTTGATAAGAAGCAAATTTCTAGATTAATAAATAAAGTACAAATTCTATGTCATCTTTGGTGAAGTCTAAATTTAAAGAATGGTAAAGATTAGAAAATTCTTATAAAATATTACCTTAAAATTTTGTGTATTTTAATACATTCATATCATCCTTTAAAACCTTTGAATTATTTTAATATTGTACATCTTTTAGAATAGCAACATCTTGTCGATAATCAGAGTAAGGACCAGTAATACATTTAATACATTGTAGTCTTTATCGTACAATATCACTCTGGCGAGTCAAATTTAGATATTGAATCTTTTAATCTCGATGACCATATTCTTGGCAGAATAATTCAATAGTCTTTTATTAATATGTAGGAAACTATTAATAAGGCACATGAAGGTCTTCATTTAAAGAACGTTCACCCTCCATTTTTATTAATTTAATTAATGAAATAAAAGTAATCTTAATCATTGATATATTATAATATTTTAATAGAATTAGAAATAAAAATTTTTTTTAAGTATTAATTATTAGATTTAATTATTAAATTTCATCAGAGTGAAATTGGAGCATATTTATAAAAAAAATCATGCTATACATTGTTTTATGAATATTAAAAAAAAAAATGCATAAAAGAATCCTAAACACTATTTTACAAAAAAAAAGAAAAATAAAAAAATCATCATCGTTTCTAAACTCATATTAAATTTCTTCTGTTCCTATTTTATTAAGAAATAAAAGTTGTGAATGTGAAGAGTGTGGAAGAGGAATTAAAAAATAATTAGAAGAGTATTCATCAAGTTAATCAAAAGAATTGAAATTTGCGCCTAAATTTATTGCTTAACATGAAAGAATAAAATAATCTGATATACCTTAATCAAATGAATTAAAACTAAAAAAGTACATTTTAAAATTATTGAGTCTTAGGAATTTTTTTTATTTAATTACACCAAAAAAAATCTTATTGTAAAATACTAGCATAGAATAACCATTAATCAGTCCAACACTAGAATAACCAAAGAGGGATATCTAAAAATTGCATAGGCTTATAGAAAAATACGACAGCAAAGTTGAATCTAATGCAGTATAAATTTGTAAGACAATGCCAGATATAGTTGCTAATCCTATTAAAAGAGCCAATGTTTAGAGATAGAAAACTAAACATTATTCCTTTATAAAGTTACTACCGCTAGTAGATGATGATGATAACTAAAATAACTATCATACTAATTCTTCTAGTTCTCAATTAAAAACTCCACTTAGAATTCAAGTTTATAAAGAATTAAAAGGAAGTACTATTTTATAATAGTTGTAAACTCCTATATTTTAAAAATCTAAATTTAATAAGAGTCAAATATTAGATTTTGCAGATGGGATGAAAAAAGCAATGGAGAAAATTAAAGAGATGGATGAGATATCAAATGCTAGTAAAATGATAAGTACATAAATAAATGACGAAAATAAAATGAAAAACAAAGGATCATTATTATTAAAGCCTATTTTAGATTGTACAAGACTTATAGGAAAAGATCCTAAAATTATTCGATAGTTAGATGTATTTGAAAGACCAGAATCCACATAGTTAAAATAAATCAAATTAGCAAAACCATTTTTATATAAAAATATTTATTTTTCAAAAATAAAAAGAAAATGATAAAAAAATTATTAATTTGTTTTATATATTATGTTGAAATTTATACAACAATAAATCAGAGAGCACACTTATGAGTAAGAAAAAAGGATTGGTATGTATTTAATTTGATAATTAATAGTTTAATATTTAGATGAAAGCTAATTTTCATTATATGAAGATCTATTAATCACAGAAAAAATGTTAACTGAAAAGCTAAGCTATAAACACTTTGAAGAATTATCCGAAAAATGCAAAAGAAAGACCCCTGATGATTTAAAGAGGAGATATATTAATTTGATAAAGAATTTAAGTGAAGATAATTTATAATAAATTGTTGAATTTATTAAAAAAAATGGTTTGGAGGGAACATTATTTAAGGATAGAAATCAAATATAAATTTGTAAAATAAATGAGGAGAAGAAAGATAAAAAGGATTCAACATAAAACAAAAAAGAAATAAAACAATTAGTTGAACCTGAATTGAAGAAAAAAAGGAGAATCTAACCAGAAGTTTAACCTTAGCCTTAAAACTATTATTAACTTACTGATTTACAAAAGTATATTCTTTATTGTTCTGCACCGACATATCAAGAATAAAGATTTCCCACTAACCCCAACTATCAATAAATCTAAAGATAAAAATAGGAATAATTTTAAAATGCATTACATGATTTGAGTTTATGGTATGATATACCATTTGAGAAAACGATTTCACTTCTCAAAGCTTGTTCAGGAAGCTTTGAAAATTTAAAAAAATTCTTAGAGGAAAAAAATTACTTTATTTATTGGAAGCCTGAGGAAGATTAAAAGTTATTGTCAGGAGAGGATATATAATCCTTATATTAAACAAAAGGAGCAACAGAAATAGAAAAAAGAAAAAAGTGGCTTTAAATTGAATGAAATGAATAAATGCACTAGCTGTTAAAACAATATAATATAAAAAAGCTAGATATAAATATGACTGTTTTTAATCAACAGATTCTAAATTTGTCTCCACAATTATAACATTCAAAGAATTTCGTTGTTGGTTCATCTGATGCACGAGTTTATTTTTCATCAACAAGATATACTTTTTTTTGTCCACATCCTTTACAAGTCTTTCCTTCTACTCCTTCCATCTCTCTTTTACTCAAATCCTTATAAAAACCTATTTATTCTGCTTCCATTTTCTCTTTAATTATTCTTGCCTATTCTTATTTAGTTTCGTCATCAACCCAATCAGCTGCTCTATATATTATTTAATTATTTTTTATACCTTAATTAAGCTGCATAAATAGGATCAAAAGCTTTTGTAAAAATTCTATAAGTTAAAGATCCATTCTTATCTTTCTTCAAAAAGCCCGCTAAAATTCTCAAATCTTATTCATAAGCTTTTTTAGAACTATTTTCTGAGCTTCTTTTATAATAGATGGTTTTCTCCATTATCTCCACACATTCTTTTATAGTTTAATAATCTTAATCATTTAAATCATTATCTTTTTTAAAGGTCAAAATATTTGCAATAAACATTTTGCTTATTCCATTTAGGTATTTCAGTCTATCAGCATAAGCTGGATAGGGTATTTTATAATTGACAAAAAGTTCTATATCAGGTAATGATTTGCTGCTTTAAATACTCTAAATACTATTTTACTTTTAGACCTTGATTTCTTCAATAGATTAATTTTATTGATTTTATTATGTTCTTTGAATATCCTAAGCTTAAGAGAGTCTTTTAAAACGATCTTATAAAGCTGAAGCTTTTGCTTTAATAGTAGTAATTTAAAGATTGTTTTTATCATCTATAATTGTTAGAGTATGCAAAGTTTTTTATATTTTTGATTTATTAACAGAATCCCAATCAAGTGGAGATTATTCTAATTATTTCAAAATATTAATGGTTTCTGTAGGAAACTTTTTCCAATCAACAAGTTTTTTTCTCAAATCATACAATTCTTAATAATCCATAAATAATTCAATTTATAATAAACACAATTCTTATTTAATTTATTAAAATTATAGAACTAACAATAGCTTTTAGAACTTATTATTTGACTAATAATGATAATAGAATTATATAGTGGAAGGATATAAATATAGATATATGCTAATATTGAAATAAAAGAGTTGAATTAAAAATAGAAATAAAGATAATTCAATTTAAAATCCATTCATAACTTTTACCCTTTATCTTTAAAATCTTGCTAATGCGTATAGATAGTTTAAATACTATTATTTCCTTCATAGATTCTTCAAACTATATTTTTCTTCTTTAGAATAGATGATTTTGTTTTGTTTTCATTATAATATCTTTGTGCAAATTCCTTATATGATTGGTCTTCTATCTGATATTTTCTTCATACTCTTACTGAACCCTCATTCTCTCATATTATTGATATTTTTATTGTTAATTAATATGTAATTAGGGTCTTCTTATAGCTTCTTCAAATTAATTTCTAGTATATTAATTTTGAAAAATGAATGAAGGATAAAGATTACTGTTAATTTTAGGTTTATTTTTGTTAAGAGTTAGATTGATATTTTAAAAAATAATATTAGTATGAATAGTTTTAATTTTAATTATTCTAAGATTATGGTATTCTCGCAGCATCATATTCTTTTTTTTGTATTTCAACTGATAAGACCTGAGAATAGAGTAGTTTCTTCAGTTAGTTCTAAATAAAGATTTGTAGGTAATGATATATAAAAAATAAAATTAAAATTGTCATTATTAATTATAAACACTTTTAACAATAAGTTCATTATACATCTCAGGTAGTAAATGCTAATTCTTATAGACATAATCATATAGTAAGTCTTTTTCATAGAGGTAACATTCAGCTTATGTAACATGATTGTATAAAAATGTTTTATCTCCTTCTCTTCTAAATTTCATGATAAAATATAATTAAAGGATAGGTTTACTTATTCCATTTGCATTAATTCCATAATAATGTCCAGTTATTTCTTCTCCAATTTAGAATCCAATTTATCCATATTAATTGTATGAATCTATTTCAGTAGAAACAATCCCAAATTATGGATATTGATTAATAGAAGCCATGAAATCAGCCATATGGCATTGATCATCTTTCTTCTTCATAATTTTTTTTTTTTATTCAAAGGCTGATAATCTAACAAGTCTTTTAGAGTTAGGATGACAAGCTATGTCTGTAGATCTTTAAGATTCCATTTTAATAGATGATTTTTCTAATTTTTTATTCTTCTTAGTTTTTTTATTGAATAAATGAATATTTTCCCCTTTTAAAGGAGAAACATATTCTTACTATTTGATTTCATTCAATACTTAATCTCTTCTTTACATATAATCCAAAATACATAAAGCCCCAAGATTTTCAAATATATTATCTTTCATTTTTTCATTAATATGAGATGTAACAATGGATTTTTCATCTTCATTCAAAGATTGAATAATTTTTCTAACTTAATTAAAATAGGTAGTTGATTTGATTGATTCAATATATTTTTAATTCTTAACATTTCTTAATCTTGTCTAAACTTTAGATTATTCTTTTGGTGATTATGAATTATCACTTAAGTTATCATCATTTGGTTTATCTTATCCATTAATATTCTATCTTTCTTAAGATTTAGGTTATACTTAATTGATTTCATCAGTTTCAATTTATTCCTATTTAATAAGTTATGATTTCTTTGGTTATGTTTGATTAGATTTATCTCCTACAGAATTTGGAGATTTCTTTCTGGATTAAGAAGATTTAGCTTTAGATTTTGATTTCCTACTCTTTTTACCAAAATCTGAATCCTTAGAATCTGAATGTGATCCATCTTCTTGTTATTGTTAAATCTGTTTTCTTGTAGATCTTGTAATCTTTTTTACTGTTTCATTAGGTGTAGATATCGATTTCATATTGTCTATATTTTAAGTTTCCTTTAGTGTTGTATTAAGCTTATCACTATTGGCTTAGTCTATTTTTTCTTCTTCTTATTGATCTGGTATTACTTTAATTTTTTCAAGTGTATTATATTTTTAATGTACTCTATATCCTTGTACCTATTCTTCATAAATAAACTAATAGAATAGATAATAGTCTGCATGTCTCTAATATCTACGAACTGAGGATATGTTATGAATTCCTAAATTCTCAATCGGCTCCCATGTTCTTTAAGACTTAGGATAATTTTTCCATTTAACACAGTATTGCATTTTGTTCTCCAGAATTTGAGACCCGAATATATATTGTATCTCATATAACTCAGAATTGTCCATTAATATAAATAATGAATAGCTTAAGTAATATTTGAAAGGATTGTCAAATAATGGCTTGTTTTTTTTTGATTATTTTTATGTGTTAACAACTCATTCAAAAAAATATGATATTACTGAAGAAACTATCATGAACTTCTTAGCTAAACACTTAAAAGAGTCTTTTATAGAAGAAACAAACACTTTAACATATAAGAAACTAATTTATTTTACTAAACGAAACAATGATTATATTATTATTAATCTTAAAACCTACTCTATTATCAGATAATATTCACCTAATTAGAATTCAATATCAAAATCGTAATCTTGATTAATCTATCCAAATTAGATGACTCTAGATTATAGGATTTATAATATCTCTTATTATAAACTAAAATAGTTAAACTTTTTAATATAGATAATTATAGCAATTTCAACATTTCCCAATAGATTAAATTAATATAATTTCCCTGATGGTTCATATTATATTTTGATTAGGATTTTGTGGCTGTTACAATTACAAATTAATCATATGTTAAATGTATCATCAATGATTAGGACTCATCTTCGATTGATTTGGATTTATGCAGAAACAGAAACCAAAAATGATACTGACTATTGCAAATATAAATACAGATACTGATAATAAAATAACAAAAATACTAATACAATATAAACTTAAACTTAAACATAAACATTCACAAAAACTATATCCCTTATAAATAAAAAAAAAATTGATTAAGAAACATTTATATAACCCTATTTAATTATAATAAAATGACTCAAGTTAGAAGCAAAATAAAGGATATTAGATTAAGTAAAGTTTTATAGATCGCATTCTAATTTAGATTTTATAAAATGTGATAAATATTCCTACAATACCATATACGAATAAACATATAAATATTCTGATAATATCTGAATATTTGTCATTTAATTATATCAAATTGATCATATTCTAATTCATCTATAATTTTATCGTTTTTGAATTCTGCCTTTTTTATTATGCTTTTAGGGCTTCCAATATTTTTTAACCATTCCTTCAACTCATTAGTTCGTCTTCCTTATGCAATTCCCAAAACTGTGCCTTTTTTTGTATTTAATACCCAGCCTACTAGATTTAATTCTTATGCTTTGAGCTAGGTAAACTTTCTAAAATAGACTCCTTAGACTTTTCCAAAAACTTCAAATTCAAAGGAATACAATTGATTTGCACATTCTTATTGTTCAGATGAACATGCTAAAACAAATGTTGAGCATAATAATATATATATTATTTAAATCATTATTCAATCTAATCTTTAAATCGCCAAGTTGCTGCAGTACCAGCACTAAAGCCCCTTAATGTCTTAGCTTTAAATAAGACTAATCCTACACTATAACCAATAACTGCAAATAATGCTCCTTAAATAAATCCTTTTGTTATCTTTTAATCTTTTTCAATAAATTCTTTGGAATTATTGAATGTTGACCATTAAGTACTGCTCTCTTTAGACATTTTTAATATAAAATAAATTATTATCTTTATATTATATAATATACAGTCATCCAAATTAGAAATAGATCTTATCATTAATATGCAACTAAACAGGTACAGAATTTTAAATTAGAAATGATTAATTTTAATCTGTTGACCATTAAGGAGAAAAATGAAACCCATTTTTTTAAATGTTTTCTAAGATATTATAATTAAAAGAATACGCCAAGATTCTTCTCTGTGAGTAAAGTCTCTCAATATATAATCCCATCCAAATTGATGATATATTCTAGTATCTAAAATTCTTATTAAGACATCATCAACTCTCAAATAATTTCTGATTAAACCAAAAAAACAATCTCCCATGACTCTGAATCTAAATTCACAAGTAACCAATCCATTATCTCCTAATTCATCTTCATATAAAGTTATATATGATGCCCATTTGATTGGATTTTCCTTTCTTATTTTACATAAATACTTAAGTCAAATTATTCAAAGGGATTTCTTCTTCTGTATATTCACAGTAAAATTATAATGATTAATTTTTAAATATATGAGTAAGATACTCTAATTCAGTTTTGATTACATTTTCATTTAATTGATTTTCAAAGATAGACTTGCCTTTTACTCCATCCATATTTTTGAATCTTTAGAATTGATATTAAATTTAATTTGCATCTACAATAGTACCTTTATAGGGAGTGCAATAAAAAGTATCAGATATTTTATCTAAAATTTTGATATCTTCATTTTATTTTTATTTCCAAGCATTGGAATGTTTAAGTTATGCTTATTCAGGTATAATAGATATATAATTAATTTTATTTGTTCTGAATTGATTTTTGATATCTATGTAATTTTGTTATCTTTGTTCATAATTACAAAGATAGAGCGAATCTTTAGGATTTACAAAGAAACCAAAGTTGAATTATTTATTATAAATTAAAGCACAATTATTACCATTGGTAATGTCTGGAATACCTTAAAGTGTCAATGCATCTTAAAGCATATCAAGATCTGAAGTGTTATACATTCCTGCTTTTGTGAAAATGAAATTCCATCCATTTTATTCATATTCTTCTACTTTCACATCTGTGTAGGTTTTGTTTGAAATAATATTCATATTTAAATAATATAGGAGAATTATTTATAATAACAAAGACTTAATTTTTATATATTAAATATTTCTCCAATATAAAAATGCATATATAATTACTTAATCATTATTTCTTTGTTAATTCTTGCTCTTTTTATTGAACATATTAATCTATCCTTTAATCTAATTTCTATTCAATATTTTCTAATCTTACGATAATTGATAAAATATATTTAATCTTATTTTGCTCACTCCATAAACATTAACAAATTAATTCAATAAATTTCTAATATCAATAATGACCAAAAATTTTTCTGAGTTTTTTAACAATAATTTCTTCTTATTTATCAAATTTGTCTTTAATTTATTCAATAATTTATAAAATTGTGCATTCTCTTTTAATGAATAGTGTGTATACCTAATTAATGTTTTTTAATTTTAGGATTGGTCAATAAATTATTTTAAATTTGAATTCTATTGAATATTTCTAGAACAGAATCTATTTCTTGTTATTCCTTTTATTAAGGTTGAACTCTAACAATAAAATTAGATTAACTATCAACCTATTGTATTTATCAATATCCTTATGTACTTCTTATACATTGGTTTCTACTTCATTGAGTGAGTACTTATTGTCAAAATTAGCATTAATACTTGCTAATAAAGGTTGAACATCTATATCGTATTTTCTTCTTCTTAACTCATATAATATGTTAGATTATAAAAATATCATTTTTGTTTTGCATCACTATTTGTATTGCTTCCATTTTTTGATGATGTATTTCCAAAAATTGACATCAATCCTCCCAAAAGGCCATTATTTTTAGGACTTTGCACTTAAGCATGTTACTAATTAATTTAATATTGTTAAGCCTTTATCAGAAAATTTCTAAATTAATAGATTTATTTATATAAATACTTAATTGATTTACATATCTTCTTTAAATCCTAATTAGGCATAATGCTAAAAACTTCTTCTTTACTTCTTGACTTAACAGATAAGTAAAATGAAGTTTCATCTTTAATTTTCAAATCTGTAATCTCACTTGCCTTATATTAAAATTTTTATGCTGCTGTTTCTAACTCAAAGACATAATCATTAAATAGATTTTATCTTAAAATAAATAGACAATCTATATCCAAAAATTAATTGTGTAATATAAGCTTATATTATATAAATTTGCCTCTACTTTCTTCAAGTTCACCTTACAATTAAGCTACTGTAAATCTTGAATCATCTAAGCCTTTATGCAATATTCTTATTTCTTCATCTTTCTATTGCATTTCTTTATCTAAAGTCTTTAATTTTAATTGTATTTCCATCTTCTCAGCTTTTAAATCTTTAATTTTGTTATACAAATCTCTTTCAATGTCTTCAATGTTCTTTTTAAGTTAGTTATTTAATTAAGTCTTCTCTTCAACTTCCTTTATCAATTTTTAATTTGAAATTTCTTTGTTTTTTAAATCTCTTTCCATCTCTTTATAAGCAGTCTATAAAATAGTAAATCGAGCTTCATTATGAGCTATGGTTTACTCTAATTCTCTTGCAATATATATACAATAATTACTGTTTCAATTTAAATACTTATTTAGATTAATCACCTTAATTATTAATTAATTCTGCTTAAGATGAAGAAGATTGTATTTAACTGAATTAATTCTAAATTTATATTGTTCATTATTACAACAGTTATTTAACGTTATAAATCTCTCATCATGGATTAATGCTTCTCTTCCTACATTATTTATTTCAATCATACTAAATCTTCTTTCTCTTTAATTAACTAATTATTTTTTTAAGTTAAATCTGTAATCTATTTTGTTAATTGAGATTTCTCTTCTCTCAAATCTATCACTGCCTTTTTCAAAGTATTTATCTTTTATTTGTCACTTATTTTGTTAACACTACCAGTATCAGATGCACTATCAATCTAACTTTTGGGTGGTTTTAAATTCATCATTTTTATAAAAAAATAATTTATTTTATCATTATTAATATTATTTTTAATAATTAATATATATTATATTAATAATGATGATAATATTATTTTCATTGTTACTCTAAACATTCTAATAATAAACTACAGTCATCGAACATGCTATTATTCAACCTTTTAGCTATCTCTAATTAGGATAAGTCATTGGAAATTATGAAAAATAAAACTTTAAAGTAGGTAACCTTACAGTCAACTAATAATTATCATCTGCTAACAATAAGACTTTTTAAGTCATTCTATTACCATCTAATAATGAAAAATATCCATGCCTCATATAATAATTTTAATTTCCAAATAAAACCTAGAATACATCAAGATGTGGATTTGAAGAAACAGGAAATTCAACTAATCCTTGTCCCTTAACATCATTATAAGCTAATAATTATGCTAATTCCTATTTATTTTAAACTGGTTGTACCAATATTTCAGTAATTTACTATGATGATGAAATAAATGATAATGTAACAATATTATGGATTCTTATTTTAATTAATGAAGATGAATAGGACTTTAATAAAATTGATTCCAACTATTAAATAATCATCGATAACACTATTTCATTTTATTAAATTTCACTTGTTCTTTGTATTTTATTAGGTATTTTTATTGTTATCTCTGTATCCATACTTTGTATTCTTAACCATAAATATTAGAAGGTTAAATAATAGAATATCACCTTAAAACTAGTCAATAGAACAGATGATTATTAAAAAACAAAATTATTGTGATTTATTACATTACTATATATAATAAAATATTATATTTATGAATAATTATATTAAATTAGATGGTGGATCAAAACTCTAAGATTTAATTGAAAATATTAGGAAAATGGATTCAACACTTTCTGAAGCTCTTAATCAAAGAAATTATAAATTATAAAACAATGAATCAATTTAATAGGTAAGTTCAAATTACATTTTCTTTAGTTTGATAGACAACTGGCAACATAAATTGACAATATTAATGATTCAATTAAAACAGCAAGAATTTTATTAAATTAAGCATCTAATATGTATACTATTTTAATCAAATAGTTCTCCTAATGATATTTAAAGATAAAAAAATTTATTAGATGAATTTTAAAATAAATCTGAAAAATTTAGAAAAGCCTTAGAAATTAAATAAGTTTTTAAAACAGTATTAATTCAAACATTTATATTAATAATTATAGGATAACCCAGAAACAAAAATAGATTTTACTACTAAATCTAACGTTGAAATGGTATAGATGCAAAAATAATATGTTCAAAAATAAAATGATACCATTGATAAAATGATTGATACTACAGGAAGAATGTAAGTTAATGCTAAGCATATTAATTTGGCATTAGATGAAGATAAAGTTATTTTAAGAAGATTGAATGAAAATGTAAAAGCATTTCTTATTTTAGGTTGAATAAGCTACTCATGAAATTAAAGTTACTGATTCAAATTTAAAAAGCTTATTATCATACACTAATGATTGTTGTTTATGGACAACCATCATTGTAGAATTTATGATTTTTGTTTTTCTTGTTATATATTGATGGTTTGTCATAAATTTTATAATGAATCAAATATAAAGCTATTATAAAATTTTAATTATCCAAAAATTGCTATTAGAATATTTTTATCTATCAAACTCTTTAAATCTCTATATTAAAAAGTTCTAAAATTTTAATTCATTTATACATATCATCCATTCTAATTTCTTAATTTTCACATTTAATTTTACACATTAAATTTCGAATTGCTTTCATTAAACTTAATTCATCTTCACTTAATTCTGAAACAAACTCTTTTTATTTTTAGATTACAAAATCTAAAAATAATATTAAAAATTATACCTTCATATCTTTTA